ATATTATAAAAACAGTATTTCTTAGATACGAAATTTCGCCTAGTAGAATCAGGATAGAGCCAGCAAAAATTAAAGCGATCAAAATATAGCCACGACTAACGACGACAATAGAGGTATAAGGATTTATTGGATTCGCCAATTTCTATCGAATGTTCATTAGGAACTTCGGCGATCTTATATAACTATTGTATGAACTCACGAAGTCCAGGTCTATATAGACCATAAGAACTTGCGGTACTTCACTACTACCAAGGTGTTAAACGGACGACAGACTCGATAGGCAGAATTCCTTTCAGAGTTCAACTTCAAAATCAATTATAAGAAAGGCTCGGAAAACGCACGGGCAGATGCATTGAGCAGGAGGCCAGATCACTTTAGGAACAGCTAACTAGAAGCCTCGCTACTATTACTTCAACAATAGCCAGACGGTTCCTTACGGTATGCTCCCTAACCGATAGAAGATCTCGATAATAATACGCTTCCACGATAGGACAAAGATCCCGGTATATAACCTCTACAACCGTTTGAAGAATGCTATATAGTCTTTAGGGAAGAACGGCTAGGAAAAGACTTCTAAGACCGGAAGCAGAACGATATAGACGAGAAGGCAGGTATCTCTTGGAGAGATAGAGCGTTATAGTATAAGGGCAAGGCCTACGTCGTACTATAGGATCAAACGGAATTAATCAAGATAATCCACGAGTCGAAACTCGGAGGATATATGGGAATCGCCAAAATAGTCGCCAAGGTTCGGCAACACTACGACTTCCTAGGACTTAGGACCAGAGTTAAAACCATTATATAGGAATACGACCTCTGTAATCGAAGCAAGTCGGTACGATATAAACTATATAGGCTCTTAGAGCCGTTGCCAGTTGTAGAACGACCATGGAGTTCGGTGACGATAGATTTTATTACCAAACTACTACTTTCGAAAGATTCGACTACTGGAACGAAGTACAATAGCATTCTCACTATAGTTGACCGACTTACCAAGTAGAGCTATTTCTTCCTATATAAAGAATTATAGTTAGCAGAGCAACTTACAGATATAATCTATCGGCATATCGCAGTAGTTTATAGATAGCTAGAAGAATAGACTATAGATCGAGACACTAAGTTCGTATTAAAATTTTGGCAAGCGCTTATAAAACGTTTGGGTATAAAGAGCAAGCTTTCAATAGTATATCACCTATAGATAGATGGCCAGACCAAAAGGCTTAACTAGATCATCGAACAATATCTTAGAACGTTTGTCAACTTCTAATAGGACGACTAGGTTGATCTACTACTAGCAGTATAGCTTGCGTATAATATAACGCCAATAGAGATAACAAAGGTCACTCTATTCTTCGCGAATTTTAGTTACGAAATGGATTTATACTAGGGACTAGATATTACGGTACCTAGGGCAAAAGTTAAGGCAGAGAAAATATACGCGCTATATACGATACTAAAGGAAGAACTCAAGTTCGTCAGGCTTAGGATAAAGGAGTACTATAATAAATATTGGCTTAAGGGACCTCGCCTTAAGAGAGGAGATATAGTCTACCTTATTTCCTGAAATTTAAAAATAAAACGGCCAAGCCAGAAACTCGACTTTAGGAAGATTGGACCGTTTAAAATCGATATAAAAATTTCAATATCTAACTATCGACTTTCGTTACTATCAACGATAAAGTTATATACTAATGTCTTCTATATCTTGCTCCTTAAACCAGCACCTAAGAATATATAGGTTATAAAAGATATCAAAGCCAAGGATAAAGAAGAAGAATAGGACGTTAAGAAAATTTTAGACTTGCGAATAGCCAATAGAAGGCTAAAGTACTTGATCAAATAGCTCGACTTTGGACTAGAAGACAACTCGTAGGAACCGGTAGAACACCTTAACTATATAGAAAAACTAAGGGAATTCCACTAGCAGAACCTAGACCAGCCAGGAGAAAGGCGCAAAAATCTCTATATAAGTCGCCTTACCCTATAATAAAGCTACTTATATAGAGACAAGGCGTAGATAGCAAGAATCAGATTGAGAACCCCAGGCAAGGAAGAACAACTACAGGCAACAACACTACATATATAACAGGTGCAACCAAGACCTGACTACCACCAACTACGAACCCCTACTACCCTAAGAAGCTATAGGAGTCCCACCAGAGGGATCCTGGCCAACCAAAAGAGGAGGCTCTACAAAGGGAGAACCAGCACCAGCACTAAAGAAGACGGTCAGTACAAAGAACGATAGACGGAGGGGATAGGGGCACCTACTTGGCAGTACCCCTAAGTAGCGAATCCAAGAATAGATCGTAGCCTGTAGAACCATATAGGACGGCACCAATGGCCTCCTAGTCTATCACCCCTATAGCACCCAAGGCCTATGCCTGCCCGACCAAAGTCTATTTATCCGATATCAGGACTATACTATCCTCCTTGTCCAAACCTTATATGCCACGGCAAAGCAGTTCAGACCCCCGCTCCTCGATAAAGTGGCGTTAGCAACGCATTCGGTTCAGCTACAATAACAACACTATAAGCTGATCCTCAATCTTAGCAATCTCAGAGTCCATTCGTTTATGCTCGGACGTATTATTTAACACTAGGAATATTAACGGCAAAAAGGGGAAAAGAACCCCTTAGCTATATTTATAAAAGGACGTAACACTGGTTCCATTGCAAGGCTTCCCCAGACGAACGCAATAAGAATACCAGGAAGAGCCCTCCGCTATAATATATCGCGTATATAGGGTGGCAGTCCAACAACGAGTGTAAGGTATCTCAACCTCTATACCAACAGACTCGATCTCTTTAGCAAGGGCGTGCCATTTGGTAGTCGAATTACGTAGACGGGATAGCTTCTTTACGCATCCTGACATTGTATTAGTATCCTAAGAAGGTGAAGAGGAAGATAGCAGGGACCTATATACTTATAGAAGCAAGGGCAGTTGGCGTTATTTAAAACAACCTAAGTCTTTCGGGATAAAAGACGTCAAGGAAGGGCATCGTATCACGATTTGACTATATATAGTGACCTAGTAGGGCGGATAAGGGTATGTCCGCAGCTAATCATTATATACAGGGATATGCAAGAGCGCTCATAGCGCTGATGAGCATATATAGGAGCGCCCGCTCACCTGGTGAGCGGATGAGCAGGATCACCTAGGCTCACTGGTGAGCCATGGTAAGCGGACCAAGACCAGCTAGTATATAGTCATTCGTTCTAGAGGACTCTAGGAGTTCTCCAGTGAGCAATTACAAGCAGTAAGGTAGCCCTACATTACTATGCAGACATTGCGGCTTGCATTATTGTGAACCTTTTGGCTTCACCGAGACCTACAGTCCGACCAGCAGATACCTTCGACCGGCGAACCCTTTCAGAGGCAGGACTGCCTGTGGTTTCGTCACACGTCCTCTACGATACCGTACTTGGCCTTGACATTCTATATGAGAGCGAACCAATCGCTAATGACCTTTGGATCTTTGTACTTAGCTCTCTGGTAGTTATATCGACGCGTATAATACGTATGAAGCTCTGGCTGGCGTTTGACAAAGTTATATGCCTAGAGCTTACCGATAGGGGGCGCGTCGCATATATATAGTAGTTAGTTGGCTATATCTTCTATACCACGCAACCTTGGTAAAAAGGCTTGTAAAGATAGTTCAATAATATATTGAACAATAGCCCGCTCTTCTGAATCTATGAGCCGGCGCGATTTAGGCGTAGTGTTACGTCGTGCAGGCCTGCTGTCGCGTCGTCGCATAAGTGTTGCAGGGCTGACGTTATAGACCTTTGCTGCAGCCTGAAGACTAAGAGTATGGTCCTTTTGAAGAGCTTTAAGTGCAAGGACAATCCTTGCCTCATTAGAAGGTAAAGCTATGGTTCATTATAAAGGGATTGAAGGTAAGGTGCAAAGGGTATGCGATATGGTGGGGAGTGTTTCATTCGCTTATATGTTTCACTCGCTTATAACGTACGTTAAATAAGATATTGTCGTTTTAGAGCGTAAGCTACAAATTAGCGAAGGTCCATCCTAATAGATATCTTGTGACGGTGGAACCCACCGTACCAAACATGATGCATGCAGTATGATTGATTGGTTGTGGAGCGCATGCCCCACCTTCCATATCTGGCAAGTGCCCCACATCCCACATCCTGTATTTAGACTTACTTTCCTGCTTCGCATCTTCCACTTGCAGAACTCTTCCTTCTGCAAGTTCAGTATTCTTGCAATACAGTCAGTTGCCCACCAGAGCCATTGAGCCTGGCCTGCATCCACCGATTCGTAATAAGGAGCTAGTAGAACACCTTACTATATAGAAAAACTAAACGAATTCACCGACGGAACCTTGGTCGGCTTAAGAAAAGAAGGAACGTAAAAAGCTGACTATATTCTAGGTAATGACTACTATAATATTATTCTATATTATAACTAGCAATAGTATAGATGGGATTTGAACCTATAATCTCCTAGAGCATTTACTTAGGTATAATAACTAAGCTATATTACTAAGCCATTTTATTTGATAAGAAATAGGTAGTAAGAATCAAGAACCCTAGGCAGGGAAAAGCGACTATAGATAGTAACGCTATAAATACGATATATATGGCAGGCGCGACCAAGACCTAACCACTACTAGCTACAACCCTCCATTATTCTAAGGAACCAAGGAAGTTCCACCGGAGGAACCTAGGTCGACCTCGGATGGCGGTTCCACCAAAGCGGCCAGATCGATATCGGACAAGTCAAGTCCCAAGGAACCCTAGTTAAAAGGGACATCTGCCCCGAGTACCTGAACATCACTAATTACCTGAGACTCGGACTCTTGAATCCGGCGGTTCTCCGCTTCTATCTCCTCTAGCGACTATACCCTATAGCGGAATAACTCGGAACCCTGCTCCTTCAGGAAACGCTTCTGGCGGCGTAACCTAGCTAGGCAACTAACGGCGGTCTATAACTAAGTCTGAAGAATAAAGAGCACCTTTTCGGCATCGGCCAATCATGCCAGTCTACTGCATTACCGGTACCAACCGCGGGCTCGGGCTCAAGTTCGCCCCGCAGCTAGCCCAGTCGAGCGACAACACCATCATCGCCACGACCCGGTCCCTCGACTCGGACCTTACCGAGCTCAAGACCGTGGCTTAGCCCTCTACCCACATTGTCGAGTGCGACACAGGTAATGTCGCGTCCATCCACTCCTTCGTCAAGGAGGTGGCCCAGCTGCTCGGCGGCAGCAGAAAAATCGACGTCCTGCTCAACAGCGCCGGCGTCAACCTCGGCTCGTCGCAGAGCTCGCTCACCCTCGGCCCGGACGAACTGCACAAACAGATGGACATCAACGTGATCGGCCCGGCTAAGGTCGTGGAGCTGCTGCTCGACGCTGGCCTGCTGTCGAGCGACGTACGCATCCTCAACATGAGCTCGGGCCTGGGCAGCATGCAGCGCAGCTCCGAGATCAAGCCGCGCAAATGCGCCGGGTACTCCATCTCCAAGGCCGGCCTTAACATGCTTACGGTCCACCAAAGCGAGGACCTAAAGCCGCACCTGCCTGGCGCCGTGGTCATCGCCATGGATCCTGGCTGGGTCAAGACAAGTATGGGCGGTGACGGGGCGGTCCTTGAGCCGCATGAGAGTATTGGAGGGATGCTGCGGGTGCTGCACGGGCTGCGGAGCGAGGATAGTGGGCTTTACTATCAATACAATGGCGACAGGATTCCTTGGTAGGCTGGGATTTTGACGGAGCACGGTTAGTCTCTAGACACACCCATTGGAAATCAATTCGAAGATCATCGAGCTCGCGCTTGCTAAGCTATGCAGATGACCCCAGAGACATAGCCAGGACGAGAGGCAGCGAGCAGGCTGTGCAGACCGCCGAAAGAATCGCCACTAGGATGAGGTGCCAGACGTCGAATCGCCGGTCATTGCGGTATCGCTTCGGAGCCATGGGGCCGACCATCTTCTCGATCGGCGTGATATTCTCCTCCTTCATCGTCTTGTACCCGATCTTCACCCCGGGGAGGCCGTCAACACTGAACGCGTTCTTGAATGCCCAGTACCTGCTTGAAATTAGACAATGATAGGTCGGGATCAAGATTGTAGACGCACTTCTCCATACTGTCCCCGGAATCGTCCCGCGCCCACTTCTCGACTCTCTTTGCAAAACCCTCTTCGAGCGTCGTCCGGAAGCTCTTGAACTCGTAGAAGGGGACCGACATGCCGCACGAGCTGGCCACCTGGTGCACCTTGACGATAATAATAGACCGGGAGGCCGGAATCACCTCGACGTCGTGCTTCTTGACGAAGTCAGCGAACGCCGGGGTGCCTCGCTCGAGCACGCTCCCGTGGCCGAACAGGCGCACGATGCGCGGGGTGCTCTCGAACGAGCTGAACATGACGGTGATGCGGCCGTTGCCCGGCTCGTACAGGTGCGACACCGTCTCGATGCCGCTGCCGGTCAGGTCCATGTACCAGAAGGTCGTGTCGTCGAGCAGACCGAAGTACTGCCCGCCCTTGGGCGACACGTTGACGTGCCCGGCCGCCGAAAGCGGCGCCGTGGCCACCCAGAACATCTTCTGCTCCAGGATCCATTCCACGAGGTTTTCGGGAACCGTCTCGTAGAATTTTCCCATGGTGACTTGCGGGTGCTGCAGTTAGCTTGTTAGCTTTTGGTGGTTGCTCTGCTGGGCTGAGTGTGCCTTGCACGGAACAGAATCAGCCCGGCGAATTTGCTGTATGACATGTCACATGGGTTGCACTGTCAGCGCGATGTCGGAAGGAGGGGTTGTGATGCTCTTTCCACATTAGCCCCGGTACCTTGGTTAGCCAGCTTCCCAATCCTTCATCCTTCATCCGATGTTGCACATGCGACTCGGCCATCCCACTGTCCAGGTAACACAAAACTTTGGATGTTTTTGAGAACCTACCGTAGTACCTAAGTTAACTTAAAGATCGCCGATGGCTCCAGATAAAGAGATTGTGGCATGCTGACCCTAACCCTCACCAGAGATCACGTGCCGCCCTGGCTGCTGCCTGGCAGTGCCAGCTGAGGGCTGGGCCGCGTCGCTTCTGCTCAACTGTGCACAACATTCCGCAGACTGCGCCGTATTAGGCCACCCCCTTCTTCCCGTCCGTCCGTCGGACACAGCTGGCCAGCCAGCCTTGATCTCTCGCGAGGGACCTATCATGTACGCGATTATCCCCACTGAATTGACATCACCAAGTTCAACCAATTTATATCTCAGTGCCTTGAAAATTGAGATGCTTTGGGTTTTCATTGCGCGAGTGAGGTTGTGAAGCAGCAAGACTCTTCAATCTCAGCGACACCGAGGTACCCCGCATCGCCGCCGGCGGCCTGGGAAACTCGAGGCCCTTAGCAGACGTTCCCGGCCTCTTCCGGAAGTGGTGCTTGTGCCCACGATTCTAGCTTCCTGAGGATGTCTCAAGAAGTCCACCATGGCCGGGGGCGCAGTCGCTCACTATCTTCCGATAGTGACCACGGCAAGCCCGATCCCATCGACATGGATGCCAATGTGTTGACCGAGGCGTGCTCGAGCCCGGGCTCGGATGGCACGACGGTCGACGGCGACCTATTCGACGGCGGCCGGGCGGAGGTGATCGACTGCATTATGAGGAGTCTCTGCGCCGCTCTCGACTCCAAGCTCGCTGTGGTCAAACAGGCCAAGCTGCCGTCAACAGCCAAGCAGCGATTGGGGTTGCCACCGGGACCCGAACCCAAGCGTCCTGCTCTAGCCACGACGGCCCCCGCGCATTGTGCTGCAACGTACATCCCGCAAGGGGACACGTATGGCGAAGGTGTGGGTATTCCTGGCCTGGGATCCATCCACGATGACAGCCGTAGCACTTCGTACGTCACTCGGCCATTTCAGGTGCCTCCGCCGCCGCCTCCATACGACCAGGCCAGTAGGAACCAGCTCCCGATTCCGGGAGCTGGGGCTTTCGTCCCGGTCCGTCTGGCCAGAACGGGCCGGCGCGGGGGGCCCATTATACGCCTAGGATCGCCCACCCAGATTGGCGACGTTCACGTCAGCGTACAGGACACCACGCCGAGTACGGCAACACCGCAGGTCGTCAGGGGACCGCATGCGCACCTGGTCGAGGAGGACATGACCGAGGAGGAGAGCCGCAGGCTGGAAGCGGAGGGTGATGGTGTCCCGGGATCCAATGATCAGGGTCACATCGCGCATTACGAGCAGATGGACCGCCACCACGAGCCCAAGCGCTCCGAGCCGTCCAGCGCGCCAATGTTCGGCTGCTTGTTCAAGCCATGCCCGTACAAGTCCGATCGGGAGTCGAAGTGTAGACAGCACATGGAGCAGGCTCACGGGTGGACTTATGTCCGCGCCAAGAGGATTGGCAAGGCGCCTCAGTATATGGGGGCGCAAGCGGCGATCGGGGATGCCGTGCAACAGCAAGGCACAAGCACTCCTGCGGCCGCTGGTCTTCACGCCGGTGATGACACTGCGGGCGGGCCTGCAAGCACGACAACCGCACCGGTCCCTTCCAGGCCTGTGAACGATGGTGACCCCGTTCTATATCAACCTACGGCTGCCCCATCCCACTTCAATATACCGGACTTTCACTCCTGTAGTCCGACGTTGGAGGCGTGGCCGCCTGGGGACACAAGTATGCCGCCACCGCCTGTGTATAAAGAGGATATCAACTGGAACCCAACACCCTTTTCACAGGAATGGGATCATTTTGCACAGCCGCGGGGCCTCCTCGATAGCCCGGCAGCGGACCAGACAGGCTTGTCTACCACTGCCAGTGCCAGTTCGGTGTCTTCCACGGTCCAGCCCGAACTCGCCGCTCAATGGCAGCTGGAGAAAGTGCTATTATGGCTCCAGGCGTATGGCTTCTCTACAGACTGGCAGGAGGCCTTCAAGTCGTTGAATATTTGCGGAGAACAGTTCTTGAATCTCAGCAATGCCCATGGCGGGCACAGCGGCCGTCTCACAATGCATTACCAGGTGTACCCGCAGCTGGCACGGGAATGCAAAAAGAGAGGGACAGAGTGGAATCAGAACAACGAGCGAGCGGAGGGTAAGCGCATACGCCGGCTGATCATGCGCATCCTCGATCCATCCAACGGCGGCGCTGGCAGCGACAAGCCTCCAGCACTAACTGGCGGTGTGACCCCGTGGCAGGAGGGTTTAGAGTTTGGAGTGCTTCCAATGTTGACTCGGAAAATGATCAGCGTCGAGCCGTCAGTAGAGGATGGAGACGGCGACGGCAGACGTAAAAAGGCCAGGCGGGGTTCGTCGGTGGCTAGAGTGGCCGGAGGAAGCGTCAGTGGGAAGTTTGCATGCCCTTACTTCAAGCGGAACCCAAAGAAGTACCGCAAGTGGACGTCCTGTCCCGGCCCAGGATGGGACGAGGTGCATCGCGCCAAGTACGACTGTCCGACAGCTCACCGTTCTCTTTGTTCTCTGCATATCATTTCCCATGTCCTCTCCTTTTTGCGCTGACGCGTCTGCAGGACTCACCTCTACAGATGGCATCAGCTTCCCATACAATGTCCTCGATGCTGGACTGTATTCAAGACGGATGACCAACGTCAGTCGCACCTGCAGCAAGACCCGCCGTGTGCGGTCCAACCGAATCAAACGCTCTACGAGGGCTTCACCAAGGACCAGGAGAAGAGGCTTCGCAGCCGCAAGAAGACGCAGGCGGACACGACCGACGAGGCCAAATGGCGCGAGATCTATATGATCCTCTTTCCGGATGATGACGTGGCCGCCATTCCCTCGCCATGTGAGTGCCATACTCGTGCTACGCAAAAGGGGCCGAGTTTCTAATCAGTGCCTGGCAGACTACGACGAATCCGACGCCAACGGAGAGGGTGGCAGTACAAGTAGTGGATCCGGGGAATTCGAGGACTACGCCACCTTCATCCGCCGAGAGATGCCCACGCTCGTGCGGCGGGAGCTGGAGGTGTTGTTCCGCGACGAGTTCCGGGACGTCGAGGAGCGACTGCGGCCGCGCATGGCCGAGATTGTGCTCAACCTGCAGCTGAGACTGCTGAGCCTCTACAAACAGTCGCAGATGCCCCTGAGCGAATACGGGCCCGCGCAGCATGGAGACATGGCTAGTGGTGGCGAGAAAACGTCCACACCATCGCTGTCGCAGGTGGGCTCGGTCACAGGGTCGGGAACTAACTCAACGCCCACTACGCTACCGGGAGTCAAGGGCTCTCTGGTCGAAGCCGAGACCCAACCGGATTGGTACGACGGCATCTGGGACACGGACTGCGATGCGGGTTATTTCGGGAGCCAAGTCCTTGCACAGGTACCCTCGGAGACGGGCACTTGCCCGGGGCTGGACTGGGAGCATGAGTTTGATACATTGCTGGACCACGTTCTTCCGCCGGTGGACATACAAACTGGGTACTTTGGCCAGCCTGCCCAGGCATCAGCACAGGGAGGATGACCTCAAGTTCTGGAATAGCTATGTCCTACAAAGCTTCTATGCAGGGGCGATTTGATACCGCTGATCACCGCCTTCTGCACTCGGACACTACACACGACAAAGACGCCCATTCTGCGTCGGCAGCTCAGTCGGCGTCTGCACGGCCCACGCCTCGCTCCCGGGTGTCGTCGGCGCCCAGAACACATGCCACGGATCCCAGTCCCGCTTGATGCTCACCAACCTATCATAGTTGGACCCGAAGAAGCTGGTCTGCCAATCTGGCTCTAGCACGTCACACTCGTTGAAGTACGCCCCTCCCCCAGGCGTTGCCGCGCGGAGGGCGTCCATGTACCCATTGAGACGCCGCTGCTCCGCGGCGGCCTCGGCTGGCGTCACGGTGCCCATGTTGATGCTCGCGAACACGTCGGCATGCATGGCCACGTCGCGCCACACCGGGTTCACCCCGGCCGGTGCCGCATACCCGCCGGCTTTGACTGTGGGTGCCATGTTGAGGCCGTGGAACGTGTACCCCGCCTCCACTGTCGCGCGGGCCGCGTCCATGACGGCGGCGAAGAGCGTGGCGTTTTCAAAGCTCGCGCGCGGGAACAGCCGGGAGGCGAGGTAGCTGTTCCCTGGGCCACCGCCGTGGTTTCCCATATGGCTGCTGTACACCTGCGTGGCTGGCGTGTTGATGGCGACGGGGATACCGAGGTCATTGAGGGTGCGGACCAGGGGCTGTACGAATGCGCTGGTTGCCGCCGGCGTCAGACCGGGCATCTGCGCTTGCACCTGCATCTGGTAACGGCCGCTGCCGGCTGGGGTGGCGGTCGTCCAGAGATAGCCTCCCGCGTCGATAGTCGGGATGCCGAAGGCGTAGACCGCGTTGAAGCCCTTCCAGAAGACGTTGGCGTCGGCGACCGTGACGCTAGGGCCGGGGGTGATCGAGGTGGTGTTGCCCAGGGCGAAGGTGAAGCTCGCGATGGTCAGGTTGATTTGGGGCTGCGCCTTGACGATCGCAGAGGTGATTATGCCGTAGGTGCCTTGGCACGAGGTCAGTCCTCTTCTCGACATCAAATACTAGTACTACTATGTGAAAGCGGTGAACTTACTCCCACCGCCGCCGCGCAGCGCAAAGAACAAATCCGGGTTCATCTGCGCATCAGCCGTCACGCAGCGCCCGTCCGCCGTGACGACCTGTAACTCCAGAACCTGGTCGACGCCCAGGCCGAACTTGGAGCTCAGCGGCGAGTGACCGCCGCCCGTGATCCAGCCGCCGTACGAGCCCACCGTCAGACACGACGCGCTTACCAGCGTCACGTTGTGGCGCTCGGCGTGGGCAAAGGCCTCCCACACTTGCAGTCCCGCACCCACGCGGGCGGCCGGGCCTCGATAGGTCCCGTTCGGCTGGCTGTAGTTGGGGAGGAACTCGAAACCTTTGAGGTAGTGTGTCCACACGCTGAGCGACCCGGCCCCGGTGTTACGGCCGACGAAGTCGTGTCCGGTGTTCCTAGGCCTATTAGTCAAGAACTAAAGGTACTCAATTCTCGGTCGGGTAAGCGATACTAGTACTAGTAAGTACGTACTTGATGACGAGTCGGACATTCCTGTTTCTCCCAAAGTTGACTGCCGCCTGCACCTGCTTGACGGTGGTTGCATTCACGACATAGACCGGGTACCCACCCTGGGTGCAGTTCCCCGTCGGGTTCGCGGAGAGCAGGCAGGTGTTTCCCTGCGGCCACTGGGTCAGGATGGTGACCGGGTCGTCGAGGTAGAAGGTCGTCTGGCTGGCGTTGCTGACCGCGAAGCGGCAGGCCTCGGCGTTGAAATTCGGTGAGGTGCTGTAGCACACGGACGCCGGGGGCAGGGGGTTGAGGAGGGCGCCGTCCAGCGTTTGGTTCAGTTGAGACCATTCGTTCTCGCTTGGCCAGGATGGGTCGCCGGGGAATGCCTTGCATTGGGGTCCGGCTCTGGATGATCGTGCTAGTCTCTGCGCCCGGAGGTTGCCAAATGAGACCGCATCGAAGTCTGCGATGGCGTCCGGGGTGAGTTGGGTATCCTGGGCAGCATCCCAGCGGTGCGCAGCCAGGCTGTGGACAGTCTGGCTGAAGACGGCGCAGGCGAGAGCGGGAAGGGTCGAACGCATTGTAGCTGGACTACTACTACCTGGGTCGGGCACAGGGAGAGTATAGACGAGTGCCTGTCCAAGGTCCTACTAGTATGCATGTGAGGGAGAGCTCTTTATACCCGCTGGCTCCCGCCCACTGACGTCTCCGCGCCGGAGATACTGCGCTGGCTAGGTCCTTTCCAGCCCGCACTCGTACGTCCGAGTAGTAAACTTACACCATCATCGGTATCATCGGTAATAAGCGCCCGATCGGGAACTGAACTCGTGGTGGGCCTGGCCCAAAGAGGAAGGATTTCACGAGGGATTTCACCGATGGCTTGTGCCTTTCGCCTTTGAGGTACTACGACACGACAGGAACGCGGAACTTTCTAGCCTGGGCCTCCCGCTGTGCAACGTCACGGCAACCCGCAGCCGTCCCGGCTCGCGGGGCACATGGTGGTATTATTGAAACTGAAAGCGGGGGTTAGAAAGGAAGATTGGGGTCGAAGTGCCAAACAGGTAGGTACTAGAGTAATGTTCTCGTTCGGTGTATAGAATATATGATTATTTTTAGAATACCTACCATGTTGACTGCGCCCCGTTTTGCTCCGGTGCGCGCTCTCTAGTACTGTCAATACAAATAACGTTGTATGTAAACTCACTTCGCTGAACCCACACGCATTCTCACCCATCCAATCCATTATTGGCCCCCTCGAGATTTCCCCTGAGCGTTCCCGCCGCTCGCCACCGCGGCCGTCCATCCCGCCGGCTCCTTGAGCGATCCGGCCTCCGACTCGATCGCGATCTCCCGGGCCACCGTGATGTTCTTGCTCGGGTCGGCCGCGCTGCCGTTCTCGCACAGGATCTGCTCGTCGCTGTCCCAGGCCGTCGCGGTGCGGATCGGGTTGGACCGGTTGGTTGCCTTGGTGCTCCGCAGCGGGTAGCTCCCTCCGCCCCCGCCGATCGTCCGGCCTTCGTAGGGCGTGTTCGTGGTGTTGTGCGTCGAGAACAGCGCACCCAGCCCGATCTTCTTGCAGAAGGACCGGATCGGCGCGTGCAGGATCGGCAGGTTCGACACGACGATGGACACGAATTGCTCGCGGATGGCCCACTCACTGCCACTGACGGCGCCGTCGGGTCCGGCCTTTAGCAGGGTTACGCAATGTCAGCTTGATTCTTGATCTTAGGGGACACGGCGCTGATAAAGGCAAAGGAAGGTAAGGAAGGTATCTTACGGTAAGAATGACGACTGCACGGATGATAGCCGCCATGATGACGAAGAGCACCCCAGAGAACAGGAGGGTCAAGGAGAGCTTCTTCCTCAAGCTGATGTTGATGGCCCAGAGGAGCTGGTGGAAGTGAGCAAAGCTGTGCCACCAAAGGAAGGCTCCGCGCAAGACCTACCGGCAGAGGGATGGAGAGCAGATACATGTCTGTGAGGACATCCGGGATCAGGACTGAGAGGACGTAGAGTTTGGAGTTGGTGGGTTGGCAGACTGCAAGGTCAGTCCATCTCAGCAAGACTCGTGGTGGTCCGGACACTGAACTTACTCCCAGGATCGGGGTAGATCTGCCAGTATTTCGACATGGGCTGACACCCGAAGAGGAGGATGCACGTGGTGATCACCCAAGTCCCGCCGATGAAGGCGTACGCAATGTAGACGTAGATTTGCCAGTGGGCCAGCTTAGTCCTGTTTCAAGTTTTTGCTCAGTGTCCGTGTCCCAGGTGCTGTTGGAAGACGTGGGTAAACGCACGTTAGCCGCGAGTAGAAAACGGCGACGCAGCCTTTGATGCACCACAGGCTCGCCGCGTAGAAGGTCCACCCGAAAACCTGGATCTTGGATCCCAGGACACGGTGTGCATATTCTTCCGAGTCGGGGTCGAGAGCGGCGCGCTGCTCCTCCGTCATGTAACTGTTGGTCAAGCCATGGGCCGCCGATACCACGTATATCGCTGCTACCAAGTCGACGATGGCGAGTATCTGCTGTGGTTAGTCGCGAGAAGAAATACAAGGGGAAAAAGGTGTGGTGGATGTTTTTCCACTTACACCGGCCACCGGCATGAGGTAGTCATCGAGCTGCAATCCCCGGAAACCAACACTTCTCAGGCGCACAAATGTCCGCAGCCCAATAATAGCCAGGACGAATGAGAGAAGCGTCCAAGCTTCAACGTTTTGCCCAGCCATTGTGGTGGCATTTGACGAAGCGGCATCAAAGAATCACAACGGAGCAGCCAACAACAAGAAAACCAGCCACAAAGATTGAGTCCGGGAATTTATTCTTATTAGTATTATCTGCTTCTTCCAGAACGGCAGAACCGCGGGGTGCAACGTTTTTAGCCCGGACACGGACTCCTTGCCCGGCCATGGCGAGGCCCAGGGTCCCCAGATGGAGATCGGTGCCAAGTCTCGCAGAGATCTTCATGCGCAAAAATTCGGTTCCTCGCCTGTCCCAGTTACCTTTTACTCTATATGGGAGACGAAAGCGAGACGTGGCTTGCACTATCCCGAGTGCAGAAGAATGCGTCTTGTCTTACGGAGGCAACTCCACCACAGGCCCACCGATCATCGAACCTGATTTCCAAACTACAGTCCTGATTTGATCCCAAGATCGGTAGTTGGTTTCGTGTGGAGCCGGAGAGCTAAACCTAAAAACATTGGCGTTACACATAGCACATAAGCTACCTACTAGTCAAAGACTCAACAGTTTGGACTCTGTCAAAGTGAGACACTTCGGCTTGTCTGTCGACCTTGGTCCCCTGCGAGACCTGATATAGAGCAACATGTACGGAGAACATTTCATGCCAGTCAGCCAAGAGGGGTGGACAAGCTGTTGGACATAGGTCTGTACAGTATCCGTATGACCATATACATGTACACATGTACATGTATGTACATGCAGGGTAGGACACATACCCTAGACGCCATCTGCACATCATTGTCGCTTATAGAAAAAGAACCGTCGACGCAACATCATTGCTTCATCGTTGCTTCAGTTCTGGCCTCTGTAACCTGTCCCTCAGCAAAGTCCTTACCTTATAAGTATAAGCTTGGTTGCAAGGTCACATCGCTCTCTGCGCTGCTCACAATCTTCCATTCTTCTCGCGCTGAGAACTCTAACAATGGGAGACTTCCGCTTGGAGAGTATGCCCCTGAAGCGCCTCCCATACCGGTATAACTAGTGGCTCCAGAGTGGGTACCGCACTCGGCCGGGCAACAAGGGTGCGGAGAACCTGGATCCCTTGGCGTGTCGAACGTCGGATCAGCGCTGCTCCAATCAACCCCGAGGTTATCCCTCTCGCAATCTCTCCTCCCCCTACCTGTGCATCGGTTTTGCCGTCCGCGCGCTGCCTGTCAATACACAGTAGTTATCCGGGTTCTGCTCTTTACACTAGCCTCTCACAAACAAGCGAGGAGAGAAGCTCTTGCTTTTGCATTGCCAATCCGCTCGCCCGGGCCAACCGCCCTTCATCAGCCCCCCCCCCCCCCCCCCCCGACTTCAGATTAACCCATGTCCTTGGCGCCCCGATCACCCCGCTTGGTTCATGCCCACGTAGCCTATAGCACGGGTAACTACTATGGACCGGGATGTGAAGGGCTGGTGAATCTTGCGAGAATGTGGAATCGGGAATGTGGTCGCTACCACAGTGAACACCGTCGAGAGAAACCCAACCCAATGATCTTCAGATCACGAACAATACGGAGTATAGCTGTCTACCTCTTCCGTCACAAGCAACAGGTGAGGGCGATCTATATAGGCAGTGTAAGGAGCCACCATGCCCTCCGCTCTGGACACCGATGAACCGAATGGCAAGGAGTCAACTAGTTCCCCTTATACGCAAACATGCGGTGGCATGAATTGCTAGATAGAGGACGGAGTGTAAAGATACCCAAGCGATCTTTTGTTGGAGTCGGACAGTGACCAGCATTGTGATTCGACCACTGGTGACTGATTTGACTCTCATCATCCAGTCAATGGCATGGGCTTTGGACTTTTACAGCGACTTTATACCAATTCCTCCCAGAGCATTCGACTATCCGATCCATGATGCTGTTTCTCCGAGCTAGGTACGATACAAATCGGAGTCTGCTACAGATGCCCATTCATTGTGAAGCACGGGAAGAAGTCTCAACTCTACTACCGCCAACCACCAAGGTCGACGGCAGCGAGCAACTTGTAAGTAGCATAAGAGGGCTCTCTCTCCATACAAACGTTGCATGGGCAATGTAGACATACCAGTTGATCTATGTCTCCCGCCGGTTCGCGTACCACAGAACGAATATTTGTCGGTTAATACTACCAGGAAAAGACTATCGTCACGATATAGTCTAGTTGCGACCAGACGAAGTCATTCCGTCGCCAGACGTTGTCCTGCTAGCAAACAAACACTCAGCGCGGCTTGTTCATATCGCTCCCAGTTGGTAGCGAACTTATCATGAGCGGCAACATTTTGAGAGTCGACGTGGCTATAAATCTAAGATTGTACCGGCGTTTAGTTGATGCTCTCAGTCTTCAGACTGCGCGAAGAAAAGAAAAAGAGTTAGATCGGTTTGGCAAGTATTACCCGAACCTGGACGGCAGATGTCTCCATTTCGGTCACTGATCCATAGAGGCTGGACTCCATTACTAGCTGACTGTGAAGCTAGCCGGACCGGTTTCTACAAAGGACATCCAGCTCACACAAAATGGACGCACTATACTTCACCGTGTTGGACGCTATGTCAGTTTGTGATCCTTGCTGCTATGGAGCTTGCAATTCAACTACTAGTACTCCGATATGTCATAACAGGTCTGGTGCACAGTCACCATGCACTCGCTGTACTTCGTGCACTTCTGTGGTAAATATTACCGCCGACGAGACCGTCTGCTTCGGGTATGTATGTTCGTACAATACCAAGCCCGTACTTCCATACAGTAGGCTTCCAAGTCAGTCATTGTAACTTACGAATATCAAGAGAGAGTTAACATTCCCGTCGACGTCTTGAATAACCACCCAGTAAAAACTGAGTACCTTATGCATTTATGTATGTTTGAATACACCTGCACTTACACTAAGACCTCATGTCAGCTGCTGTACTTACGGGCAACAGGAAGGAGTTGGCGCTGTCATAGAGGTGCGAGTACAGTACGGATTAGGGGTGATCATACTTACACAGTAATTCACGTCGGTTGTTGTAACTTACACCCACACCAAAACCCTTACCATAAAGACGGTCAGAGGCTTTTAGGCATGGCGTTCGATCTCACTTTACGCCGGCAGTATCGCGACCGGATTTTAGAATCATTGGAAAGACAAGGAGCCAACTCAGGTCAGTCATGGACGGTGCATTGAACAATACCGTAGTTGCGCAAGTGGAAGCAACCTCTATCACACTGGCCAAAGTTACATAATACTGTACGGATTACAGAGTAGGAGAATGCCAAGCGCCAGGGAAGAAGCTCATCGCATGCAGCCAATGCCGAGTGCGAAATCTGCCAAAACTGAAACATTGGGTCAACTTGCCGACGCATCCGACGCCTCAACGTACACAGTCAGCAGCAAGCACGTGGTGGCCAACGCAGGGTCGCACCACTGGCGAGAGAGACCGAAACATACGATCCGCAACGCTCTGGTGAAAGGCGCCTCTGCCTCGACAACATCCAGCGTTCTGGGAACGACATTGGGCCGGAGTTCAACATGCCGTCAATACCGAAGACTTCATGGCTTAGGGTGCCCCGTCCGAGGGTTGGTTTGCCGCTACCTCCTAGACGCAATTCCCTTTGTTGTTGCTGACCTGTCCCGCGCGTCCTACAGTCTTTCCTCGGCCTGCTCTCCCTCCAAACAGGCACCGAACTGATCTCGGTCGCGCTGGTATTCAACAAGGCGACCGGCGTCTACGGCCTCCTCACGCTGTTCACGGGCTACTCGCTCTCCGCGCTCCAGGTGACGGCGTACCTCGGCTCGATCCTCGTCCTCGTCGCGCTCGCGCTCTGCGTCCCCCACATCCGCAAACAGAGCCCCCTGCAGAACCTCGCTCTCGCTTGGGTCTACGCCATCGACACGGTCGTCAGTGCCGCCTACACTACCGCCTTCGCGACGAGCTGGTATCTCGCGTTGCGGAACGACCCGACGGGCCCCGCGGGCCATGAGGAGGCGCCGGGGACGCAAAGTGCTAATGGACAGGTGCGGCGCGACGGTGGCCAGGCCAAGGCTGCAGCTGGCGTGGAGGATACTGCGGCAAGCATGGTGCTCATCGTCGCTTTCTCGCTCGTGCGGGTATACTTCAGCCTTGTGGTCATGGCATATGCTCGGATGGTGCTGCTGCGGTTCGTGGACGAGAGGATGGCTGACGCGGAAGACGTGTCCGGCACGACCGCCGACCCGTTTGCCGTCGGCGCTCCCCTTGGCGAAGGGTGGAGGGGACAGTTGGGAAGGGCGATGGTGTCGGTAGGGAGAGGCTACTGGCTGGGCGGCAAGAAAGAGGACGAGGAATGGGCACGGCGGGTCAAAGCCAAGTTCCGGAGCACCAGAGAGTGAGAATGGGCAATAGCGGTGCGGCTCTGGACAGCGACACGTTGCTGAGCCGACTGTACAGACTTCCTCTCATGTTCTAAGATTGCTTGGCTGTTCGGCGTTCCCCTTTTCCTCCCAGACTTTTCACATCATGAGCAGACAGGATAGACCGCTAGAGAGGGGTATAGCTTCCGTGATACCCCGAAAACGGTGCCTTGATGGAGATTTGTAATTCATAATGTTTACTCAACGCTCTGTCGGGGTCCCGCGTGAGGGTTCCCGCCCGAGAGCCGCCTACCCGCACTTCCCGTCCCGAGAGCCGTCGCCGTTCCGCTCAATGTTTGCGGGGTGGGGAAATAAGGCAGCGCCCTGAAGCCAGTTGGGGATCAACTTCCGTCACTAGAGTCTATATACCTTAGTTAAGGAGGTAAGCTTCTCGGTGACATATCTATATGTTCAGTCGTCACAGTGTCATCACCATAAGAGGACCCTGAATTTGAACCTGGGAGTTGGGACACGCTGGGACAACCCGATTCCCGAAAGTATGCCGCCCTAACGGATATTCGCCGTGAACGCCTTTAGTTCTCTGTTAGTACTTGGCTGACGATGACGAAACGGCATTGAAATCCCAGGCGCGCAATTCGCTGGATGATCTGGGGTTCTGGGCCAAACCCGGGATTCGTGATGCGCTAGGGCGATCACGCAATCGCCCAAGGACGGCGCCCGGCGCCCGCTTACCCATTCCGAGAGAAATTTGGGACGAGCTGCGGGGCCGATATAGGCACGTTAATAAAATAAACTCACCTGCCTCCGGCTCTGGCCCCGACATAAAGAATGAGGTTTCTGTAGGAGCGAGCCGAAAAGCAGGCCTGTGATGCTGCACTCGCCCGAATCAATCGAATTGAGTTCCTGAAGGCTTCAGCAATGGCCGAAGTCAAGCTCAGGACGCCTGAAGAGGCCGGTGAGTGCACTCGACTGCCCCGCCTTGATCAGACTTCAGACGGCTGCTGCCCCGCAGTTCGCTGCCGCTGCCGCTGCCGCTGCCACTCTGCGCAAGAGGTTTGGCATATGCAAACGCCTGAGGAGTGCAAGCAAGAAGTGTTCTGACGGCAAGCTTGATCGGACAACACACAGCTAACGTCTACGTCTTGAAGTCGCGACGATCGCGTACCTTTCTAGTGATGTCGTCGTTTCCGTGCAGCCGTCGCTGGCCTCCGACTCGGAGTTCTCGCGGCATTTGAAGCAGCTCGCATCGCAAAAGAGGAATAGCTTGGTCGCGAAGACTCGCGATGCCGTGCCCGAAATCCAGTCCGTCCGGCACAACAACGATCCCCTTCTCTCCGTCTTAACCCCGATCCGCTCGGGTCGTCTTGTCTCGGTAACCACCACATCAACGATCCTGCTACCATCCGTTGCGCACCTGTATAAGCTCGCAAACCTGCCGGTTGTCCTCCATGTCGCGCTCGCGCCGAAGAGCTTCCCAGACTACTCAGCGATCACATCCATTCGGAATTCGGGATGGACCTTCTTACAGTCGTGGTCGCTGCAGGAGGCCCAGGACATTGCTCTGACGGCCCACGCTCTTGCTATCCGCTCGGGCAAAGGCGTCATCCATTTCTTCGACCCCGACGCCAGTGCACACGACGAGCCCATTGGCGTGGCGAGTCTCGATGCCATCCGCAGCCTATTAAATCTGGATAATGTGCGGAGGTTCCAGTCTGCACCCATCTCCGGCTCGAGCATCTATGCGGATGACGGACGAGTTGCCGTTGTCTCCGAGCAACCCGAGCCCCTGACTACTGCACCCGTCGCAGTTAATGGCACCGCGGCGAGCCAGGTCGAGCCCGCATCGCCAACCATCACCACCCACTCATCCTCCAAGTCTAGCCAACAAAGCGCCACCAGCTCCCCTCCTCTCCCGTCCGCCGCGACCACCGTCGAGCCCGCGCCGGCTATCGTTTCATCCGAAGACATCCACAAATACGTGACCACCATCTGGTCCCAGCTCAGCGACCTCCTCGGGAGGCAGTACAACGTCTTCGAGTGGAGGGGCCCAGCCCAGGCGGAAAACTGCCTGTTCCTCTTCGGGTCGGATGTGGCTTTATTCTCCGACGCCATCACCCAAGCGCAGGCGGATGAATCGTTCGCCAATGCTGGACTGGTCGTGCCTAGGCTATACCGGCCATGGCTTGGGGCGAAGCTTCTCGAAGCTCTTCCGAGATCCGTGAAGAAGGTTGCAGTTCTCGAGCAAGTATCGAGGAAGACAACAAAATGGGGCCCGATCCTGATCGATGTGTTGACTTCGGTCAAGAACGGCCCGGGTGGTGTCCAGACGATTGTTGGCCACTTGCTGGGACATATCACCAAGGACACGGTCCAGCAAGCCCTCCGCGGCATCTTCCAGAACCTGACCTCTGACAAGCCGGTTCAGAACCTGGAGGTTGGCGAGCGGGAAGAAGCGCCTCAGCAGTCGTCCGAGTACGACCTTGAGAAGCCCAAGCTCGAAACCGCGTATACTAAGATTCTCGACCAGCTCTTTGGTAGCAGGGCATTCATTGCCAACTCCCTCGACTCGGAACACGCCGGCGTTTCCACTACCATCTCCGCGACCCCGGAATTCGGCTTCGGATCCCTGCTTGCCAGGAAAGAGCGGAGACAGCGTTTTGTTGCAGAGGTCAAGCAGGCCGCTAGGTCGGGCCAGTTCCTGACGGAAGTCCCCAAGCGAGCACTGGCGAAGTGGGTGGCCAACGCCGAGGATGTGAAGAAGTCCGAGGAGACCGCAGAAGAAGCCGTGTCGAAGCTCACGATCGACAACTCGAGAGTGTCAAAGTCGTTGCTGGAAAACAAGCACTTCTTCCGCAAGCAGTCGCTGTGGCTTGTCGGCTCTGATGCCTGGGCCTACGACCTTGGAAATTCGGGCGTTCACCATGTCCTGGCTTCGGGCGAGAACGTCAACCTGCTGATCATCGATTCGACTCCTTACTCTGAGCGTGCTGCTGCTGACGCCAACCGGAGGAAGAAGGACATTGGCCTCTACGCGATGAACTTTGGGAACGCCTACGTTGCATCGACGGCCGTCTACAGCTCCTATACGCAGGTCATCCAAGCCATGGACGAGGCCGACAAGTTCAACGGGCCCTCCGTGGTGCTGGCATACCTGCCCTACTTTGGCGAGCATGACTCCCCTTTGACCGTGCTGCAGGAGACTAAGAAGGCCGTCGACGTTGGCTACTGGCCCCTGTACCGCTGGAACCCGGAGAACGAGGCCAAGGGCGAGCCAAACTTCTCTCTGGATTCCGAGCGGATCAAGAAGGAGCTGAAGGAGTTCCTGGACAGGGACAACCGCCTTACCCAGCTGATGCGGAGCCAGCCGCAATTTGGCGGTGTCCTTTCTGAGGATTACGGGACAGAGATCCGGGCGCAGCAGAAGAGGCAAGCGAAGGATGCGTACAATCAGCTGCTCGAGGGCCTGTTCGGTGCGCCGCTCACCATCCTGTTCGCCTCGGACAACGGCAACGGTCAGTCCCTGGCCAAGCGGTTAGGAACCCGGGGCAGAGCCCGCGGCCTGAAGACGACAGTCATGGCCATGGAAGACTACCCGGTCGAGGACCTGCCAGGGGAAGAGAACATCGTTTTCATCACATCAACAGCCGGACAGGGCGAGTTCCCGCAAAACGGCAAACCTTTCTGGGACGCCATCAAAGACAACACCGAGCTGGACTTGGCGTCGGTGAAGTACTCCGTTTTTGGGTTGGGAGACAGCCACTACTGGCCGCGGAAGGAGGACAAGGTCTACTATAACAAGCCCGGTAAGGACCTCGACAGGGTGCTGGCCAACTTTGGCGCAACCCGATTGGCGGACATCGGGCTGGGCGACGACCAGGACCCGGATGGCTACCAGACGGGCTACCAGGAATGGGAGCCCAAGCTGTGGGAAGCGTTGGGCGTGGCGAACGTCGAGGGGCTCCCCGAGGAGCCGCCCCCGATCACCAACGAGGACATCAAGCTGGCATCGAACTATCTGCGCGGCACCATCGCCGAGGAGCTGAAGGACAGGTCGACGGGCGCCATCTCGGCGGCGAACCAGCAGCTGACCAAGTTCCACGGCACCTACATGCAGGACGACCGGGACGTGCGCGATGAGCGCAAGGCGCAGGGGCTCGAACCGGCCTACTCGTTCATGATCCGGTGCCGGCTGCCGGGCGGCGTGTCGACGGCGAAGCAGTGGATCCAGATGGACGACATCAGCAACGAGCTCGGCAACGAGACCATGAAGCTGACCACGCGGCAGACCTTCCAGTTCCACGGCGTCGTCAAGGGCAAGCTGAAGCCGGCCATGCAGGCCATCAACCGCGCGCTCATGACCACGATCGCGGCGTGCGGCGACGTCAACCGCAACGTCATGTGCAGCCCGCTGCCGTCGCAGTCGGGCTACCACCGCGAGGTGTGGGCCTGCTCCAAAAAGATCAGCGACCACCTGCTGCCGTCGACGTCGGCCTACCACGAGATCTGGCTGACCGACGACGACGACAAGAAGACGCAGGTGGCCGGTGACGCGGTGCAGGACTTCGAGCCGCTGTACGGCCCGACGTACCTGCCGCGCAAGTTCAAGATCTCGATCGCCATCCCGCCGCACAACGACGTGGACGTGTACGCGCACGATATCGGGCTCATCGCCATCAAGGGCGCCGACGGCCACCTGGAGGGCTTCAACCTGCTGGCCGGCGGCGGTATGGGCGCGACGCACAACAACAAGAAAACGTACCCGCAGGTCGGCCGCATGCTTGGTTTCGTGGGTGCCGATGACGTGCATGTGGCGTGCGAGAAGGTCATGCTCGTGCAGCGTGACCACGGCGACCGCAAGAACCGCAAGCACGCGCGGCTCAAGTACACCATCGACGACATGGGCGTCGACGTGTTCCGCGCGCAGGTCGAGGAGCGCTGGGGCAAGACGTTCGCGCCGGCGCGGCCGTTCCACTTCGACAGCAACATCGACACCTTCGGCTGGGCGCGCGACGAGCACGGCATGAACCACTTCACCTTCTTCATCGAGAACGGGCGCATCGAGGACACGGCCGACTTCCGCATGAAAACGGGCCTGCGCGAGATCGCCAAGGTGCACAAGGGCAAGTTCCGCCTGACGCCCAACCAGCACCTGATCCTCAGCAACGTGGCCGACGAGGACCTGCCCGCCATCAAGGCGCTCATGGCCGAGTACAAGCTCGACAACCTGCACTTCTCGGCGCTGCGCCTCAGCTCGTCGGCCTGCGTGGCCTTCCCGACCTGCGGCCTCGCCATGGCCGAGAGCGAGCGCTACCTGCCCGTGCTGATCTCCAAACTGGAGGCCTGTCTCGAGGAGAACGGCCTGCGCCAGGACTCGATCGTCATGCGCATGACGGGATGCCCCAACGGCTGCGCCCGCCCCTGGCTGGCCGAGGTCGCCTTCGTCGGGAAGGCCTACGGCGCCTACAATATGTACCTCGGCGGCGGCTACCACGGCCAGCGCCTCAACAAGCTGTACCGCTCCAGCATCAAGGAGGACGAGATCCTCGCGATCATGAAGCCGCTGCTGAAACGCTATGCCACGGAGCGCCACGAGGGCGAGCACTTTGGCGACTGGACCATCCGCGCCGGCATCATCAAGGAGACCAAGGAGGGCCGGGACTTCCACGAGGGGGTGAGTTCTTCTTTTCCAGGGTTGACTTTGGACCTTTGCCTTTGAGTGGAATAAAATTGGTTGCTAACGTTGAGTGCTTGCAGGTTGCCGAAGAGGAGTCGGATGAGGAGTGAAGGAATGCTGTTTGGTGTTTCAAAATCGAAAAGTGGCGGTGGGAGTGTGCCGCTGTACATACTACTACCTCTCCGACTAGTGGTTTCTCATGGTCATGTCTTGGGCGTCTGTTTTGAAGAATTTAGCTGCATATGAATATCCATCTCCGTCATTTCAAGAGGGATGAAGTATCTCTGTCGAAGTTCTGCTCTGCTCCGAAGTCATTTGCTCCGAACCAACAGATGATCAGATAAGATATCCGGTTTCTTATTGGGGTGACATAGTATGAACTCTCAAACTCGGAGTGTGGAAAATCATCCATGAGATTTTGCATGAAATGCGTATACGTGTAACGCTACCTAGTGTAGGGACCGTGAACCCTGCCAACAGATCGGCAATTGGCGTTCGGGGCGAAGTGGGTCTCGCGTGTGTGTGCCTGACTGCCTGCCGCGTACCTTGCGGGGTTGCTCTGGCAACATGACGGGCAGGAGAACCAAACATTCCCAAGCGAAAGAACCCCTCCAACACCCGCAAACCAGAAGCGAGCCGCATTCTGCTCTGTCGACACGGGCTCCACGGCGAATTTTCTGTTGCGGATTCATTGCTGGATTTCCATTCCACATCCCCAGACGTGACGACGCGCCTCACTGATCTTCGCAAATCCGGGGTTTGGTCCTAGCTTTTGGTCCTTGCTTTTGCATTCTTCTCAAATTCGTCTCTCCCTTACAGAGCACTGCGACAATTGCAATAATTCTGTCCAGCATACCAACCGACCCGTGCCCTGTTTCAACCGCACATTCCAGCATTTTGCGGCAACGCCGCCACAGCAGCAGCCCGCCGTCATGGATGGCCGACACTCGCCGTCGCGCGCGCCGCCCGAGTACAGGCTGCCCCCGTATGGCGACTTCGACGACCCGACCCCAACTGGCACGCCGGGCCATGGCTCGGCCGTGCGTCTGTTGACCTCGATGGAGGACCCCTTTGACTCGGGGCAGTATGTAGCTCCCATTCCTCCCCCTTCTCCCCTCCAGCACCCTCAGCAAGTGCACTTGCCTCGGAACAACGTGACCCCCGAGATGCCGTCTGCGCCTGGGGAGCGATCACCGAGAAGATTGTCCCGCAGGGATCAAGATGCTGCGTCTGCCCGCGCTCCAGCTCCAATGGGCCCGCGGCAGAAGCCCGCTCCAAAAGAAAAGAGCCCAACCGGCAGCCCCTCAACTGTGAGACTGCAGAGGAAGAAAATGGCAGAACCGCCTGCAACAACAGCACCACCAATGCAAGAGCCGAACCTGCCCGTAATCCCGGAGGGCCCGTCTCCGAGGAAGATGGCGCGGTTCCAGGCCCGATGCGAATCCTACTCGTCTGAGATATCGAGACAGGAGAAGCTTGAACCTCATTCATACCGCAGCACAAGCTCACATCAGGACGAAACTAGGAGCCGAACGAGACGAGCTTACGAGCCTTCCCTCGACTCGCGCCAATCCATCCTCGACCCGCCGCACATGCCGCCGCCCGAGACGTCGTCCTCGTTCAGCGCGTACAACCCAGTCACGGACGGCGCATCTCCGACTCGACCGTGGACGGCGTCGCGCAGGTCGTCCGAGTACGGCCGGCCGCCCCCAGTTAGCAACCGATACGAGCCGGCCGACCTCAACGGCAGTCCCAGGCCGGGCACGCCCGCGTCCACCTACGGCGGCAGCCCCCGGCGGCCCCTGCCTCCCGCGCCGCTCTTCTCGCAGCCCGCGCGGGGCTCTACGCACTCGTTTGCCGACGACGTCACGGTGAGCATCCCGCTTTCGGAGGATCCCGACGATGTCTTCGGGCCCGAGTCGGACGTAAGCGGCGCGAGATACACCCAGCACCACGAGGCCTACGCGCAGTCGCAGGAGACGCTGAGCGAGGAAGACTCGACGGATGTGTTTGACGAGAAGGTGGAGCGGTACGGGCCGGCGCCGGAGGGCAAGCAGGAGCGGCGCGGGGTGCGGGCGCCGCAGATGAGCAAGAAGGAGGTGCAGCTGATCAACGGCGAGCTGGTGCTGGAGTGCAAGATCCCGACGATCCTGTACAGCTTCCTGCCGCGGCGCGACGAGATCGAGTTCACGCACATGCGCTACACGGCGGTGACGTGCGACCCGGACGACTTCGTCGACCGCGGGTACAAGCTGCGACAGAACATCGGGCGGACGGCGCGCGAGACGGAGCTGTTCATCTGCATCACCATGTACAACGAGGACGAGTACGACTTCACGCGCACGATGCACGCTGTCATGAAGAACATCAGCCACTTCTGCAGCCGCAACAAGAGCCGCACGTGGGGCGAGCTGGGCTGGCAGAAGATCGTCGTATGCATCGTGTCGGACGGGCGCGAGAAGATCCACCCGCGCACGCTCGACGCGCTGGCCGCCATGGGCATCTATCAGCACGGCATCGCCAAGAACTACGTCAACCAGAAGGCCGTGCAGGCGCACGTGTACGAGTACACGACCCAGGTGTCACTCGACTCGGACCTCAAGTTCAAGGGCGCCGAGAAGGGCATCGTGCCGTGCCAGATGATCTTCTGTCTCAAGGAGAAGAACCAGAAGAAGCTCAACTCGCACCGCTGGTTCTTCAACGCCTTCGGCAAGGCGCTCAACCCCAACGTGTGCATCCTGCTCGACGTCGGCACGCGGCCCGCGGGCACGGCGCTGTACCACCTGTGGAAGGCCTTCGACACCGACTCCAACGTGGCCGGAGCCTGCGGCGAGATTATTGCAATGAAAGGTAAACTCGGGCGTAACCTGCTGAACCCGCTCGTGGCGTCGCAGAACTTCGAGTACAAGCTGTCCAACATCCTCGACAAGCCGCTCGAGAGCGTGTTCGGCTACATCACGGTGTTGCCGGGCGCCCTGAGCGCGTACCGCTACCACGCGCTGCAGAACGACGAGACGGGCCACGGCCCGCTCAGCCAGTACTTCAAGGGCGAGACGCTGCACGGCCAGCACGCCGACGTGTTCACCGCTAACATGTACCTGGCCGAGGACCGCATTCTCTGCTGGGAGCTGGTGGCCAAGCGCGGCGAGAGATGGGTGCTGAAATATGTCAAGGGATGTACCGGCGAGACCGATGTGCCTGGTATGTTCTGAACTCCTACTACTAGTATTTGACTTGCCCGTGTGGAAACTTCTTCTTCTAACCGTCTTGTCTTCTTCGCAACAGACACCGTCCCCGAGTTCGTGTCGCAGCGTCGCCGTTGGCTCAACGGCGCCCTCTTTGCCGCCGTCTACTCGCTGGTCCACTTCAAGCAGATCTGGCTGACGGACCACACGCTCGCGCGCAAGATCCTGCTGCACATCGAGTTCGTGTACCAGTTCGTGCAGCTGCTGTTTACCTACTTCTCCCTGGCCAACTTCTACCTGACCTTTTATTTCATTGCCGGTGGCCTGGCCGATCCCCAGGTCGACCCGTTCGGCGGCAGCGCGGCCAAGTACATCTTCACGATCCTGCGCTACGTCTGCGTGCTCCTCATCTCGACGCAGTTCATCCTCTCGCTCGGCAACCGCCCGCAGGGGGCGCGCAAGATGTACCTAGCGTCCATGATCATCTACGCCGTCATCATGTCGTACACGCTGTTCGCCAGCATCTACATCGTGGTGCGTCAATTTAAGGAAAAGGACAACCCGAACCTCAACCTGGGCAACAACGTCTTCACCAACCTGATCGTCTCGACCGCGTCCACCATCGGGCTCTACTTCCTCATGTCGTTCCTTTACCTCGACCCGTGGCACATGTTCACGTCGCTGCTGCAGTACATGATCCTACTGCCCTCGTATATCTGCACGCTGCAGATCTACGCCTTCTGCAACACCCACGACGTCACGTGGGGCACCAAGGGCGACAACGTCATGAAGACGGACCTGGGCGGCGCTGTGGGCAAGGGCGGGTCCGGCTCGACGGTCGAGCTCGAGATGCCGTCGGAGCAGCTCGACATCGACTCGGGCTACGACGAGGCCCTGCGCAACCTGCGAGATCGCGTCGAGGTGGCGCCCCCGCCCATCTCGGACGACCAGCTGCAGCAGGACTACTACAAGAGCGTGCGCACCTACATGGTCGTCACCTGGCTGGTGGCCAACGCGACACTCGCCATGGCCGTGAGCGAGGCGTACGGCGGCAGTTCGATAGGCGACAACTTCTACCTGCGCTTTATTCTATGGTCGGTGGCTGGGCTCGCCGTGTTCCGAGCGCTGGGCAGCACCGCGTATGCGGTCATTGCGCTGGTCAATATGGCGGTCGAGGGCCGCGTCCGCATGACCCTGAAGATTCCCAAGTGGCTGGGCGGTTGGGGCAGCAAGATCAGTGACACCATGAGCAGTGTCGCGAGCAGTGTGCGCCGATGATAGGCGCCCTTGGGAGAGAGCAGCGTGTATTTTGCTTTTGGCGTTGGTTGGTTTTGCTGCTTTTTGGGGGTGGAAGGGAGCAAGATGCTGGGTGGCCACTCGTACAATATGTCGGGAAATGTTTGGTTGGACCCCTGTTGAGGATATGATCATGTATGGCTGTTATGTGTACATGCTAGATGTCATGAGTGCTGGATACGGCGGCAGTGATGTCGATGATGGATTAGAAATGACGTCGGTTTAGGTCTGCGGATTGTTTACTTCGACCCATGTAGGATACCCTAAATTAGCTAGCTCTTTTCTTTTGTCTCGCTCGCATTAATAAGATGCCCGTCTCTTATCTAGTGCGTAATAACTATAAGTTCATAACTCATCCATAAAATCTCCGTCCTCGACACCTTCCTATGAGTCCACCTCCTCCTTCGAAATGGTTGTTCCAGCTTCCAGTATCCAAGCTTAAGCAATATACCCGCCCGCGCCCCGTCCCCTCCTCATCTGCAGGTACCCCAACCCGACCAGCCCCAGCGCGAAGGCGACCGAGATGAACTGCAGCACCTCGTCGGCCTGCGCGCGCTGGCAGTTGCCCCGCAGCCGGTTGTACCAAGCCTTGTCGTCGTCGCCCGGGCGAACGACGCCGTAGCGGGTGTCGTCGCCCGACCCGATGGTGCCCCAGTTGAGCAGGCTGTTCTGGAGCATGCGGTAGGGGTCCTTGCAGCTCTGCACGCCGCGGAGGCCGACTGCCCAGGCCTTTTTTGGGGGAGGTGAGGTGTCAGTGGATAGGTGGTACAACACAATACTACTAGTATGGACTGGTATGGTTGCGGAGGGAGAGAAGGAAAAGCAGGAGTGGACTGCGAGACCGGAGAAAGGAAGGGGGCAGGAAGAAAAGAAAGAAAGAAAAAAAAGGAGGGATGGGGCAAAAACATACAATACCGCCCGCCAGGAACAGCAGCCCCGCGAGGCCATCCAACACCAGCGGGACGAGGTCGGGAATGAACGAGGCAAATAGCGATGCGATGCCGACCAGGCCGACGAGAATACCGAAGCCGCCCGTGAAGGTGCTGTAACGGACCGTGGTGGGCGCCGAGCCCAAGACTTGGGCGCGGATCATGGCTGCAGCGAGGCCGAGAATCGTCACGGCGATCAGAAACTGATGCGGTCGGTTAGTGAGCAGTCGGGTTGGGCGGGTCAAGATGTGTGGGAGGGGGGATAGTACCTGGATGGTCCGGAGACCAAGGGGAATGGCGCGATGCATCGTGGTGGTGTGAGATCAACGGCCGTTTCAAGCGTGGTATCGTGGAGAATGGCAGATGAGCGGGGCTAGAAGAAGTGGAGGACTTGAAGCGCGGATGCAGACAGCGAAGTGGAAGGTAACAATACTAGGATGTGGTAATGCTCACACGTTGCTCCTGACCGATAGGGCTCTACGCCGAACAAACGCAGGAACAAAGGCAAGTCTTCTCTAGGAACCCGTGCTGCGGGATGTTGCTTCTTTATATAGGGCGATTTTCTTGTCGGATCCTGGAACGGCTTTGGGGGCGAAGCGCTGGGGCGGGGTGGTATTCAGGCTGCTGCCTTGCGCAGTCGGGTGGGATTCCATGTTCCCGATTTAGTCTGAGGTACCTTGTGCTGGCAATGTCAAGAAACGTTTGCTGTGCCGTCTTTGCCGATGGTGGGACCCGACGACATAGCGGCAGCGATCCCAACTTTTTGTTAACGTCGTGGGCAAGGAAACTACTAAGCGCTTATTCGGCACTGACTTGACCAGATCAGCCATCTTGACGGAGATATGTACCCCGGTATGTACATGTATGGTACACTACAAACCGTCGCATAGGGCAGATAAAGTGGGCTTGTGAGTCAATGATATGCCGGAGCTAATTTGCACAGGAACCATGCATAAGAAGGCAACCAACAGAGGTCGCGCACTCGCGATGTATATATGATTAGCTAGGTAGGTGCCTACCGAAGCACCTCAATAGGAACGATGGTTTTGAGCTGGGTCGGCTTATATCCATTTGCCATTCTTACATATCAACATGTTCTCAAAATGGTGTTTTAGTTTGTACATTCATGGTTGTCAGTGTGTCACAAGAGGCGCTATAGTTGGTTAATCGCTTCTAAGGCGCACACGCGTACAGGAGGAGGAAGAAAGAACTCGATACGGATCAGTACTGGAACCAGACGCCGAGTTAATATAATGGAGCCCGATGCCCCTCGAGTCGACTGGGGCTACCCGTCACCCTGACCCTCCGGCGACCGATAGGCGAGGACGAACTCTAGGAGCGTATGACTTCTTAAGGCATACACGAATCATAACACGCTGGGGCTGCTGGAGCTCCATAAGCGTTTGGCTAGTGGCAAGATACCACTATATATCACGGTTTGAGCAAGCACCTTCAATCCATCATCTTAGATCAAACTCGGTTAGTATTACTTTTCCAACAGCCGTTTCCTCCAGAGCACTTACCGAACAGCTAGCCCTGCCTGCCTCTCCCCGCCGTCTACATTCTGTGCTTCGCCTGCGTGCCTCGAGGCGCACCATGTTCACGGATCTACTTGTTGCGGTCTTCGCAGGTATCGCTCACCTCCAGCCTCAACTCATCCTAGATCTGACCGCAGCCGGTTAGTTCCCGTGTTGATGGAGTAATTTGGGAAGATATTCCGGAGGCAGAAAGATTACTCCATCCTAGTGCGGTGCAATGAAGACTCGTCTAATTCGGGCAACGCCGTTCTTGACCTCGGTGCGGGCCTCACCTTAGAGGATGCCCATCATACTCCCGTGGCAGTCTCTTGACGCGGCTTTGCTCCCAATTATCCCGCGGTGGATGGCCGTGATAGATTTCCCGGCCATCGGAGCATTGGCGGATCGACGAAAGGGTGGTGCATCCGTTACTGGCACTGACTTCGAATTTGGTCTTGAACACGTAGTGTCATGGCCGCAGCGAGCTCTCCACAATGCTGCACTGCGGTGGGATGCGGCGGGATCCTTGGCTCTCATACAGCAGCTCGGCTTGCGTTGGTCACAGCGGTCGCTTGGGGCTTGGTTATCCGTTGTGATCGCCGGTCGCCAGCTGGACACTCTCTCGCTTGCGTATACGGACGCTCAAGTTCACCGCGTTGCGCCTGCGGCCCAACATGATCCTACCCAAGCAGCAAGCCCAACGCAGGAGCAAGGGTGAGACAAGTTGAGTGTTACTGGTTATGCCGGAGCGGCCTCACGGAGTATTGCACAGAAGACTGGGATACAGCATACCCCGCGTCCAAGACATGGAGCTCGGAGTCTAGCCATGCCATTCTTGAACTTGTTCACTAGCTGTGACTCAGGCTGGAGGTCGGCGCACTGGACACAAGGCGTACAGCACGACGCTGGTCTTAGGCTTTTGGTCTGCTTGAATTAGGTACAGTTCGATTTCCGTGATTCTCATCCTGGCTTGGCCCGGGCCGGGACGGCCGTGACCGGCGAGAAGTGGGTCTGAGTCCGGGACGAAGCTGCCTCTTTAGGCAAGTGGGTCGGCTTGAACTAGGTAAGTAATCCGTACAAAGAGTGGGTCGCATCTTGATACATACAATTATCACCGATGGTATGGCATTACGTTATATACCCGCACGAACCATCCACCCTCCTACCGCCCCACAGATGGCGCTGGGTAGGGTGGTGAGGGTAGCCTGCGGCCCCACAGACTGGATGGGATGGGTCCGTAGAGAGTGGCACGTGAGTGGTGAGGGTAGCCTGTGAGGACGAAGGAGTCGCTCCCGCCAAGATTTAGAAGTTCATCTGTTGGACTGTCAAGAAAGGAAGATCATTCTTGCGAGAACCATCGGGAAACATAGTAGTCACGGGAGACCCTGCTACACTGCTCTGAGCTACGTATGGGGCCACTGCTGCAGATGATGAGCTGTCTTCGACAGCGGCACCTCATCCTCGCGGCTGGAGTATTTCCCGGTTGTATCCCGGAAGTCCAGGCACCCGGAAATGTGCCAAGGAGAAGTTCATAGTAAATAAACATTGAAGTCCTGTCCTGTCAATCACCTAGAACTGTCATGTTTGCATGCGAATGGGCAAGAATCCCCCCACCCAGTCTCCCACCGGAGGGGACCTGATGTGTAGAGGTAGCAGTGCTTCGGGGAGCATCTCGTCCGGTAGGCTTGCCGCCTCCAGCGCAACGGCCGACTGACCAGGAAGGCTGGATGTTTGTATTGTAGTATGCTCATTTTTTGATCCGGGAGGTTCGCGTGCATTTTCATCCATCAACGGTCACAAGACACAACTGAAGACGCTGAAGCAGCAGAATCGGGAGTTGTCGACGTCAGTCAGGGGCAAGCAAACGAATCAGACAGCAAAACAGAGGCCCGAGCGTGCTCCGGACGCTACTACGTACATAACCATGGAGCCCCTGACTGTCCACTTCTCCGAGTCTTCCCTTCTGACAACCTTCGAGCATCGCGACTTTACATATAAAGTTGAAATTAAAGATGCCGACTTCTCGAGCGCGTCGATCTTCGCCCTCCGCCGGCGCGCCCTCTGCCGCGCCCTCCCTCTCCGCGTCTTCCCCCGCCGCGCCGTCCCCTGCCGAGGCGCCGACGCACCTCGTCGGCCAGATCATGTGGCTCCCCGGCGGACACTGTTGGCGCCAGCGCTGATGAGCCGCACGGCCTCGACCCAGGCTGCTACGGGCATCCGGTCGTAATCCTGTTCCCCGAGCCGGAGGCAGGCGAGGTCGTGTCGGTCTTCATCATCACCTCCTTTGGCGGTACGGACCTCGCGGTCCGTCACCCAGGACGCCAGCGGAGGGGGCAGTACGTCCCCATTGCGCCCGCCGACCCGCATCCCGACAGCGGGAGGCTCCTGTTCCTCGCCGACAACGCGAGGTTGCCAAAGAAGAGCTGGGTCAACGTGTCCGCCCTGCACATCGTCCCCCTCGCCATCCTGCGCCCCTTCGTCGGTCTCCCCGAGGATGGCGGCCCTCGCACCGCCAGGTGCGTTCTCACGAGCGAGTCTTGTCTGGAGATGATCGGTGCCTTCTCGTCGACTGCTCCCGTGCCCTCTCGTTCGCCGGAAGCGAACCGGACCATCCGCCCCCAGCTGACGTCGGCGGCAGCGTACCCCTACTGTCTGCCGACGTCAGCCGTCCAGCAGCAACACTACTATCAACAACAACAATTTCAACAATTTCATTACCTACAGCAATATTATCGCCCCGCCGACAGCCCGCTTGTTTATGGTTACGCCTATGGGGTCTACTACCCCTAGGCAACCAGACGGGCGGGGCTAGCGGGGAGATAACATTGCTGTAGGTAATGAAATTGTTGAGATTGTTGTTTTTGATGATAGTGTTGTTTGCTTGGACGCACAGCGGTTTGGGATGATGGTGGGCCGAGGCGCGTCATCTTCCTTCGAGCCGGAGGGGCATCGACGATTGGGCCAGGAAGGCGAGTTCCCTCGCCGTCGTTTGTCGCATCAATCAATGGCTCGGTCCCCCACCAGTACACCCTTCGCTCCTGCCGCTTTGCTTCCGCCCCCTCGCGCCTTCCCCTTGGCTCCCGCCCCGGCACAGGAGAGCGAGCTACCGACCGCCGACCGCCGAGCCCCGACCGAGCCATTGATTGTCGACATGAAGTAATCCCTACGGCACTTCCCGACGCGAAGTCCATGGCAACGACGGGAGGCCGGCAAGCACTTATATGCTACCGAGTTCCCGCCAGCGGAGCAAATCCCCCCAATCCATTCCCCCTTTGGCAGCCACCGGAGGCCGGCAAGTACAGTATGCTACCGGCTTCCAGCCAGCGGGGGCGGGGATGGGGGACGGGTGTCGCCACATGATCCCAGAACGCCGATGTGGACAGGACGGTCGAAGCCTCCGTACACGCCCCCATGACCCCGTTGCATCGAGATGTCAGCACCGCGAGGATGACCAAGCGGAACTCTGCCCTGGTCCCGGAAGGCTGCTGACACAAACACACTGACACACTGACACCCCCCACAGGATTACGACCGGATGCCCAATAGCAGCCTGGGTTCAAGCCTGCCGCGGCGTCTGGTCCCCGACGCCCCATTGCGGTAACAGCGCCGCCGTCGCCGCCGCCGACCCCTACAAGCACACGACAGAGGAGAGGAGCCTCCCGAGACAGCCACCGGCCCCCTAACGCAGTACTGATCGAGCGCCATATCCGGGAGGACAACAATCAACAACGGCGCCGACACAGGGCCTCTTCGCCATTCCGAGGATGGACGATCATCACGGCCGGGCTAGCAGTCCCCCATGAGGCCGGGAGGCCAAGGATCGAGAGGCGGGGTGCCGTGGGCCCTAAAGCAAGGCCTGGATCGTGTGGAATGTTGGGAATGTGTAGTGAAGGCAGGCACAGGGATGTTTGGGCGTTGGGTTACTTGTATAATGTACTGAAGGAGGGAAGAGGGTGATGTCGGATTACGGCGATGTTGGGTTGCGGTAGTGGATACTTCTGGGAATTCCGGTTGCTTTATAAGATACCCTTTCTTAGTATAACGTTAACTAAGCTATTATTGCTCAACAAATGTCCCGCATCAACAAATGTCCCGCATCAACAAATGTCCCGCATCAACAAATGTCCCGCACACTTCTCCGTTGTGTACCTACGGTGGCCCGGCAAGTTGAGTCTGGCAATGAGCGCTTTACCCCTAGTCATTACATTACATACACGGCAAATACTGGTCTGATGCTGAGATAAGCCAAGACTCTGTTCGGGTAGGGTGACAGCTGTGACGACTTGTGGCACCGATGATTGTACGTGAATCTGTAACGCCCACTCCCTCGACGTCCCTCTTCGCTGCTCGCTCATTCTCATTATCATCACCCTGGATATTTAATCTGAAATTAACTAAGAATAGAGTCTGTACTTATTCGAAAACAACCCTTGGCTCCTAAATAATGCTATAAACTCTTCATTAGACTTTTGCCTTGAATCCGGCCTAGGCCTGCCCAAACTGACTGTTTAGGTAGAATCGTCTGATTCTCCTTGCCTAGAAATTTTACGTTTGGAAGGAGGCTTCAACGAGCCCTGTAGAAATGGAAGACTCGACCGCGACCTTTACACCGAGTGTACATACAGGATGGATCCTTCACCGTCGAACGAATCAGTCATCTGACCACTAAGTATTAGTAGGGTCATCAGAACGCCCATGCCAGCGAGGAATCATCTAGAGTCGAGATTTGGAACAGCAACCGGGTAGAAAGCGCTTGAAGGTCACCGCATGCGACTAATCGATGAAACGGTATGTGAAACACAGATCGGACCCGGCTCCGGAATGGCACTACCAATCTCAGCCGACGGTCCAACCACCTACCTAAGGCAAGTATTCCCGAGCGCCGAGTCAAATAGCAGCAGCTCCTGCCGCTGTGCACCTGTTGTCTATCGACCATGTATAAACTGACGCTCGTGAGACTGACCGTCCGGGCATCTACTAGCATGCGTGGCTGCGGTACAGCAAGTTTTACAATCCTTTTCTGAGCCATCCAACCTTTTGAGCCATCCAAACCGAAAGTCCGCTGGCAGGGGCAAACAACTGCTCGTTTACCACACTACTCTTTTTCCAAGCCTAATAAGCTAATTAGTATCTCCTCGCGTTCAAGACACCATGCATCTGGTCCGATTCGTCTTGCAGGCCACCTTGGCCTATGGCGCTGTTGCCTTCCCATCCACCTCCGAAAGGCGGGACTTGGGTACAATCCAGAGCGCCATCGGCACCGTCCAGAGCGCTCTGGAAAAGCTTAACACGGCGGTCAACGTGCGTGATTCTGTGAATGGGACTCTGAGTACAATACAGGCCTGGCTAACATTTCTCTCTAAAATACCCAGGGCCTGACGGCCGACCCGCAGACAGCCGCGCCAATCCTGACAGCCTCGCAGAACGCTCAGGCAGCGCTCCAAAAGGCCACGCAGGACATCAGCGGCTCGGACGAGCTGGGGCTCATCAGCGCGCTCCGGCTGCAGCAGATGGCCAACGGCTTGACGTCGGCGGTGCAGACGGCCATGGACAGCCTGGTGGCCAAGAAGCCCGTGCTCGACCAGCTGGGCGTGACCTCGGTGGCGGTCATGTCGCTGCAGACGCAGCAGTCGGCCAGTGCCGCCTTCGGGGACGCCCTCGTCAGCAAGGTGCCCGCCATCGGCCGGGGCCTCGCACGCCAGAGCATCAACCAGGTGAACGAGATCTTGGACAAGGGCATTCAGGATCTGCAGCGCGCGGGTGCTGGGGCGGAAGGTGGTGCCAGTACTGCTACTAGCGCTATTACCACTAGTAGTGCTAGTGCGACTACAGTGGTGGGCTCTACCACGGCTGCAACTTCCGTCGCACCATCATTTGTCTCGGCTCCAATAAACGAGAACGGGAGCGAGACAGAGACAGAGACGGAGACCGCAACCGCAACTAGCACCGTCGATGCTCCCGAAGAGGGTGTCAGTTCTCTACCCCCGGCTGCCAGTGGCTTGGAGGTCTAAGGCATGTGTCCATGCGCTTTGCCAGGCCATGACGGGGCAGATATGTGACACGGAGAGAGTGGACCGGTTTGTGATGGGGGAGGTGCTCTTCCGCTGGGTTGTTGGACTGGGACGCCCCTGGTGGCTGTGATCCCATCACCGTCAATTCGATCTATGTTTCGGTAGATACTAGCACTGTACAATACTAGTAGTACATATTTTGGATTGAGGATGTGTGAGGTTCAGGGTATCCCTCTTTGTATGATAGTTCCAGCCAGCCACCTGTGGTTGTGCTTCTTCTCTCCTACACACCACGATATGCATGACCAGATTCGTCGGACAGGATGTTTTTTTTGCCCTCCGCAGCGCACCTGTAGCCTCATCAACGTTCCATGCGAGATCAGCGACTTCTTGTTTCCTTATCCTCGCCAGTACACACAAGTCTCATCCATTGAGGTGCTCGCATGCTTTGCTGGACACATGGAGACAGTCCGATATCAACATCCGGAGCAGAGCCGGAACAAAACGCAGAGCCGGACTGGCTCCGATGGATGTGCCCCTTGGGACCTTGCGCACCCAATCGCATTTTCAACATTGCGGCACGAAACACGGCCGGCGCCAAGCGGACTGTTTCGAGATTTGCGACTGGCCCAAGACCTCACGGAATCGGGTAGCGTCAACTGAGAAACAATCAAGCTGTTGAAGTACAGATTCCATCGCGTGCTGCTTCGAGTCCTTGCGGGAATCGTGCATGCCTTGCATCGGCACGCGCTATCCGAGTTTGACTTTTACCTTTGCCTTCTTCACATGTTCTGTTACTTGGGCTGCTACGTGGTTGTGGACAGGATATCATAACGACAGAAACTCTAGCGGGATACTCTAAATTCTTGAATGTGTCAGGGCTACCTACTACTAGTAGGTAGGGACAGTTTGTGGGAGCTTGGGCCAGCCTCGGTTACCGGGGCTCGCGTGGAATTGGCGTGATGTTTTGTTTCGTAGGTGTCATGATCATCATCGAGTTTGAAGATGGCGCTGTGTTTTAGAAACGCGTCGCGTGCCTCGATCTCATTGACCTCGTGTCCCAGCTATTTAGTGTGTTAAGCAAACATGGGGTTACCACGAGGGGCGCTTCCGGGAGCGCTCGGATGCCACAGCTTTCACACATGTTTCCCCGAGATTCCGGACGCCTATGAAACATCATCCCCGGTTTTCCGTCGAAGCCAAGAGAGATAAGCACCGCACCGTCGTGGAATCGGTCATTCGACGGCACCCAGCTGCTCTGCTACTTACCTACCTACATACGGACGCGGAACTCCGAGTCCTTATAGTCTGGGCTTCGCGTTATCTTCTGGTTCGAACGGCGCTCTTTCTGTCGCTGGACGGCTGCTGGACCTAGTTGTTCTTTCTTCACCATCTTCTTCTTCCTCTTTCTTCATCTTCTTCTTCATCTTCTTCTTCATCATCATCTTCTTCTTCTCTTTCTTCATCTTCATCATCATCATCATCTTCTTCTTCTTCTTAATCACAATCCTTCTCTTCCTGGTGAAGGTCTGTCTGCGCAACAAAGCATAGCGAAGGTGCCGATCGAACGATATGTCCAAGGAAGGTAGAAGACATACCATTTTTGTCTTCGATGGCCGGGTAGGGGCGGCCACCGAGTCGAAGGAGCACCTCACGGACATCCCGCTGCACAAGGCATGGTCTGCCAAGTCGGAGTCAGAGTCGGTGCAACTGCACGACGGGAACGCGGGACTAGTGGTCGGCACTTCGCAGCTATACGATGAATACAACCAGCGCCGCTACATCCCCACCCCAACACCGGACCCCAACGACCCGCTCAACCTCCGGCCGTGGCGCAAGTGGGCGGCGGTGGCATCGCTGTGCTTCTTCGGGGCGCTGGCGCTCGCGGCCGAGGCCATCATCGCCGCGCTCGTGCCGGTGTTCGCGCTCGAGTACGCGGGCATCAACCCGCAGGTGCTGTCGGTGATCGATCTCTCGCAGCTCCAGCCGGAGGGCGCCGTCGACGTCAACCCGCTCCGGTCGCTGTCGGCGCTGGGCGGCCCGCCGCTGTACCGCGTGGCGCTGCTGAGCTCGCTCCCGCTGCTGGTTAACGGGCTGGCGAGCTACCTGCTGGTGCCGCTCTCCATCGCCGTCGGCCGGCGGCCCGTGCTGCTGTTCGCGGGCGCCGCGGCCTGGGTGGGCGGCCTGTGGGGCGGGCTCAGCACCAGCCTGGAGTCGCACCTGGCGGCGCGCTGCCTGCAGGGGCTCGGGGCGGGCGCCGTCGAGGCGCTGATCCCGCTCATCGTGCAGGACATGATGTTCATCCACGAGCGCAACCGCGCCATCGCCTGCATCGGCGCCTCGCAGGGACTGATCATCGTCGGCCTGGGCATCGCCAGCCCGCTGCTCGTCGTGCGCCTGAGCTGGCGCTACATCTACTACATCACCACCGCTGCCGCCGCCCTGGCCTTCCTGCTGACCGTGCTGCTCGTGCCCGAGACCCGCTGGACGCGGTCGCCCGACGAGCTCGCCGGCAAGGCCGTGTATCCGCTGGAGCCCGGCGAGACCCGGCCGCGGCTGGACGTCAAGACGTACGGCTTGAGGACGAGGGCGACAGACTTTGGCGTCTTCCGGCACGTGCCGCGCCAGTGGCGGCTGGCCGGCGTGTCGGTGTACCACACGGCCCGGTCGACGCTGTTCCCCATCGTGCTGTGGGTCATCGTGGTCAACTCGATCCTCGTCTCCCTCCAGGGCGCCGCGGGCCAGGTGGGCTCCGCGGTGCTGATCGCCGCCGGCTGGAAGTTCGAGACGATGGGCTTTGCCGTGGTGCCGCTGGTGGTCGCCAGTCCGTTCGTGTGGTTCTTTGCCGGCTGGGTGGCCGACCGCGTGTCGAACGGGTACGCGAAGCGCAATGGCGGCCGGCGGGAGCCCGAGGCGCATTTGCTCAGCCTGGCCGTGCCGTTGTTGGCGGCCATCGTTGGGTCGGCCGTGTTCGGCTACGCCGGGGAGAACATCAAGACCGTCCCCAGCATTGTGCTCCTGGTGGGCGTCTTCCTGGTTGGCTTCGGCTTCTTGGCCGCGAATACCCTCTTTTCGGTCTATGTGGTGGAAAGTTACCCTTCTATTGCCGGGTAAGTCTGCGTGGCCCCTGCCGCCGCCGCTGCCTCGGCAAAGCAAGTCCCAGTATACCCTGTCTACCCTGTACAGGAGGCCTGACTAGCAAGCGACAGACCGGTCCTCGTCAACGTATCGTCATTTCGTCTCATCATTGGCTTCACAATGTCGTTTAATGCCACAACGTGGGTCGAACAACTGGGCTTCCAGAGGAGCTTTGGCTTCTATAGCCTGGCCCTGGCTGTTGCTTCGCTGGGCCTGCCGGTCGTGTTCGCTTTCGGAAAAAGACTTCGCGCTTGGACAGCACTCCGGATTTAGGAACTTATTAATAGGGCGGCGATCTGGCAACGGCTCATGAGGCGTAAAACGAACGACCGATGGCTGGTTCCGTTGTATATGTAGATATGCATAACGTACTATGCCTCACAGATGTCGTGTTGTTACAGTCAACTGAGTGTACCTTTGGAAGATGCAAACTTGGTCACCGACATGTGGTACTTTCCACTCATAATCTGGAGATAGACTGTTATGTCGCACGGTATATAGGGGACCCCTAGGCGTTTGCAGGCAATGATGTCGTTTTACCGTGTGACATGTTAGTACCCCTAATCTATTGTGAACTTATCTTGCTAGCGAATAACCATCGTCGAGTAGTGACATCGGCGGTACCGCCGAGCCATTCCACAAGACTAGAATGATTCTATCGACGGCGGGAGTAGGGTAGGCGGGAGCCGACTGAAGCCGAGCGGCAACAGGAGTAGGCTTGGAGGACTGCATGGAGCGGCTGGTCAAGTGCGCCTATCGTTTCGTCATGCGGCCGCATTTTGACCTTTTTGGAGACCGATTCAGCGAAAGGGAAGAGGCGAGTGTTGCAACGCAGCGGTACTTTCCGTGTGATCTCTTAGCTATCGCGTAGTGTTGGTTTTTTATCCACAGAATCAAACGTTTGTTGACAAAGACGCGTAATTTCACAATTTGACGGGAAAGCGAACCTACCTGGTAAGATGTACGTAATTTTACTCCGGATTTCTAGCTTAGTAAGGTACCTTACATGATCAACAGGGTTGGGGTTAGTCTCAGGGGTTCGTGCTCGCGAAACAACAAACGGGCGCAGCCAAGTCAAACCGACTCGGCGCACTTTGACGGTAACGTTAGGCCTCAAGGCAAAATCATTAAGGTACACGCTCGACCAAACAGTTGCGGGAAAGACAACCAATAAGGCGGATTGCACCGGGGTTACTGTCGACGCGAGCCCTGTCTCTCGTTTGTTTCGCGCCAGGATCCCGGTGATCGCCTCATTCCGTTTGCCTGCTGCTCGTCAAGTGGTTGAGATCAAGTCACACGACATCATCGATTTGGAAGGCTGCCTAGCCCAACGACCACACGGGAAACCTCCAGAATCTCAAGATCCAAGCCCTTTCACATCTTTCTCTGCCAACCGTATCCTGCATGGACTCACAATCTGTTTCTTTTCTTTCTTCGCCCAAGCCATTCTTCCTCTCTTTCTCTGCCGACCTCTTGTACTTGCTCCGATGTTTGATTAAGATTCTGTCACAATCATGGAGCACTCGCTTTTCCACCATTTTGCGCTGCCGCAAAACATCCCTCATTCTGAGGATGCCAACCTTGACGATGGTATGTCAAATTCGTGCTGTTTATGTCCGAATCTGGCTATCTCGGGAGTCAATGTGCTCCTGCGACAGACCTTTTGCTCCCGAGTTGCTCCCGAGACACCCCGATCCGGGAAGAAATGGCTGACATTGTTGGATAGTCGAGACACACCTGGCCAACCATCTCCTGGCCGCGACCCGCACGATTGAGGGCTGTGTCGGGGACCAACCGAACTTGTGGTTGGACTGGAAGTCTACGACTGTATGGGGATCCATTCGACAGAGTTTGGCCACATCCAGATCAGTGAATCGCGGGGGAAGGGTGAACCAGATGAGATTGTTGTGGGCATTGGCGTCGATGACGCCGTCGGACATTGTGCTCCTTCATATCCGGAGCCAAAATGCGGCTGTTTTGATACACCGACTTTCTAGGTAAGAATTGTGCTGGTGTCATCTGACCTGTGCTTACTGTTGTGCAGCTCAACTAGCGAGGTTGTCTTCGAAGTGTTTGAGGCCTCGCCGAGAAACGAAGATGTGCTCGCTGCGGAGAACGCCCTCCAGTGGGATTTCCCCGGCACTGCTGTCGCCATCCCGCTCGCCACATTCAACGACGAGGAGTTCCAGGCCAGCCTGGCCAGCTTCCTGGAGCAAGCGTCGATCGAGTCTACCAAGGCTTTTGCGGGGCACACTTTCAAGGCCGGCGTCGACGTTCACGAGAATCGAGACACGGCAAGCCCCACAATTATCAGCTCCCTGCTGATGGCAGTTCTCGGGGAGAACGGCCGGCGGATCTCTACACCGTTGCTTCGGAAGCGAGTGCGCGACGACATTTGCTGGTCGAGCGGTAGGCCTTGGCGCCGCTCTCCTTACTGGCTCTCCCTGAGAGTTGCCGTTGCCCGTTACTTGTTGCTCGCCCTGGGGCCAGATCTGGGTCGATTTGCCTACAAGTTCCTCCTATGCGTCTGCCTGGCGAGGTTCATGGATTCGACCCAACCTTCACTACAGGTTGATGAACTCCATTTCCTCAAGGCTAAACTTTCGCGCCGGTTGGCTAAGCTGGATGTTGAGAGAGACCGCGTACAAGATCAGGACTTGCTGGCAAAGGTCGAATTGCTCTTTGAGCATCTTACCCCAGGAATCAACGCCGCCATCCACGGTGCCGTCCAGCGCGTGGAAAGTGAGTGGGAGCAATGGAAACAGAGTTCCATCAAGCCCATCCCGCCGCTGCCCAAGAGAGCCTGGTCGCGGGATACTCAACTCGAACTGCGCAATAGTGGCGAGCGACTGCGGGAGATCCGGGCCAAATGGCAGAGAACGATGGGAGGACGTCAGCGGAGATGGGTAGCTCCGGCCAAGTTCGATTTCTCATCTGCAGGGAATGCGGAGTTGGCCGGTTTCGCGAAACCTCTTTTCGAGATCACCGAACTAGAGGACCTAGTTCACGAAGATTATCTGCGACTTGAGGCTCCCGATCCGTCTCCGCGCATACATCGCCTCATTGCGCGCGGCCTACCGCTGTATCAAGGCAATGCAGCGCAAATGAGCCTTCTAATTCTGAACGTCATGGAGCTCTGGGTCACGAGAGACGAGCAGATGTGCAGAATGTATCCTCTTCTTCGACAATACGATCCCGTCTTCACACCCGAAATCCTGGATGTTCTTCACCTGGCCCGCTACGAAGACATGGTGCGCCTGCAGACCATCCAGACGTACCTCCAAAAGCGCATCACGGCATGCCAGGGTTCGAAGACCGTCTTCGACGACCCCACCGAGGACTGTTTCGCGCGGAGGTACTACGACGAAGGTCCCGCGGATGAGGTCGAGCGGATGCGTGCTCTGCGCCGCGACATTGAAGAGTCGGCAAGAAAGAAGAAACAGTCCAAGATGGAAGAGTGGATACAGAAGAGCACCACCTACGAGACATTGACTAGGCAGATCGATGCTTCCTCATGCATCCCCACGGTTGACGAGAACCATCCGCTAGGAACGGAAGAGCATGTTGAAAGCCGCTGTCCCAGATGTCAGGCGATACGGAGACTAAACCAACTGCGCATTCAGATCTATGAGCACTTGCTTCCACACCAGGATTTCATGGCCAAAGCGGTTGTGTTTGAGTTAATGTGTCCCCCGGCTTTCGCCGCCTACCGCGACACGACCTGGATGGTCCTGTCGCGGCTTGCTTGCCCGGCCCCGCCGCTTGCCAGCACTCTGCCGCGGTGTACTCTTCATGAGTATTCTCAACTTGAGCAGTTCGCCGATAGCACACAGCCTTCCTTCACCCTTGCGTCCTTTACAAAGTCATGTAAGTTTGTGTCCTGTTGCTGGACGAGCTCCTGGCAACTGTCTTGCGGAGTGCTGACACGATCCCCTCTAGTTCTGAGAACTCATTATGCATACGTCCCATTTCCCGTAGAGTGGGAAAGCGGTCGTGATGGAGTCTGTAAGCCCAACGGACTGAAACTGGCGTACTTTGACTCGCGCAGCCGGATCTGGACCGGGCGAGCGCATCTCCGGCCAAGCTTCGCCCACCATGTCCAGCTCCAACTGCCACCAAACTCCCCATTCCGGCCGCTCCTCAGTGACGGGAGCTTTACCGTAAGGGATGACGGCCCTTCGTCGTACGAAATCATGGCCACTCAGATGAACTGTCCCTCGGGATTGAACCCGCACGAGTCCCTTGCGTTCAAGACGCTGCTGTCGGGCACCGCTCGGCGCTGGATATCGATCCTGGTGGAACTGGGATCTACCAACCTGAACTGGTCGAGCGAGACCACTATGGCCCTCCTCAACCATCTTGCGCTGCAATGTGGCCCGCCTTGCGGCGGGGACGATCCTTTGAAATTACACCGGATTTTCCGCGACACCCAATTCGTCGAGAAGCTACTCGCCCAGGTGAACTCCCGACTCTCAACCCTTGCTGCTCTGTCGAGCTGGAGAGAAGCTCATCTCATGGGATCCATGATCACATTGGCACTGCGCACTCTTGACCTGGCCCACGCGGCTTGCCTGCCAAAGGCGATATGCCAGGCCGCGCTTGCTTCCGTACTCCAAGCCCGCGAAATCTGCCTTCGATGGTTCACGCTCCTTCGAGAGGAGATCCAGAAGTCGCCTGACGCGACCACGGCGCAGCAGTTGCAGCAACGTGCTTTGGCGGCAGCTCTACTGTGCCGGCGCACATTTGCCATCCACCTAGAGCAGTCTGTCCCCTTCGATGTCGACTCGCTTGTGGCTTACCTCGAGAGTGCCATCGTCATCCAAGAGAACATGGTGAGCAAGATCGACTCACTGCCGAGAACACTGCACCAGGACCTAGTCGCGGCAGTCAAGCTTGCATACCGTCTGCAGGATCTCGTTTCTACCTCAATTTGCGAGCGTTCCGAGGGGCTCAGCAGGGCTTTGAGACAGTTCTGGCCTGATTCAGAGCGAATAGAGTCTGGGAATTCGACTGTCACCCTTGAGCAACCCGGATGGCTGTGCTGCGATATTGCCGAGACGGAGACCGAGAGCCGTCAAGTGGTCCATTTTAACTTCCTCCTTGGAACTCTTCTCGTGAATGGGAAACCTGTCGGTGTACGTACAATACAAGCGAGTTGAGGTTCTGTGGTGCGCTGAAACGTGGGATGTTGACCACCTCGACAGAAACTCCCGCAGGACACGCATAACTCGATGGTCATCAGGGAGCTTTTTGGTGACCAGCCGCTTTGGGTATTCCAGTCACCAGTCCAGGGAATGTCATACAGTAAGCCCACTACAACACAGGTCCTTCTGAGCTTTGTTGCTGCGATGACTAACTTACGGGTCACAAGCTCTTACCTATCGACCGAACGGCCTTATTATCCACGTCGGATACGAAGGACGCGAAACAGTGATATTGGCCAGAGCACCAGCGACACATGGCAACTTCCGCTTCATTCCCCGGACATACTTTCAGCGCGAAAAGACCTGCGATCTCCCAGGCCCGCTGATGCAAAGGATTCACTGGCTGTACGTCTCTTTGCCCCATTGATATTGAGATCTATCAGCCTTGCTAACCTTTCCAAGCAACTTGGACACTGGAGACGTTTACATCGTGCCTCATGCTAGCCGCTGGACAATGCGCAACCCCTGGCAGGTCTGGACCCTCAACCTCGACAAACGTAGTTGCTGGAAGATGCGAGATACCCAGTATCGCGAGGATATCATCGAGCCTTTCACTCCCCTCTTCCGGCGGGTTTCGAGGATTCTGGAAGGCCTGGCACCGCCGGACTGGCTGCTTGTCACCCAACCTGCCAAGCCTGGAAGCGGCCTGGAAGTCCACATCGTACCGATGCAACTCATGTTCTTCGTCCGCAATAACCAGCTCCTGTATTCACCGCAGCTGAACCTCGAGATCGACCCGAACCAAGACGCCGGAACGTGGTATGGCCTGCTAAGCAAGCTGGTATGCCGCAAGGTTGACAACCCCTTTCGACGAACGGTTCTAGTTCCATTGGGCGCATTGTCCACCAAGAGATGGGGTTGCCACGTCGTTGTCAAGATTGGGAGCAACAGCGACTATGGGAAATTTCCCATCAACGACACGCTCGGGAGGATCGACTGCGCCGCAGAACCGGCATTGGTCTACGCCAAGGCTCTTCTGCATGCATACACGTCGTTCCTGCTTCCCGACCCCTTGACAGGTCGGACCGGAATAGAGGAGAGTCTCCATTGGCTGCGGTCCGGCATCTGCCACCCATGGGAAGTCCTTCGACCCGATTCTCTGGCGGCGTCGATGTTGTCTCAGATCGCAAGCTTGACGCCCGTTCGAGAATACTATCCCCCGGGGCGCAAGGTGATGAAGACGGATCGGTGGGGCAGAAGCCTCACAACCCACATGCAACATCCGCTTTTCCGACAGGCCGTCGAAGAGATCTTGGCAATCTCCGAGGAGCTGAGTACATTTGCCGCCATCCGGGGTACCAACGAAAGTACTACTCTATCCGACCGCCTTCCGCCTTCGGGAGAAGCACACCTCACTCGAAGGGCTTTGGTACGTCGCGGGCTCTATGAGAGAAGGCTCGCCGACGCCAATGATGAACCGATGCGCGAGGTGAGCGACAAAGTGTACCTGTCCCGGGATAGGCCATCAGCGTCCGATGCTCGATGTGCAAGGGTCATGGAAACCACCCATCTACTGCGAACAAAGCCGGACACGTTCAGAACGCCGCATAACCTGGCTACCATTCTCGCCCAGGGAAACAACATTGGCGGCTATGGCACCGAATACCGGACCGTGGCTCTCAACGACCGAATGCGTGTCGACATTCGAGAGAACTGGGGCTCGCTTGTGGAATATTGTCGCCACGGGCGGTCGTCGTACAGCGTCATGTTCCTCTTGGCGACGTTATCATTTCGCGAAAACTTCGATGAGGCGCTTCTCATGGCGCTTCTCAAAGCACTCGTGGCATTCGCCGTCTTCGACGAGCTTCAGTCTTTGACTTTCCCGCGCTGGGATTCGTACTTCAACTTCCGCCCGGACGGTGAGCCGCGACTAGACGACGTTGTCAAGTTGATCAGCCCTTTCCGGACCCCGGCGCCTAAAGACGATGGAGAAGAGCTCGGCCAGTTGATGAACGCCAAACAGCGTCGCAAAATTAAAGAGGCCAAGGAAGCGTTTGAGATGAAAAGCGAAGAACATTGTCGATACCTCGCCAAGTTTTTTCTTGCTCAGTGGCCATGTCGCGAGCCAGACATCTCGACACTCCCTCATAATGATCTTCTGGTAGACACCAGGGCTGCGCTCGAGGTTGTCAGACCGGAGTGGCTGCGACTGTTCCAGAATAAAGAGCTTGCCACTCATTTGAAGCATGTTCAGCAGATTCTAGACCAGCATCGATCGAATTTTGAGTTCAACATCCCGCAGGTCGTCACCTGCGAAGAGGTATTTCCACCCCCAAACTATTGCCGAGCAGCTGCGGTCCCCAGGTTGGAATCAGATCTCCTCGCGAAGCCGCTCGATCCATCTGATCTGTTTGTTGTACGCGCGGGGCATCGACTCTCCGGATGGTGTCCGCTAGCTAGCATCCCGAAAGATGGCCGCCAGTCTTCGACGCGCACTGGCAATCGTCAGGCCGTTGCCAGCAACGCTCAGCCGCGTGTCTCTCTCCACGAGACAGCGAGATACATGGAAGAGTTACAGCAGATCATTGACAGTCTCGGAAAGAGCAAGTCTTTGGTGCGCAAGAACTATGCTCGTGACCTCTCACAAAGCCTCGAGGCGTTCAGAAACCTCCGGACACCCCAGCAGCTCGCAAATCCGTTCCTCTATCTGCGTGACAACTCAGCGTCGGGGTCGGAAGTCTTGCGTACCTTTCTATCCGTGAAGTACTCTCTGGAGAGGCAGACGGAGGGAATGTCTGCGCGGCGGATCGAGTGGCTTAAGCTGGGAGGACTATGGCCGGCCGTCACGACAGTCACCCTCCTGGAGCAGCTGCGGTCCACGGCAAGCCCGCGTTTCGGCACCGGCATGCGAGCCGCTCTCATCTCGTTCGGACTGGCCATCACCAGGCTCCAACGGGACGAGCGGCTGAACGACTGCGTCTTGGCCGGCGACACATCGCGCTTTCAAGACGAGGAATCCAACATTGGACACACCAACTGGAACGTCGAGGACCACGCCGACTGGCTGCTGCTAGAGCTCGAATCGAATTTGCTAATCCGGCCGACTCAGGTTGACGTAGCGCGGGCGACCATCTCGCCTGCCTCGGGCGCAAACTCAGTCCTGCAGATGAACATGGGACAGGGCAAGACGTCGTGCATCATACCCATGGTTGCTGCGTCCATGGCGGACAGGAAGAGCCTTGTGCGCGTCATTGTCCCGAAGGCGCTTCTCCTACAGACGGCACAGCTACTACAGTCCCGTCTCGGCGGCATATTAAACCGTTGCGTTACTCACATTCCATTCTCCCGGCGAACGGCAACGCACGGGGACAGCATTCGACGGTACTACGAATTGCATAAACGCACGTGCAAGACCGCCGGCGTGATGCTCTGTCTCCCTGAACACAACCTCTCCTTCATGCTGAGCGGGCAGCAGCGGATCCTGGACGACAAGATCGACGAGGCAACGCCGATGGTCAAAATCCAGGCTTGGCTGAGATCGGTCTGCCGTGACATCCTGGATGAGTCGGACTACACGCTGGCCGCGCGCACGCAGCTCATTTATCCATCGGGGTCGCAGATGGCGGTGGACGGTCATCCGCACCGCTGGCTCGTCATTGAAGCGGTCCTCAGTCTCGTGGAGGAGCAACTCTATGGCTTGAGAAACTCATACCCGCACTCCATCGAAGTCGTCACGCGACAGAGCGGCGGCTTCCCGTTCATCTACTTCCTCCGACAGGATGTGGAAGACGAGCTGCTCCGCCGGCTCGCAACAGCGATCAGCAAAGGCGCCGGCAATATCCTTCCTGTGAGCTCGTTTGACGCCCGGCAGCGCGGCGCTATCAAGGACTTCCTCTCGCCCTGTACCCGCCGACTGAAGCCCTCCACACTAGAGAGAATCCGCGGTTTGCAGCCGGACAGGCCGCAGGTCAAACAGACCGTGTACCTGCTCCGAGGGCTGCTCGTCCATCGCATCTTGATCATGACGCTCAAGAAGCGATGGAACGTACAATACGGCCTGCGTCCGAACTCGGATCCGGTCGCCGTCCCATACCATGCGAAAGGCGTGCCCAGCGAACAGTCGGAATGGGGCCATCCCGACGTCTCCATCCTCTTTACCTGCCTAACCTTCTACTACGACGGTCTGCAGGAGGAACAGCTGCGTCAGGCGCTCGCTCGCGTCCTCAAGTCTGACGACCCGTCGACCGAGTACGACAAGTGGGTGCAGAACTCGGAGAGCCTTCCCGCGTCGCTACGCGCGTGGAACACGATAAACGTTGAAGACGAGGGACAGGTGCACGATATCTGGCAAGCCGTGCGTTACCGGGTGGTGGTCATCGATTACTTCCTCAACAACTTTGTCTTTCCGCGGCACGCCAAGCAGTTCAAGGTCAAGCTGCAGTCCAGCGGGTGGGACATTCCGCTGTTCTCCGCGCAGCCAACGAAACGGGAGCCGCGGTCGCTCACGACGGGCTTCAGCGGCACAAATGACAACCGGACCATGTTGCCGCTCACGATCCAGCAGTCAGATCTGCCCACGCTATCCCACACCAACGCAGAGGTCCTGACGTATCTTCTCCACGACCGCTCCCGCAAGTGTGCCATCATTACCGACGTGCGAGGCGGCAGAGCCACGGAGCGGGACCTGCTACACATGTTGAAGGAGCGGAAGATAGGGATCCTCATCGACGCAGGGGCGCAGATCCTCGAGATGGACAACCAGTCGCTGGTCAAGGCGTGGCTCGCTATCGACAAGTCGCGTGACGCTGCGCTGTATTTCGACTCTGACAACAAGCCCTGGGTTATCACCAAGACAAACCGCAAGACGCCCCTGCTCGCGTCTCCCTATGCGGATGATCTGACCAAGTGTCTCGTTTATCTCGACGAGGTAAGTCAACAGGATCGCACAGAAGAAAACAGGCTGTGTGCTAACGCTCTCTTCACTTTTTCAGGCTCACACCCGCGGAACCGACCTCAAACTCCCGCTCAACGCTCGCGGGGCACTCACCGTGGGACAAGGCCAGTCCAAAGATCATACCGTTCAAGGTACGTTTTGGGCATCATCTCCACGTTCGTCTTCTAGCCTTGAACTAGCACTGACAGGCTCGTATGGAACCAGCCGCGATGCGATTGCGCCAACTCGGAACCAGCCAGTCCATAACCTTCTTTATTCCGCCCGAGGTACAGCAGGTCATCGCTGACCTTCAAAGGAAACCCATCAGCGAGCCCATCGACTCCCATGATGTGTGAGTACTAGTCGTGCATGCTCTGCTTCCTCTGACAATCCAATACTGACAGTCGATCGCTCTAGTATTTGCTGGTTGCTGGACAACACGTGCGAGGGCATCGAGCAGCTGCAGCCTTTGTTGTACGCCCAAGGCATCGACTTCTGCCGCCGAACGCAGGCGGCTATCGAGTTCCCCGACTTCCTGACCGACCCCGACCATCGCGCGAAATATGTGGCGTATATCAGACAGACCGAGCTCCAGACGCTGCAGGAGATGTACGAGCCAAAGGCAAAGGGGGGCAAGCACGCGGAACTCAAATTGCCGCATCCCAGCGTGGCCGCCTTCCTGGAAGAGCTCAACGTTCGTCGGAAGGGCTTCCAGGACACCGGGCGCGCTGTACATGGTTCGGCGCTTCAAGAGGTGGAACAAGAGCGTGAAGTCGCCTTCGAAGTCGAGGCGATCCGCCAGGTGAAGAAGCCGGTTCGGTACGACCCCCTATCGTATCCCGGGCTCCACCGCGACATCGAGATATTTGCGCGCAATGGCCGACTGCCTCCCGACAGCCATTCTATCTCGCATGTCTTCAGGTTCATAGCGACGACTGCGCTGGGACGGAAGCACAAGGTGTCGTGGAGGGGAAGACACGCACACTCCAAGCTGTTCGTCTCGGCCGAGTTTGGCCGGACGGTGAAGCTGTACACCCATCTGGCGCCAGACAACTTCTTGGTGAGTAGATGGAGATCGGCTTCCTAGATGAAAAATAAAAAGAAAGACCAAGCTAATAGACACATGCCTAACAGCGCCCCGTCAGTTGGATCCTTTGGAGCGAGCTCACCGAGACAGCCATCATCCTCATCCCGGAGGAGGCGGAGCACATTATCCAAATGATGCACGCTGAGAAAACACACCCTAAGATATCTCTCATCACCTATGCCTCCCCGGTCACGCGCAAAATGTTGGCCTTCGACAACCTGACCTTCTTCAGCATGCCTGCGCTGCCGCAGGGGTGGGTGGCACCCCAGTGGCTCAAGACAGAGCTGGGCCTGCTCGCCGGCAGACTGTACTTTGAATGGCACGAGTATGACGCGCTGTGCAAGTTCCTGGGAATAACGGAGGGGAGCTCCAGCGGTAGCGACGAAGAGACCGACGACGTCTCTGTGGATGATGATGAGTATTCTGATGATGAGATCGAAGATGTCGATGACGACTTGCCGGTTAAGAACGAAGAGAACGGGCACACTATCACCACCACCACCAAGTCCAGTTCTTCCTTTTCACCCCGGCCTCTGACATTCCTACAAGAGTGGCTGGCCATCCGCCGGCACGGGCAGGACTTTGCCCACACCCCCATGGGCTTCCTCGCACAGGGGAAGCCGCTGCAGGCGAACCACCCTTTCTTCGGCGGCGACGAAGAGGCTTCGGCGCCTGTTCAGAATGGCGACATCAACGGCCTTCCTCGTCAGGCTGGCACCATCAGCGGGGGCTGGAGAGAAGAGAAGAGGGCTCGGGATGGCGATGAAATTGAAGAGGGAGCCGTCGTCTTTGATGGTGTGGATGATATGGGCGCTAATGTGGGAGGAGAAGGGGAGGAAGAACAGGGCGAGGAGGTGGTGTACGACGACAGTGAGTATGACAGCGAGTACTATACGGATGTGTACTCAGAGGAGGATTTAGAGGAGGAGTAATGCGTGCTCAGCGCTGTCCGGAAAATGGGTAAATGCCCTGTTATAGTAGCCATGTACGACCAAGTTACAACCAATGTGGAGATAGCTGATTTGAGAGAATCTAATGTTTGGACTTTTACATCGCTGCTTATCAACTTAGACACGTCCCACTTGACATATCTAGCAAGAATGAGGGTATTCCTGTCCATCACAGACTACCAGCTGACATGCATTTGCACTGCCCCTTTGGTTCTCGCAAGTTGCAGCAACCACTTCCACCAGGTTGACGGGCCAGCTGCGAGATCTCGGTTGTTCCTTGCATCTCAAGACGTTTAGGCAACACATGGACTGCGACATGCTATACATGGTATTACCCGCTGCTCAGTTGAAAGCTGATTTCAGGAGCATCGATGAGACCTCGTGCCACATGACGGCAAAGTTGATCTCGGAGCAACCTGTCACAACCACGGCATGTTGCCGGAGATAGATCTATTTGGTGCGACCTTCGTGATGCCTACGTCAATGGACGCTCCCCCGGTTCTGTACAGTTCGTAGACGGCAGCGTCGAAGAGTTCGGCAGTTTTCCAAGGTGCAAACGCCACAGAGCACCTCCCACTTCAGCGCACCCGTCATGGTCCAGTGGTGAGCTGCTGCCTGCGGCGCATGGGCAGAGCAACAGGAAGGCACGACCATGGGTGGGACATGTTGACCTGGCAGTTGCGAGACCGCTCCTGCCCACCACACAGCGTCATACAAATTCCCATGCGAGATTGCACAGTTTCGCTTCTATTTGTTTCCTCCCGCCAAATCATTTCTGACCGCAAAGTCTGCAACCCGAGTTTCAGAAAGAAAACGCCAGCCCACTCGTTCTTTTCTACTCGGCCATCTCCCATCTCCATTCTCTCGCTTTACATTCTTCCAACAGCGCGACCATCGTCAGTTAGGATACCGTTGAGGCCACCATTCTTTTGCGTCAACTCAGTAAGTACCATCTTCAACATCGTTGCTCAACCTTTTGGTGTCGTTCTCTCGCTCGACTTCTACCGACCGCGAGTAAGAGGATTCGAGCATCACCCAGGTGACCGACCCAAGCTACTCGACTACCATCGATTTCTAATGTTAGCGCGTTACTTCTGCGGGATTCAGACAGATTCGCTGACCAAAATCGGCCTCATCAGATCAGAACAATTATTCAGACCGACCCATCAAGATGTTCTTCAACCGCATCATTCTCGCGGCCGCGGCTGCATACTTCGGCATTGCCAGCGCTGTCGGCGGCGGCGCTGAGTGCCTCAACAAGCGCGGCGCTCTGGAGACGCAGACCTCGACCGTGACCACCACAGCTACGGTCACGTTCACTGTCGGCTGCGCCACCGCGACTCTGAGCTCGGTCAGCACCAGCGCCACCTCGACGACCGTCACCAATGTCGTCACTCCCTCCACCACCGTTTCCACCACGGAGACCTTGACCCGGGAGTCGACCATCCCGGGTACCACCTCGGTCACTACCACGGTCCCGTCCATCCCGAGCGTCGCCAGCTCGTCGACCACCACCACCACCGGCATCACCCACACCCACACCACCATCGAAGGTCCCTCGTCGAGCAGCTCGGCCCCGCCGAACAGCACCAGCGTCAGCGGTGCCGGCGCCAAGCAGCCCGGCCTGGTCGGTGGCATTGTCGTGGGTGGCGCGGTCGCCCTGGCTATGGCCATGGCTTGACAATCTCTTGTTACCCTCTTTATCCCGGCAATTCATTCAAGGACAATACCGTCCTAGTACCGGGGAAGGGTTTGAGAGTGTAGCTTTGGGGGTTGGGTTGTTTGCTATCTTTTTTTTCTTTTCAGACGTTTGCTCCTGGACTAGGGTTGGGCATGTAGACGGACTACATTCATTGATGGGAAAAGTGGGAGGAGGGTCATTAATGGGGAGGTTGACCGGGCTGATGCTGTCATGGATGGGGATTGTAGGGGGATGATAAGGAGTATTTGATATTAGCTGAGCTTAAGGGAGTGATCCTAACTGAGATCAGTTTCCACGGCTGTCCGATCGATTCAGACGGGTGAAAGATGCGTGCTACGACCTGACTCCACGATGAACCTAATGCCCATGATGGCTGGGGCACCTCGCGTTGACACTGACAGAAGAAGCACTGCGGCATTACCGGGTGTCAAGCTTCCAACGTCGATTCGCAACAGTTGCATCTTAATCATCTGAAAAGTGTGATACACCTCATATTTACCAAGGTATCTTACCCTCTCCTAAATCTTTACAGCAACAAATCCCCATTATTCGCCACTCCACCGGCAGGCTGGTACACCGTCTGCGGCGCATACTGATTGACCACATAGCCCGGTCCCTCTCCGCCATTCCCGCCGAAGCTGTCCCCTTGCTCCTGGATCTGCATCCCGCGCATCTGTGAGGCAAAGTACGCGTCGGCGTCGCTGACCGCCTGCGCGAGGTTGGCATTGCCATTCGCGTTCTGTGCTTGGCCTCTATCCGTGCGGGGATCAAAGTCCGCCGGCTGGCCGCCCTTGCCGAGTTGGCTGAGGCTCTTGCTCGCGTCGGACCGGAGCCCCGCGGGCGCGGGGGCCTCCTGTCGCTGCAGGCAGGGCGAGTCCTGCAGTCGGCGCGCGCGGGCGTTGCGGAAGACGGTCTGCACGGGCTTAAGGTAAACTGTGGCGAGCGTGCCGACGTTGAGGCACATTTCCTCGAGCGTGACCGGGTCGAGGCGCTCCGACTCGGCCGTGATGGCGGGCTTCTCGCCCATGACGACCCGCTTGGCCGCCTCCATGTCGGTCGAGAGCAGCCGCCAGTACATGTAGGCCCGGTCGCGCAGGTCCGGGTTGTCGGTCTCCTCGGTGGCCCATTTCAGAACCTTGGGGACCAGCTCTTGGCCCTTGGTCGGCCGCTGGATGAATAGCTTCACCGTGGCGGTCAGCAGGGCCAGCTGCACCTCGACGGGCTCCTCGGCGAAGGAAAACAGGAAATCCTCGAGGAGAGCATCCGAGTTCTCGATTCGGCTGGCGTACTGGCCAATGACCCACACCATGGCCGCCTTGGCCTCGGGCTCATCTAGCGAGTCAAGGTGTTCGCACAGCGTACCGATGATGCTCTCGTACTGGTTGGGGTATTTGCGGAAGATGTTGCGGATCACTACCGTCGCCTCCTGCACGATGTATGTGACCTTGGTAGCGACGAGTTCCAGGAGCAGGTTGATGCAGCGCCTCGCGGCAGGCTCGATCTTGATGGCCAGCTTGCCGATGGCACGGACCGCCTTCCGCACGAAGTGGACATCGATCTCTGTCGCGTACTCGCGGAGCTCGGTGAGCACCTCGTCAATGTTCTTCTCATTGGCCAGCATAAAGATGAGCTCGAGCTTGGTGACTTTGACGTAGATGGGGTCGTTGTATTTGCAGAAGAAGACGCGAATGTCATTCCGAAGCACCTCGGGCCGCCTCTGGAGGATTAGTAGCGCGTTCCGGAGCGCGAGGTACTGCACTTCGGGCCCCTTGGCGAGCAGCGTCACGAGCGGTGGCGACAACTTCCGGCACAAGGCGGATATCTGCTTCTGGTCGGAGATGTAGTTCATCAGGTAGAGGATCACGCGGATGCATGTGAGCACGACCGCCGAGTTCGAGTGGGAGAGCCGGGGCGCAATGCGCTCGGCGAGAAGGGCTGCCTCTCCGGCTTCCTGTGGCACGTAGGACATGAGGGCCTCCAAGATGTATGTCTGACCCCATCTGCCGCACGTTAGCACCTAGCCTCTGACGCAGGAAGTGAGACACGGGGCGCATACTCGGAGCAATCGGGGAGGATAGCCACCATCTTGGAAGCGTTGCTGTAATCGATGGTGAGCTTGATGTCGTCGCTCCTTTCCCAGATATCCATCAAGCCCGCCAGCGCGCTGGCCACCACGGTGGGGTTGTCGTCCCTGAGAAGACTGTTTAGCCTGTCGATCAGGTCTGACTTCTCAACGACATGCCTGTCGTGGTCGTAGAGCTTCGCAACGGTGTACGCAGCCGTCTTGCGTACGTACGGATCCGGGTCGCGCAACAGGTGCTTGACGATCGGTACGGTCGCCTCGACGAATTCTCGCACGTGGATGTAAGACATGGTTCGCAGCGCCAGCGCCCGGACTAGGGGATTTGGATCTTCCATATCCTGGAGAGGGATAAGTATCCAAGCACAGCAGCCAAGGGCGCCCGGAGAGAGGACTGACATGTTGCAGGACCGGAATGGCTTTCACCGCCACGTCGGGGCGCATCCGCGCGTAGTTGACCAAGAAGAGGAAGCACCTTTGAAGCGCGGCGTCAGCATACTACTAGTAGCTAGAATGGCGGCGGTGGGTCTCGGGCGCTCACATCTTCTTGATCTCAAGGTTCGGGATTGTCATGCAGCCGACAACGTCCGGGAACAGCGCAACCATATCGTTATTGCTCATGGTCATGTTGGCGACGATCTTCTTAAGCGCGATCTTCTTGGCAGTGTAGTGCTTGTCCTTCTTGCCGCCGCTATTCAGCTCGAAGCGAAGCTCGGCGACTTTGCCCTGTCGTGTCGCTTGTGAGTGGACGGACGAAGGAATGTATGCCATAAACATGGTGGCGATGACCAGGGGAAGCTCATGGCGCCGGTGGGATTGGGAGTTATGCGACGGTGGAGAGGAAGAGGAGAAAGAGGTAGAATGCTTGTCGGCCGGAAGGGTGAAAGCAACGGAGGAGGCAGGCGTGGCGGTCGCCAAGAGGGTGGTGAGGGGCAGCGAGCTATGGGAGCGGGAGCTCGTCCCAGGAATGGGAAGGCTTGGTTCTTTCCTGCGCATCCCACGCCGGCGAAGTTGGGGAAGCAAGAAAACACAGATGAGCTTACTCGAGCGAACAGCTTCGAGTCACCCCCTCCTTGAGCGGTTGACATGTTTGCTCTTTAGGGTATGACGAGGCCGGTGTTGTCTGATAGATGGCGAGTCGGAAGGGAACGGGGTCGCGGAGGACGATCAAGATCTGGCGGGACGGACGGGGCGGGCCCCTAACGCCGGCGCTACGGCGCCTTCTGTTCCGAGCGATTGTCCAAACCGCAGCCAGTCCGGCTCGATGTCGCGTGTGTAGCTTCTTATGCAGGAAGAGCGCGTCAAGACGTCGAGGCAGCTGTGGATCGGAGGCTCTGCAAGGGGTTGCCGTCGTTCGGTGCCCAGGAATTGTGATTGTTGTCTCTTTCTTCTGAGCTTCCGGGGGTTTATCAATGCGTGATCGCACGAGAAATCACTACTCCAAGAGTTGGAGTTGGCGGCTACAAGTCGACGGGACCATCGGGGTTCTCGGTGCTCGGACCAGAGCGTGGATCTGCCCCCTGAAAATTGGACCCAGAATTTGGATGGTGGGGCACCATGGTCCCGCTGAAGCGGGAGCAAGCGGGCCGCCAAGACGCGCTAAAACGCGAAGGCGGACAGTTCAATTGCGACTGCATCTGACCGGGATTGACATCGAGCACCTCAACATTCTGTCGCATCAAAACTGAGCCAGCAGATGAACGCATTGCACGATGTCTTCGCTCACAACCTTGAAAGCGCTACCACCATGGGCAGAAGAGCTCAAGAACCCGACAGCCCACAAGCCAAAACAGGCGGGCATCCCCGATCCACCCGGCTTTCCCTCCTCGACCTCCGTGTCAAGCTCGAAGGTGAGCACCGCAGCCCTTGCGCCAGGCGACAGACCATCGAGGCATGGCTAACGCAGGCGCTTGCAGAAGAAGGATGCCAAAGACAGCAAAGTCGCGCAGCGCAAACCGGCGACGCCTGACGAGATGGACACGCTGAAACTCAAGAAGGCGTGGGAGGTGGCCCTGGCGCCCATCAAGAGCCTGCCCATGACCGCGATCATGATGTACATGTCGGGCAACTCGCTGCAAATATTCAGCATCATGATGGTCTTTATGGCGTTCAAGAACCCCATAATGGGAATCTTGTCAACCAACCAGGCCTTCGAGCGGTTCGAGACGGAGAGCAACAGGGCGCGTATGTTCCAGGTCAAGCTGGCGTATGTGGCCATGCAGCTGGTTGCTCTGGCGTTGGGGATATGGAAGATCAACTCGATGGGTTTGTTGCCGTGAGTGGGCTGGTACTATCACCCTAGAGATTACGAAGCTAACAGCAGCTCGTTACAGGACAACGAGATCGGACTGGCTTGCTTGGGAAGCTCAGCGCGAAGCGTTGGAACGTGCCGTGCCGGGGTTATAGACAGACAAGACTATCTGTCTCGATGCTGAAGGATGCTCAGGCCGAGAACGATAGGATGATATGGGTTGTCTGTATGCCCGATCGACGATTAAGTAGTGCCCAATTACGACATGATCCAGGCCGCATCGCGTCTGTGCTCGAACATTGTCGCTGAATAACACTTTGCCCTGGAACAGCACACTGTCTCTTCTTGAAGGCTGCAAAGGGATCGTGGCGAGAACGCTGCGGAGATTAGGCCCATCTACGACCGTAGCATCATAACATGCTTGGGATGCAATGCTGATCACGATTACTCCTCCTCTGAATTCTCCGAGTACATATCCGTATAGTACTCGCTGTCATATTTACTGTCATCGTACACCGCCTCCTCACTCTCTTCTTCCTCCTCTTCTCCTACATTACCACCCATATCATCGACACCGTCGAAGACGACAGCTCCCTCCTTAGTTGCATCGCCATCCCGGCCCCCCTTCCGGGTGTGCTGATTGAATCTAGGTGCACAAGCACGTCCTCCTGGAATCTGAATACTTTGAGCAGGCTCTCCGGCCCCTCTCAACAGGAGGTATGGGTATTGCCGCCCACCCCCCCCCCCCCCCCCCGGGGCGGCCGCCGCACTGACCGGGCTTCCCACGGACTCCGAGTCAGGTAGGGCCGATGCCGCCAACGCCGAACCTACACTCGCCGCTTTCAACTTGGCGAGGGCAACGGGTTCCAGCGGCGACAAGTCCGTCTGCCGAGACCCCGTAGCCCCGGGAAAATCGCCGCAGCGACTCCAACTTGAGGAAGGACTTGCAGTTGGTGCCGGACGAGATCCAGTATGACGCCAGCGCTACGCAGGCTAAATTCACAAACACTCCGCGCCTGCCAGACCAAGCCGCAGCTGCGGGCGGATTAATGCGCGCCTCGCTCTCCCAAACGAGAGCCTGGAAACACGCCGAGAGCCGGCAAGGAAGAGGACGCCGAGAATCGAAAGCGAGACCGTCGATTGCTGCTCGTTGAAATGTCGGCGCCTTGATAGCATCTCTCAGTCAAGAACAAGATTTCTAGTCTAGGAGGCAGAGCATGCAGCCTGACTGGACCAGTTTCGATCATGTGTGCCCTTGGCGCCATTTGGACGAAATAAGGGAGCAGCTGGAAGGAGACATGTTCGAAGCGGCTTTGATCCATTGTGTCTTAGGGAACCGTTGCACAGAGCTATTACGGATTACGCAGTATATTTTCTGAGAACGCTGTTGTTGTTAGCGACGGCGACTGCGGCAGGACATGTCTACTTGATAGTTACGTTGGAGGGTGTGTTATACATGCTCGTGTTGTTAGCGGGTGGCCCTCACACTCCGGCTGGACACTGTCCCTGCGGTCTTCCTCATGAGCCGCGTGTGTCCTGAAGGGGGACAGCCTGCTCGGAGGCGTTGTTAGCATAATAGCGTCGGTCTTGTGCATTGGGTGTGCGGAGGGTAGCACAACAACATCCGCTACTAAGGACGGCATGATTCGCTGGTTGTCGTCTTGGAAAGTTTGGATGCTGTGGCACATAGACCGGATTGCCGCAGCCGAGTGGTTGGAGAAGATCTCTTGTTGGTCGTAATGGGCCTGCAAGGGATCAAAACAAGCTCGTAAACACCGACTTGCTCCCCCCAAGAGGCCCGGCCAGACGAACAGAAGGTTGAGGGCGTGATGAGAAAGCTGTTGGTAGCCGTCGTGCTCGGAGGGGAAACCGATCATTCCCTACTACCTACCTACACTCTCCCCTGTACCCATGATTGCTGCAATTGCCGGTCATGGGCCTCTCATAATCTCATTCACAAACTCCTGGTCCGTGCATTTGTTGTCATCTTCGGTGGGTCTTCCCCAGCCTTCCCCCAGTCGAGGTGGAGCAATTGGCTCCAGTTACTGTTCGTTCCACGGCTTCCGAGCAGGGCCTTGAAACCACGCTGCCAAGCTTGCCTTTCCCCTTCCAGGTTCGCTCCGGGCTTTCGGTTGCAAACCAGGCCAAACGCTTTTGTTCAACTCAGATAGTTATCCGGTTAGCGTGCTGTTCTCCTCCCAGGCATATCACATCTCATACGCCATCTTGCTGCGTCAGCACCTGCCTTTGAGCGCCCGGTGGTTCCCGCTTTCCCCTAGATCGCGAGCGTGACTGCTGGCCAACCGAGCGAGCCATTTGTCTGTCGGTCTTTCCGCCTCCAATTTGCGGTGTGATACATACATCATTAGATCGTCCTTTCTTTTTTCATTTCCTCTCAGATTTTCGTCTTTTTCACTCGTTCGTCTGGGTGCACGAAGCCTGGCCAATACAAATACCGGGCCCGTTCTTTGCGATTGTCTCGGCATCAGCAAATCCTCGACGGCAGGTCTGCGCCTCCGGGAATTCCGTCAACCGGGCGCGAGCTGTCAGAGCTCAAACCTGCGGTCAAAAAGAATTCGGCGCGTGCTGGTAAGATTCAATTCCTGATCGAACCAGGGCCGTTTCCGGACACTGCGTCGGAAGCCAATACCACCTGCATCCGGCGCCGCGCGCATCCCCCGTCATCTGCGTCTCAACTGCGATCCCCGTACAAGGCAAACTGTACTTTGGCATCGTGAGCGAATCGACCTCTCTTCAAACCGCAGTTGGCGAAACCGTTACTTTTATCGGTTTACAACGATGGCGGAACCATCGTCCAAGGCGGAAGGCCAAACGCCAATCGAAACCACGGCAGCAAGACCGTCCGATTCGCCACAATTGAACGAAGCGGAGGCGGGTATGGCGCAAACGCAGACCGAGGACAAGCAGACAATGGAGGAGCCGACGGCGCAATCGAGCGCCGCGGCTGCAACCGAGACGGAAGCGGCGTCAAAAGGGAAAGAGAAGGATGAGTCGACACCGCAAGCCGGGAAGCCGAGAGAAGGCGACTCCCTATCAATAGAGCCGACCGAGTTACCGCCACCCGCCGTCACCGCGAGCAGCACGGAGTCGCCACCCGTCTGCACCATCACGCTGCTGCTGCCGACCGGCGCCAGACACCCTTACAAGCTCGACGAGAAGTACCTCGCCAAGCGCAACGTCGAGATGCCCGACGTGACGGAATCCGGCAGGCGAGACCCGTTCAGCATCTCGGTCTACAAGCTGAAGGAGCTGATCCTGCGGGAGTGGCGGGAGGAGTGGGAGGGAAAGCCGGCCAGTCCGAGCAGCATTCGGCTGATCCACTTTGGGAAGTTGCTGGATGACAAGGAGCAGCTAAAAAGTGAGTCTCGTCGTAGCCCCTCGGCAGCACGGAAAACACAGCTGACACTCTTGAGCAGAGTACCAGTTTAGCCAAGACAGCCCCAACGTCGTCCACATGTCCGTGCGGCCGCCTGAGATGATGGAAGAGGAGGAGACAGGCAAGGCCAGCTCCGCCAGCCGGCATGGAAGGAGCCGCGACGGGACCAGTAACTGCTGCGTGATCTTATAAGGGGGTGCGGGTATGCAACTCGTCCTTCGGCAGCCCGGCCGTTCTTTGCTGAACCACCCGGCTGGACGCGGGGGCGTTGCTGAGATATTTTTGTCAGTATGCCACACAACTGCATTGCGATGTTTCTTTGATGGCCTCAGTTTGATGTACATGGTTGCGGTTGCGGTTGCGGGCACGGGTCTGGCGTTTGTCCTGTTCTACATAGGTAGTTTCTTCAGTACAGATGAACAGCGGATGACCTATATGTCCTCCAGCGATGCTTCAAATAGATTTACAACTTCCATGGCTCGCTGGGTTTCTGGCTACAGGTACAGTTCGTGTCTACTGGTCGAGGACTCGGGATCGTTCGAGCGGTTCGCTCTGCTGAACCTTCCACATAATAACAAACACATCGAACAATGATCCCGGACGCGCATCGACTCCGCCATGGTTCCATGTCTATGCCGACGGCCGTCTGCTCCGCCCCTGAGCTTACCCGATATTTTACAGCTCCCTCAAGCAAGGTTTCTACCGCCTGCTTCGATTGCAGATTTCGTGACGGTCTCTGTCCCCTGACACAGAATGACCGCTGGCTGTCATCCCACCATAAGGATCCAACCCAATATCACCCCTTCTCAGATCTTCAACTTCCGCTCCATCTCCTCATGCACGCCCACCACCGCCCGCGACTCCTCACCGCTAAACACATCTTCCCACGAGATGGTATCATCCTTGCCCGCCAGAATCTCCTCGTGCACACTCCCCATCCCGGTGACCCCATTCCCCCCGCCGAGCGCCATGGGCCGCCACTCCCCCTCACGCGTGATCTTGAGCTCCATGCCGCGGCGGATCGGCTCCGCCATGCCGTACGTGCGCCGCAGCATGTCCATGCGCAGCGACTCGCGCGTCGCCTCCCAGGCTTTCAGGCGCGCCTCGAGCGGGTGTGCCGACGACGGCTTGCGGGGGTCGGCCGCGTCGAAGGCAGACGGTCCCACGCCCGCCCGCAGCGTGTCGTAGAGGCCCGGCGCGGAGGGGGCGCTCAGCTGCTGCGAGGCGAGGTGGCTGTAGGATGTGAGGTGTGCTTCCGCGGGTACGATGCGCATCGACTAGGTGTGGTGACCAGACTGGTTATTGCGGGGGCCTTTTCTTCTAGGTTGGGAAGGAAGGGGGAGGGAGCTTACCATTTTGGCGGTTGTTGCTGGTTAATGGTGAATTATGTGGAAGTTCCGTGCTCCAGCTGTTGGCCGGATTTAGGGCGAGCTCTTGGTCTTGAAGTAATCGTTAAGGTGTTTGCGTCGGTCGGTGGTGATGGACTGGATTGCGGATGGAATGGAACTCAGGTCGGGCCAGCGTCTGCTTGGTGATGCTCAAGGCTGCCAGCGCCTCGCGTTCAGCAGGGTTCCAGGCGCCAACCGCTGACGGCCCACAGGAGTGCAAGTGGGGCAATGAGGTGTCGTTACGTAAGGATAGTCAGGCTCCGCCTGCACTGTTATTCCCGGACAGGGGTTTCTACCTCCGAACGGGCGATGCTTTCGAACGACGTTCATAGGTGTTTTGTTGACTCATGGTTCACATTTAACATCACCATGGCCACCCGCGAGTCCACCAGGGGCCAATTGTCAAGATGCGTCTTCCATCCAACCCACCGCCCATAATCCGCATCGCCAATGGCACTTTCTACCGGCACCAGCCGAGCACGGCCTCTGCGTTGCACGCCCACTCGCATCCGGACCCGGCGCTGTTCAAGGAACTGAGCTTCGAGCTGCCGGCGCGAAGCAGATCCCCACACAACTGGTGCATCGTCGGCCCGTCCCTCTCCGGGAAGACGACCTTCCTGCAGCTTCTCCGCGGCCAGCACCTGTGCTTCCCTCCCACAGCGCGGTCCTTCCCCTACCTCAGCACCGATGAGGTCCCCTACCGGCTGCGGACGCCGGCCCGGGCAATCCAGTATGTCGGCTTCGACTCCCAGGGCGGCGGCGGTCTTGGTCCTGCCACGTCGACCTACCTGTCGGCGCGGTACGAGTCAAGGAGGGAGATCACCGACTTCTCCCTCCGGGACTTCCTCCTAGGCAACATGCAGCTGAACCCCTCCAAGCTCCCCGACGACCAAGGTGTGGATGAGGCGCTGTTCAAGCGCGTGGTGGTCAACCTGCGGCTTGAGAGCCTGCTGGACCTGCCCGTGGCCTTCCTGTCCAACGGCCAGGGACGGAGGGCGCGCATTGCCCGCGCGCTGCTCACCAGCCCGGAGGTGCTGCTGCTCGACGAGCCGTTCATGGGCCTGGATCCGCCCACCGTGGCCGGGCTGAGTCCGCTGTTGCATTCGCTCGCTGAGAAGGCGAGCCCGCGGCTGGTGCTAAGCGCCCGGCCGCAGGACCCGTTGCCCGATTGGATCACGCATCTGGTGTACCTCAGGACGGATGCCCAGGTCGGAGCCATGGGAGCCAAGGAGACCGTGTTAGATGGTTTGAGGAATTACGTGCGGCGGGTCCGGAGCGGCAACCTCGCCGAGGACGAGACGATGCCGGTGCATGCGTTGAGCGAGATGGGCAGGACGCTCACCAAGGACGGTATTGCGGGCGAAGGCATGGCCGAGGACTTTTCTATTAGCATTACCAACGGGAGTGCCGAGGAAGGAACGCTGCAGAACACGAGTGTGGGAGAGCCGCTCGTGGAAATGGATGGCTGCAGGGTCCAGTACGGTGACAAGGTGGTATTAGGGAACTGGACGGAGGAGCTGGGCGATGGCCAAACCACGACCGGGTTACACTGGACCGTCCGGAGGGGCGAGCGCTGGGGAGTCTTTGGGCCGAACGGTTCCGGCAAGACAACGATCGTCTCCCTTCTCTGCTCTGATCACCCCCAAACCTACTCGCTACCAATTAAGCTGTTTGGCCGTAGCCGGCTGCCCGAGCCTGGGTCCGGACAGCGGCCCCTCACGTTCTGGGACATACAGTCGCGAGTCGGGCACTCGAGCCCGGAGATACACCAGCACATGCCGCGCAACCTGACGATCCGACAAGTGCTGGAGAGCGCTTGGGCCGACACCTTTCGATCCAACCCGAAGCTAAATGACGCCGCTAAAGAACAGGTCGATGCCGTGCTGAAGTGGTTCGAGCATGAGCTCAACCCGTCCTTGCACAAGGCCAGGCAGCAGTCGCCCCCTTCTGAAGGATGTGGCGATGCCTCGGTGGCCTGGGCGAGCGATTACATGTTCGGCGAGCTGTCATTCAGCGCCCAGCGCATCCTGCTCTTCCTGCGGGCGATCATCAAGCACCCGGATATCGTTGTGCTGGACGAGGCATTCGGTGGCATGGACGACGCCGTGCGGGACAAATGCATGCTCTTCCTCGCGCATGGAGAGGAGAAGATGTACGCATTGGGTTCAAAGCAGGGAGGCGGTGCTCTGGCGGGGGCGACGGTGGTGGACAGCCCTGCCGCGAAGGCTGGGCGCGTGAAGGTCAAGGGTCTCTCGGACCAGCAGGCACTTATCTGTATCAGCCACATCAAGGAGGAGGTGCCCGACTGTGTGGGAGAGTGGCTCTGCCTCCCGGAGCCCAACACGGGGCTGCCTGCGAGGTTTGGACGGCTGGACGGCCCGCTGAGGACGAGCTCGAAGCGCTGGGCTGACATTTGGGGCGTGAGAAGTGGGGCTTAGCTAGTCGGACCTCTCGAAAGGAAAACTTATCATACATTCCAAGAGACCATGTTACAATACCGTAACAGCGACTACGTACTGTTATAAGGTACCGTACCTGATGGTTGAGTGCGAGGCACGGGCAGGTCACATGTCCAGTGACTACGTAATAAGTGAGCTAGAGACACCTTACCCAACCCCATTTCTTGGTGCAGATTTCTCCACCTCTCAAACCCAGAACTTCGGACTACACAGTAATACTAGCTACTAGTACCTACCTACCTAGTATTACCTACAAGCCACTCCCCAACCCAACTACCTTACTGCTGTTGCGTTGACTCATCGTTTTACGCGCCTGAAGAGACAGACCACGTATATCCGAGGCCATCGAAATGCACGGTCAAAAGCTGCACATTAGCATTCTAGGCGTAGGGAACCTGGGCCAATACATTGCATACAACCTCCTGGCCGGAGCACCGCGTCGACTCAGGGTCACGTTGCTGTTCCACCGAGAATCACTGAACTGGGAGTGGAAACAGAGCGGACAAACCATCCAGTGCCGGATGGTTGGGGAGCACGAATTCCGACTGCCATTATTAGATGGATTCAAGGTTGACAACATCACGACCCCGCGACCGCAGGCGCCTCCAACAATCAAGTACCTGATCGTGGCAACCAAAGCGCCAGCGACCGCCGCTGCTGTGGCCGCCATCAAGCACCGGCTGTCTCGGGACTCGCAGATTCTCTTCGTACACAACGGTCTCGGTGTCATCGACGAGGTCACAGACAAGGTCTTCCCGGACGCCAAGACGCGGCCATACTACTGGGCCGGTGTGTGCGAGGCAGGGATCCACGGGGCAGGCCCCTTCCAGATCATCCAGGCCGGCAAGGGGCCGCTGCTCTTTGGGCGCTCTGGCGCGCGGTCCTGCGAGCGGGCCGACGACTCGCACCCCATGTCGAACGACATGTCGTTCGCAAGGAGATTGCTCTGGACCCGCCGTGCGCTGGACGCCCGGTTGCTGAACAGCGACCAACTCGTCCGCAAGCAGCTGCAGAAGCTCGTAGTCAACTCGGTCATCAACCCGCTGACGGCCCTGTACCGGTGCAGAAACGGAGACGTGTTCACGCGCAAGGAGGGGCAGCAGTTGTTCGACGCGCTCGTGGAGGAGGCCGGCCCTGTGGTCCGGGCACTGCTTGGCATTTCTGATGGGCACGGCAGGCTGGGCAACTCGGACTTTTCCGACGACGGGCTGCGCAGGCACGTCAACCGGATTGCCACCCTGACGGCGGGGAACAGGAGCTCGATGTTGCAGGACATCGAGGCCCGGAGGAAAACCGAAATCGATTACATCAACGGCTATCTCGTCCGTCAAGCCAAGAAGCTGGGCCTGCCGTGCGCACACCACGAGCGCATTGTGCAGCAGATCAAGGAGCTGGAGGAGGGTGGTGGTGTGACCGATGGTGGTGGGTTCGCGGGCGGCTCCCGTCAGCTGGCGTGATTCGAGCACTGACAATGAAAGCCTTGTCGTTCGGATTGTAATGGGACTGGTGTACAGGGCTCGAGTCATCGTTGCGGTGACTGCGAAGTGACTGGTTAGCTCTTGAATTCATACTCGGGCCAGATTTTGTCCTTGTAGGATTTCAATGGACTCGATCTTGCCGACTTTCTGCAATCCGGCCTCCAACGGTGGAGAAGCAGGTCGGCGACGGGTTGCTCAGCGTGGCCACGACCTCCAGATAAGTATGGCCTAGTGGACCGTGAGTACCGCGTCGCGCGCCACGAATACGACGGCGTCTTTGACCATAAAACGTGTCTTGTTTGGCCCCACAAAAACGGCGTAAATCCAGGTCTGGATCCGGAATGCCGCGAGGAATGCCCCTCGAGCTCTGTGGCCATCATTCATTCTACATGTACGCCATCACCGATTCGTCCTCGGCCAGCTCCTTGGCCAAGGAACGCTTTGATGGTTCCCACTGCAGCATTTTGCGCATCATGGCGAGGAATCCCTCCTTGCTCTCGCCCTCCAAGCTGGATTCCCTCTCCTCAAGCGGCACGGCATCGGGAAGTGGGATATCTGGGCGGAACTCGCCTGCAGAGACAGTAATGTTTGTCAGTCAAGACAGCGAAAGATTTGTCGTCAACGGGCATTGACTTGCCTGTACCCGTAAAGAACTTGTGGCTCGATTTGCCCCGTTGCTGGAGGGCCCGAGGAGACTGTATTGCGCTGCTAAGATGATAAATAGAGAGATAGCCCAGCCAAGGGCATTGACGCCTTGGATCACCGTCGCCCATTCGCGGTTGCTAGGCTGGGCTAGCTTCGCCTTGCCACGGCCATCCGAGGTTGTAACCACCATGCCCGGGAAGATAATGCCCATTATAAACCCAGTCTCGTCGAAGTTATAGATATCGTCATCTATAATACCGTACTTAGCCTTAACATTCTGTACAAGGGCAAACTACTCGCCAATGACCTTCGGATCCTCATACTTTGCCCTCTGGTAGTTGTATCTTCGCAAATAACGCGTACGGAGCTCTGGCTGGCGTTTGATAAACCGATGCGCCTAGAGCTTGCCGACGGGGGGCGCGTCGCGTACGCATAGCAGTTGGTTGGCCATATCTTCTATACCACGTAGTCTCTGCGGAAAAGGTCGTATAGATAGCTCAATAATATATTGAACAATAGCCTCCTCTTCAGATTGGGTAAGCCTCTTCGAATTGGCCGTTATATCGCGTCGTGCAGGCTTGCCGGCGCGTCGCCGACCTAGAGTTCTACAGTCGACTCCGTAGATCTTCGCTGCCGCTCGTTCAGTTAGATTCTTATCGTTTTGAAGAGCTTGGAGGGCCAAGATGATTTGGCCTTCTTTTGAAGTAGTAGGCATCTTAGATATAGGAGGACTATTGTTGTTAAGTGCAAAGTTGTCGCGTTGTTTAGAAAGTGGGTCATTCGCTAATATGGGTCACTCGCTGATAATGTACGTTATTAAGATAATTACTTATATATTTAACGTATCTTATAAGCGAGCCGGCCATATAAGCGAGCTGGCCACTCTCCACTATACTACCAACAATATCTTCAATCACAAAATAACAACACTAGGAACTAACTAATTATATTAGAAACAGATGAATTAGACCCTTCTACACCCTCCTAGCAAGTGCGGGCATTATGGCCAGGCTTGCCGCACACATTATAGCATCGAACCTTCGTACGACCCCCTCTAGCACCACTATCATCCAGCTATATTTCTTGCATTTCCTTCCCACCTATAGCCCCCTGACCTACCACCTCCTGTGCCTTCTGTATAGTAAGTGATCCTCTAAGCCGTACACGTGTTTTTTTGGCTCTCCGGCGCTTGCTTAGCGCCTCGTTGGCCTTGCGGAGCAAAGACACCTCTGCCTAAAGGAGGGCTACCTGGTGCATTATAGCCATTGTACTCTTGGTAAGCTGGTCTATAGCAGCCAATATTGAAGTCGGGGAACTATTTTAATGGTTGGCAATGCGAGTCTTGATAAGCGTTGACTGTGAGTCAGCTTCTCGAGGGTTGTATAGTGTCTGGAAGACCCAAGATTGTATAGTGCCCGGCTGTGAGGTTAGGGGAGTTGGTGTACAAAGCTTGATATCTAGCTTTGAAAGCACCCTCTCTAGATTGTACGGTATAAGGCCAGCTCCTGTAAAACCGCCCTGGATATTCCTCTTAGTAATAGAGATAAAGAAGGCTACGCGAAAGATATAAAGGAACTTGAGCTTGCTGACGTGGTTGATATGCGTATGTATTAAGTTCTCGATCTGGCAACCATACGCCTGTTTTAACAGCCTAAAGCAGCTAATATTAAGTGGCTAGAGGAGGTGGGAGGAATATAGAGGCATGCAGAGTGTGATAATGTTGTTCTGCTGGCAGTAGAGCTCGAACTCGGTCGAGTGGTGGCTTTTATGGCTATCAAGGATCAATAACCGGTATTTGCCCTTTATCCGAGGCGCTGTATAGTAGTTAAAGTGCTTGATCCAATCAAGGCTAACTATATTGGTAATCTAGCCATTCTCAGTAGTTGCGATGCGCCAATTGGCTAGGAGGTTGCACTCGGTATACCAGTTAGCGAGGTGGTACTATATAGCTAAGATGATGAACTGAGAGATAGCCTAGCCAAGAGCATTGATACCTTAGATCACTATCGCCTATTCGCAGTTACTAGGCTAGTGTGACGAAACCACAGGCAGTCCTGCCTCTGAAAGGGTTCGCCGGTCGAAGGTATCTGCTGGTCGGACTGTAGGTCTCGGTGAAGCCAAAAGGTTCATAACGATGCAAGTCGCAATGTCTGCACAGTAATATAGGGTTACCTTACTGCTTGTAATTGCTCACTGGAGAACTCCCAGAGTCCTCCAGAACAAGTGTCTAGCTATCCTATATACTAGCTGGTCTTGGTCCGCTCACCACGGCTTACCAGTGAGCCTAGGTGATCCTGCTCATCCGCTCACCAGGTGAGCGGGCGCTCCTACATATGCTCATCAGCGTTACGAGCGCTCTTGCATATCCCTATATACAATGATTGGCTGCGGACATACCCTTGTCCGCCCCACCGGGTCACTGCATATGGTCAAATCGTGACAGCTAGGCCAGCTTTGCCTTACTACGGCTATTAGAGGTTGTAACTACTATGCCTAGGAAGATAATGCCTATTATAAACCTAGTCTTATCGAAGTTATAGATATCATCATCTATAATGCTATACTTAGCCTTAACATTCTATATAAGGCTAAACTATTCGGCAATAACCTTCAGATCCTCACACTTAGCCCTCTGGTAGTCATATCTACGCATATAACACGTCTGGAGCTCTAGCTGGCGTTTGATAAAGTTATACGCCTAGAGCTTGGCAACAGGGGGCGTGTCATGTATAAATAGCAGTTAGTTAGCCATATCTTCTATACTATGTAGTCTGGCGGAAAAGCTCGCTTAGATAGCTCAATTATATACTGAACAAGAGCCTTCTCTTCGGAACTGGTGAGCCGGCGCGAGTTGGGTATAGTATCGCGTCGTATAGGCCGGCCCGCTAGTCGGTCTTGCAAGGTTGTTCGTCGAACGTCGTAGTACTTCACTGTAGCCCTTATGCTTAGTTTTTAGTCTTTTTGTATCGCTTCGAGGGCTAGGTTTATCCTAGCCTTGTACGAAGAAGAAGATATGTTAGGTTGTAAAGAAAATCTGGTTTTAAGCGCGGAAGTGACGCGTCGCGGGTAAAGTAGCCGGCTGTCATGAACTAACCTGCAGAGGCCGGTGGGGGCCGACCTGCGTGGTCAACAGGCGGCGCCCGCATCCAATCATTACGAGTCAGAAAGAACCAATGAGGATTGGGGAGATCAGGAACAATGCCAAGATCGATTGTTCCTGAGGAACAACGCCAAGAACCATTGTTCCAGATGGAACAATGAGAACAACAATTGTTCCAAGTGTTCCAGAGATCTAGGTACGGGATACCTAGGGGAGGCAGGACTGCCTGTGGTTTCGTCACACATGGTGACTGTTGTCATAGGCCACGCTCAAAGCTCTAGTAGGCAACTGACTGTATTGCAAGAATATTGAACTTGCAGGAGAAAAGGAATCCTCGAAGACTGCAAGGTGCGAAGAAGTCTAAATATAGGATGTGGGGCATGTACCTAGATGTGGAAGGTAGAGCACCAACCAGGTTGACCAATCATGCATGTATGTATTAGAAGCTGGGCACATGACTAAGCAATGGCCTATACTATAGTATGGTAGATTCTACCGCCATGTTATTCTTAAAATAATCTAGCAGTCTACTTAATATATCTACCTATATATTTTCTAAGCCTTTTTTATAGTTAATCTTAAAGTTAAACTCTAATGGAAGCTTTAACGTTATCTATTCTGTTTATCGTTTGTTTAATACCTTTATAGTAGTAAAGTACCATAGATTCTTATAATCTATATAATATGACGAAACCACAGGCAGTCCTGCCTCTGAAAGGGTCCGCCGGTCGAAGGTACCTGCTGGTCGGACTATAGGTCTCGGTGAAGCCAAAGGGTTCACAATAATGCAAGCTGCAATGTCTGCACAGTAGATGAGAGCTACTGCTTGAATTGCTCACTAAGGAAGCTAGCTATCTGAATGAGTGACAGAATAGTAGAACTATATAGCTTCCTCCTCTAGGTATCCCCGTACCTAGATCTCTGGAACATTTGGAACAATTGTTGTTCTCGTTGTTCTATCTGGAACGACGTTCCTTGGCGTTGTTCCTTGGGAACAATTGCTCTTGGCATTGTTCCCAATCCTCCCAATCCTCATTGGTCCTTCCTGGCTCGTAATGATTGGGCGCGGGCGCCGCCTGTTGACCACGCAGGTCGGCCCCCACCGGCCTCTGCAGGTTAGTTCATGACACAACTCCACTGGCGTGCAGGTCTGGTGTGCGGGTTAGGGGTTTCCCTGTGGTCCGGCTCTAGCCCTGTTGGGCACGCCGTTCAGCTCTCTCTTGCCCATGACACACCGGATTACATTCAGCCTTCGGAGCACTCAGCCCACTTCCACTACGAGTTTAAGTATAAGCGGCCCATCCTATCCTGTCAACACATCAAACTCAACATTTCAACATTAAGTAGGAAGGATAATCTTATCGCAATGTGGAGGAAAAAGTACTACGAGAACCCGCGGCGTCTCGCCCTGGCCGCCATCGCGAAGGAGACACAGGAAAGGACACCCACCATCGCAGCAAGGCTGCCACACCTCGACGTGTCAAAATCCGAGAAGCTCGACCTACCATCCCTGCCGCCTCTGGACCCAGCCAAATGCCCACAATTCCGAATCCCCAACCAGGGCTCGCTGGTGGGCACAACAACGCGGGTGTTCAACCGAGACTCGTTCGACGCCGCCCTGTCCATGTCCTCGTCCATCCTTGACCTACACCCTACTCCGGGAGAAAAGTCCATTACCTCGACAGAGAATGAAAAAGAGATCCTCTCCCATTTGGAACCCCTCTCAGCCTCCCCAACGAACCTCAACCCCTCCACCGCGGCGCGGGTGGCCGTGCTGAACATGGCATCGGACCGCAACCCGGGCGGCGGCTGGCTGAATGGGGCCTCGGCTCAGGAGGAAGCGCTGTGCTTCCGCAGCACGTTGGCGGCGTCGCTCCATCGGGCGTATTACCCGCTCCGGAGGCGGGAGGGACTGTACACGCCGGATGTAGTCGTCTTCCGCCGGTCAGCGGCAGCGGGTGGGGAGGAGGGACATAAGCTGATGGTGCCCGAGACGGCGGTGGGGGAGCTGCCTGTTGTGAGTGTGTTGAGTGTGGCGGGGATTCGGGGGCCGGAGGTTAGACCTGAGGGAGAAGAGGGAGGCAGGGAGGAGGGGGGACAGGAGAAGAAGGCAGTCGGGAAGGAGGCTGCTGAGAGTGGGCGAAAAGAAGCCGAGGGCGATCAGGAGCGTGGAAAGGGCAAGACCAAGACTCCCAAGGGACCGTTCGTCTTTGCCGACCCCGCCGCGCGCGAGTTGACCAAAGACAAGATGCGGCTGTGTCTGCGGATGGCTGGCGCCAAGGGCCATACGATGCTTGTCCTCGGGGCGCTCGGCTGTGGGGCGTTCCGCAACCCGCCGCAGGAGGTGGCTCGGTGCTGGCAGGAGGTGCTGGGCGAGGCCGAGTTTGCCGGCGGCTGGTTCCGCGAGATCTGGTTCGCCGTCTATGACCGCAGGAACGAGGGCAACTTCGACGTCTTCAGGGATGCTTTTGACGGGAAGGTTGTCGGTGAACGGAAACTGTCGGGTCTCGGAGAAGTAGATATATGAACTACGTAGGTCGGCCGTCGACCTAGGACAATCTGCTCGCCAAAGTGAGGGCGCCGGATGTGGCCGACTTGGCCGCCTTCTCTTTCTTGATGCCCACGCGAAGCACCTCCATCAGTGGCAGGTACTCCTTGCGCTCGACGGCATCAACCCACTGCTCGATGCGCCGGAGGTAGAACCCGGACCCGCAGCGTGACACGGCGCCCAGGAAATCCACTTTCAGCGCGCCCTCCTCCACCTCCAAGTCCCACTCGGGCCGCAGCTGGCGCATGCGTGCCGCGTACACCTTGCGCAGCTGGGTCTGCTCGTATTCCATCAGGTGGATCCAGTACAGCTCCGTCTTGCCCTCGTTGTCGAGGCTGTCGTCCGGGTCGCCTTCCGCGGCGCTGGCCTTGTCCACGTCCGTGTAGCAGTTGCGGTCCGGCCTGATCTCCCTAGCAGCGCCGCGCAGGAACTCGGGCACCTGCGAGGCCACCCAGCGCGGCATCGTCGACACGCATTCCCTGCTGGCAGTGAGCACTCCATGCACGTAATATTGGTAATGCGTGAGAGACATACCACCCTATGACGGCCGTGACGCTGCCGCTGTTGTCGACTAGTATGTTCCGCAGCGACAGATCGTCATGCCAGACCACGGTGCGCTCGGGCGGGTGCACGATGGCCGGGAAGACCTTGTGCAGGATGCGCTGCAGCTTCCGGGCCACCCGCAGTGCGCTCTCGGCATACTCCCTGTCGTCGTCGTTCCGGGCTGCGACCAGCGCGGTCGTGTGCTCCTTGATGATGACGTTGAGCTGTGCCTGCAGCCAGTCGTGGCTCGAGCGGAACGGCCCGCGCGAGACGGGGTAGTGGTAGCGGTCGCCCGAGAAGAAGAAGCTCGATACGACGGGGCCCGGCTCGGGTGCTCCCGTGTTCTCGCGGTCGGGAGCGCTCCCTAGCGTTCCGATTCCCCTGAACCCGTCCCCGCCGTTGTTGCAGCGCAGCAGCTGGGACTGGAAATCGGCCACACGGACGGTCAGACTCTCCTTCTGCGCCATCGTCATCTTGCGCCAGCGGTAGTACGCCGGCGTCCCCGGCATCCTTTCCATCAGCAGCCACTCGAAGCCAACCTCGTTGCTCCGGCAGTCGTCAAAGGCCAAGACGCGGGGCACTGGAATGTCGGTCTTGCGGCGAACCAGCTGCAGGGCCGCCGCCTCGCCGCGGGTCTTGTGGCGCGGGTCCACGGGCAGCGACACGCGCAGCACCAACTGGCCGCGAATGGAGCGGATGCTGTACAGCTTGTTGAAGGCGCCGTCGGTGAGGAAGGCGACGGTCAATGCATCGTCGGGCGCGTCATCGGCAATGCCCAGGTGGCGGCGACACACGCGCCTGACCGCGCGCATGTCAGGCTCCCGCGTCCATCGGGGCTCGGGGCCCAAGCCGTTGTCCTCCCAGGCCAGTCCGTCCCTCGTCGTGTCTCTCATCCTCGCTTTTCCCCCGGTGCTGTGTTCCCGGCTTGATTTCAAGCTTTGTTGTTTCTCAAACGGAGGCCCCGGCAACAGGGACGCGTCAAACAAGATTCATCGCGATCTGCAGCGCGCACCGTCCCAAAGCAGTAACCCGACGTCTGTTCCGTTACGCAACGTCCGCCGGTGCCGCCCAATGTCGATTTCAAGTTGCCCGCTTGGAGCCTGTTTCCAAACGGACTGGGCCAGTACGGTACCCGTGAGTCGCCGGTTAATAACCCGCAAATAACTCGTTTAAGCTGGAAAAAGGTCCACTGTTAAGGCACTATATACACCCCACACCCGAAACCGGCCACCCCTCCTGCTTGCAATGTATCGTTGTTGTGACGGTAAGGTGTATGAAATAGGGTCTCAGGCTCTTATCCACTTGGGCAGTTTGTCCCGCCAGCCAGGCGAGATCGCAATTAAAGGGTTAGAGTTCACCGCCTCCGCACGTGGTGTTTCTTCATCCGCTGCTTTCCAACGTCAGTCCATTCTCTCAAGCTTGCACGAGATCATGGGAGAAGCGGTCCGAATTGTATGTTTTTAGCGTGCCAAGGCACTCTAGGCTCAGTGCCTCCGGGCGAAATGTAGTTAACCCATCCATCCATCCATACATTCTCTCAACAGGATTACTAGACCTTCGCGATCCGCTACCTGGCTTCAGAGCGACCTGCAGCCACACGACGCGCAGTCTCCATAATCATACGTCGCTCGAAGACTGAGCGGCAATATGTCGTTCCATATTAATGCGCTCTTCAGCTAAAACGCCGCTCCATCTCGATGCGCCACTCGTTGCGCGCTTCAGCCAAACGCCGCTCCATCTCGATGCGCGCCTCGTTGCGCCCCTCGATGCGCGCTTCAGCCACACGTCGCTCGACCTCCATGCGCGCTTCAGCCAAACGCCGCTCCATCTCCTCGTATGGGTTTTCCTCCTCGTCACCAGCCTCTTGGGAGAACTCTTTCGGGTTATGAAGATAGCGAGCCCTGCGAAACATGGCCCTCAGTCGCTCGTATGTCAGACTGATCGTCGGGTTTCTGTTGGAAGGTTAGATTTGTTATGTCGTCTCAAGACAGAAGGACGGCAAACCTCTTGATTCCAGCAGCTAACTCAGCGGTGAAGGGGCGACAATAGGCTGCTGGTAAACCAGCAAGACCGACAAAGTCGGAGAGATAAAGATCAACTTGCCCCATAGGTTGTTGATCGAGGTCATCGTCATGATAGAGCTCGTGATACAAGATCCAGTGGCTCGCAGAGTCATCCGCTGTCAGCAAGCTTACCCATGCCTTCTTCATGTCAGGGTAATGAAGATCAAGAATGAGAACAGCTCGGATCTTGCCGTCCGACGAATCGATGTATTGGCGCGCCTTCCTCTCCGCATGTTGGAATTTCTCGCTCTACGAGACCTCGCAAATCAGAGATGGTAGGGTGCCGACCTGACCGAACGAAACATCAGCTTGCTTAAAGAGTTTGTTCTCGTATTTAATAGAAGCTGTGCCTTGTTCCTTGGTGGACCGTATCAGGTCACGGATCGTGGTATCCTCGGTGGCGACAAGCAACTTCATAAGAGAAGCCTTGAGGTAGTCGCGAAGACCGGTTTGAACCTGATAATGAAGCGGGGACTCGCCCACAATGTCAAGATATACCGTCTCAGTTTCGTAATCGTATTCGAATCGTCGGATTTTAATTTGGTCGACTTCGATCAGCCGCGCGTCCAGCTGCTCAGAAAGATCGTCCACTTGGCTCGCCTGCCAATTGAAGCTGAGAATCGACCTGGTGTCACTTTGTCGAGAGCTGATGATGTGGTCGAGGATTTCCTCAACCGTGGAAACGTCTTGCCAAACCTACGAAGGGTTAGCAATGCCATGTGCACGTACGGAACCGACTAATCTCGAATACCAGCTCAGCCTGACACTCGCCCCCAGAAGAGGCAGGCGTCGCCGGCCCTTCCGACGAGTTGGAGGTCGTTCGCGAAGTCATCGCTGGCGCAGCCAAGGTCGCAATGAATGATGGGCATTTCGCGTTAAGATGCAGGTCGAAGAAAAGGAATGCTTACCTGTGCCAAGCATCATAAGAAAATGGTCCGAGCGCCTGATTACGTGTACGCACGTCAAAGCGAGTGGTCCGAGCGCGAGGTGGATGTTCCAGCTGAACAACGGAACCAGAATCTGAAGCCATGGACATTATGAATGCTACCTCCACTTTAATGCTGGATCTATCATTGGCCCAGCGAGGGTTTGCGCGGGTCTTCGGCCTGCAAGTGCTCCCTCAGGGTTGCATTTTCGTCGGTGTTCGGGGACATCAAGTGAACCGTTCACACAATAACTCTTCATCTGATTCGAGTTTTTTGTGGGAGTGCCACCAAGTTCACCCAAGTGGGTTATTTCTGCAAACGGTTCACGATGGAGTGCAGTGGCAGCGCTGTAGCCACGTGGATCTTGGCGGTACTGCCAGCTGATTATCACGTATTACTGAGCCTAGTGAGCCAACCACTTGCTGGCTAACGGTTGCAACGGCTGGGGTGGGCTTGGCTCAACTGCCAGCAAACTACGGAGTTCCTGCCATAGTATGCTGAGAATTAAGAGTGCTCGTCCCCAGCTGACTCATGATATATTCCTATGCATATTGGACAACCGTCCTGCCGTCCTCATGGCGGGATTCTCCTCTCGCATATTCTCACTGAATTCGACGTTCCGGGTGGGGGTGGCAAGTGAAGCTGTGAGTCAAGATTTCGGATTTGCCTCTCCGAAATCACAAACGAGGCGAAACCCGCAGCCCCGGCAGCCAGATGAGAAGCCGAGTTCGTTTGTTTCTCAGACTTATTCTTGCACATGTCAATAAAGGGGAGTCCACTGCGATCGTGCCTCCCCATCCCCCGACATCACCACTCAGAGTCTTACCACTACGGAGGTTACCGGCAAAAGTTTTCCAAGTGGGCCAGGTACTGGCAAAGGTGGCCCACCACCCCCTCGATGTACCTTCGCCATGACAGCGCGTCGCATGCGCAACAGTCAATTCAGAAAGGAATATACATTCCGTTGGCATCAATAACTGCCTGTTGCCGTATGGGCATTGTATCTACACACTCCCTTAGAAATTCCTTAGGGACTGCATCCCACGCAGCGCGTACTGCCTTTCGCAGTTGATCGTATGACATCTTTGCTAGGTAGTTGGCTGCAATATAATCCTTCATCCAGTTCTACGCGTTCTCGATAGGATTCAAATCAGGGCTAAACGGGGGATGGGAATAAATAGAGATCCCTCGAGCCTCGAGCTCCTCGCGTATTACTTATATAGAATGAGGAGAGATATTATTATATATGAACACCTGACCTAGATAGAGATAAACCACCCGTCAATAAAAGGGACTACTCTCTCTATATACTTCTCTAAAGTGATCGTCCCCTAATCTTTCTCCTAAAAAAGAGAAGGCCCTTTGCTATATTTCACTAAGTACAACCCCTAGAACATCTATCCTTTTGGCCGTAGTTCGCGCTCGACAATGTAAGTGGGATCGTATGCTTCGTTTTGATGGCGTATGACCTAGACCTTTCGATAGGTACCAGCAGTCACCCAGGTCTTGTCGGTCTAGAGGATTTCGTGATATTACTCGAGGGGCTAGTATATACGCTCGATAGCGTCGTTAAGGCGGAGTTATCGGTTCTTCTCGGTAATCGGAGGCTTTCGGTATACAATATAGCGTTTAAAGCCAGCATTGCAAAGAGTATAACAGATAGCGTACTCTGAACAATCCCAACCAAGAGCAAGAGGAATCTTCGAATAAGGCATTCGGCGAAAGGCTTTCGAGGAGGTAATAAAGGCAATTAGCTCTTTAATCTATTTAGGATTGAGAAGGCTAGATCGGCCAGAGCGTTTTTTTGGCGTAATATTTGGAGCGCGGCAGGCATGTCCAACTTGGTCGTAAGTAAGCCCAAGTTATACGACGATTTGATCGTACGACAGGCCAAAATTGCGGAGGGTTTGAACTTGAAGCCGCTCATCGCGGGAAAGATCATAGCTCTTGAAACGCTGGCTGGGTGGCGTAGAGGGGGGCTCCATTGAAGGTGATGGTGTTGGTGATGACTGTTGCGCATGCGACGCGCTGTCATGGCGAAGGTACATCGAGGGGGTGGTGGGCCACCTTTGCCAGTACCTGGCCCACTTGGAAAACTTTTGCCGGTAACCTCCGTACATCAAGATGTGAGGGATTAGCTCGAGCAAAGGCGACCACAATGAAGCCTGCGCGCTGCGATCTCAGCCCGCGGATGTAAAGCAGCCAATTGCCCGAAAATCGGTGGGATGTGTCTCACATACGAGGACGCTGTCCTTTGAACAACACTACATACGGTTGCCGGGTTCCGCTGCCCTAAACTCACCTAACATACGCATGAGACCCACCGCACCAGCGGACAACGATGCGTGGCAGGTCGGATCATGTACCCGGCGTTTGGGGGAAGCAAAGAAGATCGAGGGTGAGGCCGCTGCGTTGTTCTGCTCTCACAGTGGCGATACTCGGCTTGACGAGTGATTGAGGCTTTAGCCGACGGGTCTGCATGTGGTGAGGTCGTTTACGCAATCGTCTCAGTCGAATGACGCTGTTCGCTTAGTAGTTACTAGCGGCTTCGATGCAGAGACAGTACGGATAACATTACCTGGAGAGCTGGCATGGACCGCATGAACACGTTCCCCTGCAACCGCGGCGCAGCTAGGCTGCAAGCTGCAGCAGGGTTCCCCGCACACCTTTATTATAACAGATCGGCGTCAGCAGCAACATCACACTTGAACAACGGTCTCGGTTCAACAGCAGTAATTTCACCGCCCGCACGGTTCATCCAAGTCTTGCACAGTCACAGTCCATTGTTTTTCGAGAATGGCCACTACACCTCCTCCTCCACCACCTCCGCCATCGAGAGGCCTCAAGCCCACGTCCGATGAGACAGCCAGACAGTTCTTCAAGCATTCGTCCGGCAAGCGCATCAACACTGACGCCATCATTGCCAAGACCCTCCAGGCGGAATATCCCAACCTGAACCTGGTGATCGTGCCTGCCTGGGGAGTCGATCTGCTCGGCTACGCATCGGCGGGGCATGCGAGCTTCACACCCGTCAACCAGCCCCACGGGAAGGTGCCGTCGTCGTTGATATGGAAGAGCTACGTCCCGCCAGCGCGCCGCATCGACGGTAGCCCGGGCGGCCTGCGACAGGACGTCGACTTCGCCAAGTTCCTGTACAAGTGGCAAGACGCCGACTTCATCGTGTACATGGTCGACGGGCGCGACGGGAGCAGCCCCTACCCGCGCGTGCTGAACTACTACCTGCTGACTCCGGACCCGGCCAAGGCGGACGCACTGGTCATCGCCGCCGGCCAGTGGGGCAGCGCGCTGCACGGGGAGGTGTGGGTGTGGGACGGCGGCGCGTGGACCAAGAGCGCCGAGCTGTACGACAGCATCCGCAAGGCGTCGTGGGACAACGTCATCCTGGAAGAGGGCATGAAGAAGGCCCTCATCGAGGACCACCAGTCCTTCTTCGACTCGCGCGACACGTATGCCCGGCTCAAGATCCCCTGGAAGAGAGGCGTCATCTACCACGGCCCGCCGGGCAACGGCAAGACCATCTCCATCAAGGCCATGATGCACACGCTGTACGAGAGGAAAGACCCGGTGCCCGCGCTGTATGTGCGGAGCTTCTCCTCGGTGGGTACCACGTAGTGCTCCCTGGAACATTCGCTGCTATTCTCATATCCTTGTGTATGTCTTGCTGATAGAAAACCTGCAGTTCATGGGCCCCGAGTACAGCATCGGGCAGATCTTTGCCAAAGCCCGCCAGTTCGCGCCCTGCTACCTGATCTTCGAGGACCTCGACTCGCTGGTGACCTACAACGTGCGCAGCTACTTTCTGAACGAGATCGACGGGCTGCGGAGCAACGACGGCATCTTCATCGTCGGCAGCACCAACCACCTGGAGCGGCTGGACCCGGGTATTTCAGTAAGTCTTAGTGTGTAACTCTTTTAGATAATAGGGATAGTGAACTGACAAGACGCCAGAAACGCCCATCCCGGTTCGACAGGAAATACTACTTCCCGGACCCGGACCTGGAGCAGCGCGTCGCCTACTGCCGCTTCTGGCAGCGCAAGCTGGCCGACAACAAGGACATCGAGTTCCCCGACAAGCTGTGCAAGGCCATCGCTGAGATCACGGACGGGTTCAGCTTCGCATACATCCAGGAGGCTTTTGTCGCTGCGTTGCTGGTCATTGCCCGCGATTCGAACGGGCTGACTGGGTGGTCAGACAGCGTAGGGAGCGAGGATGGCTGGGTGAGAGTAGACGATGACGAGGGTGATGATTTGGAGGATTTGATCCTGTGGATTGAAATTAAGAAACAAGTGGCCATTCTTCGTGAGGGCATGGACGAGAAGGCATAGTGTCAGGGGACAAGGGTCATGTGTACCTATTTAACGACACTCGGGATTTCTGGGTGGTAGAGTATTTGTAATTTGTAGATAAGGTACCTAGGCATAATCGTCATGCGTACCTTATACATATGCAATAAAATGAGGTCTATCAAGCCCTCTCAGGCCGCCAGACCCCGCAGGCTACTGCTATTCGACGTCCGCCGTCTGCGCACCGAAGAAGCAGACGCAAGGCCGCGCAGCTCCTTGGGCGATCCCACCACCGCTCGCTCGCGGTCCACACCACCCACCACCTCGTGCAGCGCATCCATCTTCTCCAATGCATCCATGACCTCAGGCGGCGGCTCCGACCCAAACACAACATGGATATCCCCATGCGGCGAGAAGCCCGGGAACAAGCGCCACGATCGCGACCTCGCCCGGCGCGCCCACACCCGGCGTCGCTCCCACAGCGCAATGAGCAGTAGCACGGGGGCGTTGATGACCCGGATGGCGGCCACGTTGGCCTGGTGGAAGGCGAGTGGCCCGACGAGGAACTTGAGCGGGAGCAGGACGAGGAGGGCGGCGATGTTGAAGGGCGGCGGGTACGAGAAGATGGCGTCGCTCTTGACGCCCTGGAAGGTCAGCACGGCGCGCCGGAACTGGACCTCGGCCGCCTCGTTGGCGATGATCTTGGAGAAGGTATTGGTGAGGATGGCGACCAGGATCGTCAGGAAGAGCGTGTTGCCCAGGAAGGCGAACGTGATGATCAGCGTCGGCCCCAGGATCGGGTGGAAGTCCGGGGCCCGCTCGATGCCCGTGCCGTCGAGGCCGAACCAGATCCTGCAACCGCCAGTCAGGTTGACCTAGTCTCTTCCTTGAGAGCCACAGAAATTCAGAGATATACATACCACAACAGCCACTTGGTGATAGTGGCCCACGTCACGCCCCCGTTTAGCGAACCCTCGCCGCTCGTTCGGGCGAGGAACAGCAGCCCCATGACAAAGCCCGCAAAACACCAGATCGCAATGAAGGTCAGCCGGGTGAAGTCGCGCATCATGGCGTGGAGCGCAATGAACACGATGTTGTCCGGCATCAGCGTGAAGGCGATGCGGGTCAGCAGGACCGGCGCAGCGGTGCACAAGACGGGCAGCGCGTAGTAGGCGTCGTCCATGATCAGCAGCTCGACGGCCCGCACCAGGCCGTAGGCGGCGTAGATGACCACGAACGTGACATCAAGAAACGACCACAGGTTCTGGGCATGCACCTCCCAGCCGTGCTCGACGATGGCGGCAAACTGCTCGAGCACCCACCCGGCCGCGAACACGTTGAAGACGGTCTCGTAGATGCGGATGCCCGACAGGTCGCCGCCGAAGCCGTAGTGCGCCACCGTCAGCATGTAGAGGACCAGGAGGATGGCAAAGTGTAGCAGCTCGATGATGTTGCGCAGCTGCGGGACGATGAGGCGGCGGTGGTTGAGGATGGCGGCGCGGCGCGGCTCGTACAGCGAGACCGGGTGGTACTTGTAGTGGTCCGGCAGAAAGTCGAGGATCGACCGCGGCGTGTAGACCACGACGCCCTTGTAGACGGCGTCGACCACCAGTTGGCAGGCCGGCGACCTGATGAGCGTCTTGCTCTCCGAGACGATGGCCAGCTCGAGCGCCGTTAGCTTCCGCGCGTGGCCGCCTCGGTCCTGCACGGGCCATTGGGGGCGGCGAGACCGTACCGACTCGGGCGCAGTGTCGCAGGGGTCGAAGCCCGAGACCAGGATGTTGGCGAGGAGCAACAGGCCCGCGCGGCCCGGGTGATCTTCGTGGAAGCGGCGGAGCACCCGCGTCGCAAGCAGCTCGCAGAGCACCGCGCGGGACTCGTTGATGCTCTGATGCAGGGCCTCGTCCGACCGTGGCCGGAGGAACTGGACCCGGTTCGCCACGAGGCAGTAGACTGGCAGGGTGAATGAGCACTCGTCGTTACTACTTGGGGTTCGGGAGGACACATGTACCGACCGATAGCTGGGTCCTTGGGGTTGTATAAGCGGTCGACAAGCGGCCGCACGACCTGATGGTCCATGTGCGGCGCCCGTAGCTCATCGAGCGTGTAGGCATCGTCTAGCCACACGTCAGATACTACTACTGGATTGGTATGGGTAATACGAATCGGGACGCCTACCGATGGCTGCCGTGACCAGACGCCGGATGCTGCGATTCCATCAGCCCCATCATCCATGCGCCTAAGATGCAACGGGGTGCAGCTCCTCCCATACCGGTGCATCGTCACATAGACCGAGACGACGTTGCCCTCAACAGAGTGAAATACCGAGCCGGCATCATCGCGTCCGCCCTGGGGGAGTCGCCGGAGACGGAGGAGCGGGGCCATGTTGTCGCCCTCGTCGTCGCATGAGTTGAGCGCTGCCTCGGGGTCGTCCCCGATGTCGTCGTCGCAGGAGGAGCGGGGGCTTGGTTCGGGACAGTCTACACCCATGTCTCTGCTGCTAGGGCAACCTCTGGTCGCGATTCATAGGCGTCGCCGTCCGGTGCACTCCCGTTCCCAATCAAGTTCAGTATCGAGGAGGTTGGTGTACACTGTAAAGTCCAAAAAATGAAAATGGCTGCACGCCAGCAGCGGATCATTTCGGCATCTTATAACGTAATCTCTAATGTGCGGCAGCTTGGCGACCCCTGACAGGGACCAATAATGTGCGGGGAACGACATCTTGTAGCTGGTCGTCTGGCTTCCTCGATGATAGTGAAAAGGTGTGGTAAGGCACTCCAACTTGAACTTTCCATGCGAGGATGTAAATGAGACCAGATCCCTCGGGGCTGGAACGGAACATGGAAGTCGTGCCTTGGGAGGCGCCTGCCAAAATGAGAACAGGAGCATGGCACATGGATGGTGGAGCAAAGGTGCTGACTCCACGGGCTCCACTACCCAACCCTGATCGGCACGGCCCGCGGACGCGACAATTCTTCGAGAACATCAAACACCGGCGATAACATAAGGTACAAGTACCAGGCCTCGCCATAGCACCTGTCGACCATCCGTGCTCTCGATATTGCTTTCAGGAAGAGATGAGAAGTAGGGCCGAATGAAAATGAGAGCTGCAGCTCCTATCTCCCTACTTTGGTAACGTCCAAGCCCTCCTGCATCAGTCCCCCAGCTTCATCACGAAGTGGCCTTTTATTAGCCATGCGATCCTGGCTGTAGCATGTCCAGTTGGGGTATAAGTACTACCTGGTACTTGTCAATGTAAGCATCCCTTAATAAGCATCCTTCCTGCAATTCCGACCATGACTCTTTGAACTCTACTAGTATGGAAATGTCAAGTTCTCTGGTAATTGGCATTTGGCACTTGCAGGGAATCCAGGAACAATATTGTTGTTGAGTTGGGAGGATAAAAACTGAGAAAAAAAGCGATGCTACCGCAAATCGAACATGTGGTCCTACAAAGTCCACAGCAGGGTTGCGCACGCGGAGAGTGTTGGACGGATGTTCACAGCTCGACCACTACACCACGAGCATGGGTCGTGGTGTGGTGTGCAGTAGCGCTGGTGGGTTGGAAAGAGAGCTCAGCCCGCCGCCTTATATACCTTGGTACCTGGTACCTTCCCGGGCAGGCTTCTTGAAGTTCCCCCTTTCCGCACCGGCACTGCCGTAATCACCACAAACCAGCCCGCCTTTGATCGTCATCTAACCCAGAACAGTCCCATAACCCATCGCCTCCAAAATCAGCGTGGCGTCTCATGCCTAAGGTATCCAGCGTCAACCCTGAAGCCTAGCAGTGGATAAGTATAGCAATCGCACAGTCGATTTTGGGGACGGGCTCTGGCTCAATTCGCTGATAATCAAGACTTTGCGAAGAGTCACTGCAACTCACAGAGCTTGAAAGAAGATGAAAGTGCTAAGCGAAATTCTGGACCAAGCTCTCGGTCCATTCCCAAAACTCCCTGGCGTGGCCATTGCCGCCGTCTTCCATGGACTTCGCTGCCTTCTGCAGATCCTTGCGGATCGGATGGAGACGGCCCCAGGGAATGACCCATTCGCCAGTCTTTTCCATAGTAATATCAGGCGACAGGGCGGAGTACAGCTCGGTATAGGCTCCGTACACAGGCGGGTACAGCGCGACCAAGTCCAACACCGTCGTGAAGAGCTTCCCGCCGTCGCGGTAGAGATCCGACTTGAGATGGCCCGGGTTGCAGGCAATGCTCACCACACCGGCCTCCCTGACCCGCCTCGCGAACTCGACTGCGTGGACCCAGTTGCCGGCTTTAGAGACGCCATATCGCTCCAGCGGAGTCAGGGCCGGCCAGTACTTGACGTAATCGGCCGTCAGGCCCTTCTCCTTCTCGCCGCAGATCTCGGTGCCCAGCGACGCCACCCAGACGACGCGGACGGTGTTGGGCGGTGCCGTCTTGGCCGTCTCCACGAGGATGGGCGTCAGGAGCTTGGTGAAGAGAAAGACGCTTAGCACATTGACGCCGAGGTGCTGCTCGTGGCCCTGTTTTGTCTTGGCTGAGCCGTCGACATCCTTCAGCGCCTGGACGCCGGCATTGTTGATGAGCACATGGAGCTTGCTCTCGCGGGTCTTGAACCGCTCGACCGTGGGCTTGATGGTCGAGAGATCGGCGAGGTCGAGATGGAGGTAGGTGAGCTGGCCCGTGGAGGCTGGGTTTGTCTGTTGAATGTCGGCGATGGCCGCTTTGGCTCGCTCCTCGGACCGGGCGGCGATGTAGACCTTGGCGTTTTTGGAGTATAGCAATCGAGCCGTCTCTTTGCCTACGCCAGTATTTGACCCGGTGACCATGAAGACCTATGGACGTTAGAGTGCCTATGTTGGAAATACAAAGTCACTCAAGAAGGACAAGGACCGCCGTACCTTTCCGCTTAGATCGGGCAAGTCCTTCTCGGTATACTGCGGCTTGGGCGGCCACATGTTAGTCATGTAGGTACACAAGGGCAGCGACGGCGGCTTTGCCGGCCTCGGGGCCTTCGTTTCCTCCGCCGGCATCTTGGGTTTCGTTCGCTTGTTGATCGTATGGTAGCTGGCACGCTTGTTGCTCTGAGAATGGGTGGTAATAGGATAACTTATATCAGCGAGATGCGAAGCAACGGATGGGCGAGACGAAATGCAACTTTACCCGTCAGTCGCCGAGAGTCGGCGGGACCATGGAGCACTCGGATTCCGTTGAATCCTTCAGCGGCCAGCCGTTGCCGTTCTATCGAATGGTCTGCCTGGGGAGGCGCACAGCCAAGAACTCTCACTCAGGACTTCGAGGATGTGACCCGCCGCCCAGTACACTATGTGCAGGTTGTAGCCACGCTATATCCAATCCGATAAGTGACCGCCATCTGAGACTGGGCCCATCTCGGCGTTAAACCCGGTAATCGCCATCTGTGCCTACCAACATGGTGATCATGATCACACTGTCATCCTCGTGGGTACTAAAAGCGATCTCGGCCTTAAATCCGGCCAAGCCGAGCGGATCTCAGACAGAGCGAGATCCGAAGATGGGATGAATTGTGTGGAAGCAAGGGGTTCTGCGTCTTGCACATCCAATTGACTCACCCTTGGCATATAGATTCACTAGCCTATAACTAAACTCAACCGCCTTTGCCCATTCCGGCCTCCGGGCGGCTCCAGCCCGCCGCCTGGAACGGCTCGGCCAAATAGGACGAAGTATGGACGTTCAGCGCTAAACTAAGCTTGAGAACAAGCATTGGATTTGTAAAAGCATAAACAGCTGCAGCGCCTTGCGCCGAGCTTCATCTATGGCATAATACCGCGACTGCAGTTTCAGTAGAATTTTGAACGTTGAACGACGAAGTTTATGTCCGCTCCCTGCCGCAGCTGCCGAAAAAAAGGCAATGTTTGGCCCCACCACCAACCCGGTCCGGACCGTCCCGCCCTCGCGTGTTCACAAAGCTGACATCAGACGCGCCGCGTCGCAGACCCTTCGACAACGTAACCACAACCTCGACTGCCCGTCTACATTCTACGGTGGACTCCTGTTGATATCCACTTACCTGGCAAACATGGCAACCTACAACAACACGTGGCGGAACAAGATATGGATGGGCTGGTTCTTGATGCAGCCGCCGGTGATCCTCCGTACGCGGAAATTCCCATGCGCCGCGGCGCCACGGTACCTGGATTACGCGCTGACACGCCCGCAGTAATCGACCTGCTGGAATATCTGTATCCCGCCTGGGTGTACGAGCCCGCCGGCGCGCCGCTGCACGCCGTCTACGCGCTCAAGCAGTGGTACATCGCGACGTACAACGACCCAATCGTGCAGTGGACGGCCGAGACGGCGTCCGGGCATGACAGCTGGATGGGGCTGTTCCTGCACGTCGAGTTTCTGTTCCTGCTGCCCACCGCGCTGTACGGCGTCTACCGCTTCGCCGTGCAGCGCCGCGGCACGTCTGGCGCCGACGAGCTGCTGTTCCTGGTTTACGCGCTCGAGGTCGCCTTCACCACGCTGGTCTGCATCTACGACACCTACTACCTGGACAGCGCCGTGTATTCGGAGGAGCTGAAGCGCACGCTGCGGGTGCAGTTCTACGGGCCGTGGTGCCTTTTCCGTGAGTGAAATCTGGCTGGGTCATGAGATCTGACCGTGTCTGACTCCGAGCAGCAACCCTCATGGCGATCGACATGGCGATCAGGATCCTGGGGCGCATCAAGGCCGCTGATGCTGTCTTGGGCGCTAGGAAGTCGCAGTGATAGGGTAGCAGAGGGAGCCAAGCGCGAGGGCCTGTCAACCCCACCATCAATGATGTCCAGATACGTGTACTGTCGAACCCGAACCATAAAACATGTGGTATCATTTAATTTTACACTGCACCTCTGTATCCCCTAGTCGACCGCCCGTTTCTGATATCCCCACCCATTGCCGACACCATGCAGCCCATACCCGAGCGGGGTCGCACCACCCAAGCGCCTCCCGTTGAGCCGCCTCGGCAGCACCGACCCGAAGAAGTACGCCGCCGACACGACCGCGCCGGCGCAGAACGACACCAGACTGTAAAACACGGTGCTCGCGTAGATGTGGCCGCCCATGCCGGACCACTCGACCTTGCCGTCGATCTTGGGCAGGGCGGGCGTCGGGAACCAGCGTACGCTGAAGCTGAGGGGCAGCGGATCGCCAATGACGAGCCGGCGCGTCGCGCTGCCCTCCATGTGGGTGAGCGGGCTGGTGCTATAGGCGGTGGCGCTGTCGAGCACGCCGCTGTCGTGGCGGTGGATGTGATGTTTCGGCGTGCTGTGCAGCAGCACATTCAGGTGGGTGCTGATGTGCATGTGGCTCAGCTGCAGCGTGCCGGCCAGCGCGAACACGAGTGGGATGTACTCCTGTTTAGGCGCGTCTTCGCCGACCACCTCGACGTGCGGTGGCGGGCGTGCCGGGAGGCGGCAGGACAGCGGGGCGTCGCTGTGGATGTAGAACTCGAGCAGGTGGAAGAAGGGGTCGCTGACCATGGCGATGGTGCAGTTCTGCTCGCCCTCGATGCCGTAGTGGAACTCGAGCGGCTTGTTGGTCTCGTTGCAGACTGGGAAGGGGACCCATTGGATCTCGTGCGCCGCGTTTTCGATGTGTTCGCCCGTTTCGCTGCCGAGTCGAGTGGTGAGCGCGTCGTCCCTGATTCAGGAGTGAGGTTGGGGTTCATCGGGCGCACTCACGAGCTCCGGTTCATGCACTCGACGCGGATCGGCGCGCCATAGTGGTACGCCGGGAGCGAGTTCTCGTGGCCGGCCGCCAGTGCTTGCGCCAGCGACGCTGCGACCACGAAGAGAGCACTGATAACCATCATCTTCTTCGGCGAAGTCCGCGGCGGTTGTGGAGAGAAGCTAGGGCGCACGCCAGCGCATTTTGCGCATCAACTGGAGGCCGGACGGCGACGGTTAACAACCTAAGCTGGTCGTCTACGATCGCGAAAGACCCGTGGCAGTTGTTGAAGTCGCATGGAATGATGAGGCCAACTCGACGCTAACGCAGGAAAGTGGGGCTGCATGCCATGGAGTGCTTAGTCATTCATTAGCGCGGAACCTTGGCACAACACCACGACAACTATCCCGGGACCCCGAATAAGAAGGTTGCTCGTATCAATGACAGTGTTATAAACTCGTCTTGGCACAGTATGCCCACCTGCATGCAATGACTGACTTTCATTGCATCACGCTTGCTTGCAAAGCGGCCAAGTCAACCGTCTTTGCAACCATCGTCGCCACACGATAAGGTTCAATGTTTGCATTCTGCAAGTCTGCAACGCGGTTGGCACCAACTTGGCAGGAGCACGCTTGCCAGCCTTGGCTTGATTCGTCGCTTAGTGAGTCGTCCCTGCCACTCCTTTCTCGCCTGCTGTTGTGTCGCCCCGAAATCTCATTACCTCGGACCACGTCCTAGAGTCCTCACTTTTGAGTTCGATTGACGTTGTCGACGATTCTGCATTACAAAAGACGGCGCATCAAGAGATGATCCACGTACTGTCGACGGCCAGTGCCGGCATCTTCCTGTTTCATTTTCAGCATCAGCTCCAGCAGCTACGCGACCCTCGGGTGAAAGTTTCGCCAAGCGTGGCGGGCGTCGTCCCATTCGTTTCCCCCCCTGAACTATAGTTGTTACTAGTAACGGACATCTAGTTAATTGGAGCCGCGCTCTGTGTTCTGTCTCGCGACCTGATCTCACTCTCATCAGCGTTCGAGCCCTTGCACTTCACGGCGCTTACGGCGTCCCTTATCGCATCGCTGGGTTCGAGTCTCCTCCTGTACCAGGAGCAACGCCATGTCTGCAAACCATCGGCGTTCGCAACTCTGTACCTTCTTGCATCGGTGCTATGTGACCTGGGGATACGCACCAAGCACATTCCCACGGCACCTGCAAATCTGGCAAACCGTAAGTAAGGGGGATACGGCGGCATATCAGTAAACTCGCCGTTTCCCCCCTGCTTTGGGGCCCCTCGGACCCGAGAGAAACACCGACACAGAAACAAACATTCTATAGCGCCGAAGCAGTCGCACTCCCTGGCCTCGGCCTGACCATCAACTCCGGCCAAAAGGTCACCATCTGTGGCCGAACCGGCAGCGGTAAGAGCTCCCTCCTCTTGGCCCTGCTCCGACTGCTGGACACGCAATCCGGGCACATAGAACTGGAAGGCGTCACATCACATCACCCAGATACCGCGCGACTTTTTGCGGCAGCGGTGCTTCGTGGCTGTATCGCAGGACAGTTTCCTGCTGCCCAACAAAACGCTCCGCTTCAATCTCGACCCGGAGGACGCACTTGGCAATCATAGCAGCATCAACATCCTGGATAGAGCTTGCCTATGGTCCCATTTTCTTCAAGTGGCCAAAGAAGACAACGACAGGGATATATCAATTCACCCGCTCCTCAGCCCCGCTGTCCCGGTGCCCGACGCTCTCACCAGGCCAAACCCAGCTCTTGAACCTGTCTCGGGGCATTCTCAAGGCCGCGGCGCTGCGTTCCGAAGGCGCGCTGCCGGTGATGCTGCTTGACGAGGTCACTTCTGCACTAGACGCTGAAGCCGAGGCGGTGGTACACGGGCTTATGGACAGCGAGTTTTCCGCCAACGGCCACACTGTCATTGTGGTTTCGCACCAGCTTGGGAAGCTGGTTGAGTTTGCGCGACCTGGAAGGGATGTTGTTGCCAGGATGAAAGATGGGGGGTTCGATGGCGTTGTGAGGGACCTGAAGGGTTGGAATCGTTGGATGCGAGGGAGGAGTTGGACAAATTAGATGGTCAATTGATGATTACCTCTTTCCCTTTTCCCCCTCGCTTGATCGACATACCAAGAGAGGAAGGACGTCGGGTTCAAGGAGGGGCCGGCTATGTAGAGCACCAGAGAATCATGGCTTGGCAGGGCGAATGAGCTTGCCCGATTGAGCACGTGGGAACCCGCGGGTAGGCGGGATTATTACGTCGTTGCCGATGTTCCACCCGCAGCAACCGAACTGACAACATACATCTGCGTCGAGCTTACCGAGCTTGAGATTTGAGAGAGCGTCCATGGTTCCCGTCAAGAGCTGTCCCGGCTCCCGAGTTACTGGTCGTGTTCCTGCAATAGGACGCCATTGGGTTACACTCAACCCACCAACCCCTCCAGTGCGCTCCGGTACCCCGGGAGAACCTAGATCATGATGTGGATCTGCTGCAGTTCGGTTGTCTAGCTTACAGCCATCCTGCAAACCAGTTGTGAGAATTGCCCCAACTATTTAAACGCAGTATGGTCCTCCGCTAGAACTTGACCGAGACGGAAGTTCCTTGAGTCTGCCCCAAGTTGCCAACCTGTGCAGAGATTAAACCGGTTTGCTTCGTGGCCAATATGTTGACAATCAACATCTTTGCTGCTACTGTCAGCCTGGCTGGCTCGGCGGCGGCCTTCTACACGGGCAACATCAACTACTTCTCCCCCTCGCAGCATCATCCGTCGCTGGGAGTGTCTATCCGCAAGGTCGCAGCCCGCACGCATACCGCGTCTCCCTGGTCCGCAGATAAGCTCAACTTCACTCACGGCGTTGCCAGTGGCGACCCGCTCGAGGACTCGGTCATTCTCTGGACCCGCGCAGCACCCACCTTTGACAACGACGGCAGCAACGTCACTGTCTCTGGCTACGTCGGCCTCTACAGCCACGAGACGGACGCCTACGTCAGAGCCAGCAAGGCACCGGTCTGCGTCGACTGGAGGGTCTCGAACAAGAAGGATCTGTCCCACGCTGTCTCTTCGGGCAGGGCGTACACCAGTTCGGATATTGACTTCACTGTCAAGGTAGGGCCTTACCAGCGGAAAGCTCACGTTTGAGGCAGGGGCTTACACTATTTTAGGTCGAGGCAAGGGGTCTCAAGCCGTTCACTCAGTACTGTGAGCTGCGATCCTCTCTACCACCCCTGGTTTCCTTGGGCATGCTTCTAATATCCTGAACAGGGTACCAGTTCAACATCTGCGACTCCAACAAGGCCAGCCCGCTGGGCCGGACCAAGACGATCCCCAGGAAGAAGGACAAGACTCACACTCCCATCAAGTTTGCCATCTATTCGTGCAACAACTACCGTAAGTCCGATGAAAGGTGAACCCAACATAGTAATGGATGTACTAAAAAGACGCTGCAGCCTTCGGCTTCTTCAACGCCTACGGCAACCCCGTTCGGAAGGATTCGGTCGACTACGTCATCCACCTCGGCGATTACATCTACGAGTACAAGAACGGCGACTACGGGTGGGGCAACTCCTACGACCGCATCCCGCTGCCGGATCGCGAGATCTATACGTGTGTCCTCCCCCTTTTTCCGGTTCACATATGCTTGTACTGACAAGACCAAGTCTCTATGACTACCGCAAGAGGATCGCCACGTACCGCACGGACCTGGATCTCCTCGCGAGTCATCAGCAATTCCCGTGGATTCCCGTCTGGGACGGTACGCATCATCCTCTCCCCTAGACAATTAGATGCAGCCCCTTAACTGACGCTCGGCGACCCAGACCACGAGGTTGCTGACAACACGTATCACGATGGGAGCTCCGAGTTGAACAACACCGAGGACTCCTTCGTCAGGGACGGCGGTGTGGCCGTCGACCAGCGCAAGATGAACGCTGTTCGCGCCTACTTTGAGTGGAGTGAGTGATTTTCCAACTCTTGTCACTGTCGGAAGATGTTCATTCCTTGCCAGTGCCCATCCGCCAGGTCGACATGGACGACAACCTCCGCATCTGGCGCGACTTCCAGTTCGGCGACCTGCTCGACCTCATCATGCTAGACACGCGCCAGTACGACCGCAGCATCACCGACCTGTACTGGAACACGGACTATGTTCACGCCATCAGCAACGACGCCAGCCGCTCGCTCATGGGGCCGCGGCAGGAGGCGTGGTTCTACCGCAAGCTGCGCGAGAGCTCGTCCCGAGGCGCGGCCTGGCGCATCGTCGGCAACCAGATCATCTTCAGCCGCATGAACGAGAGCCTCGCACTCGGCAGCGAGAACCCGCTCAACTACGACCAGTGGGACGGCTACCAGGCCAACCGCAACCGCACGCTCAACACGCTGTACGAGAACAAGATCAACAAGACCATCTTCCTGGCCGGCGACTCACACGCCTCGTGGGTGTCGGACCTCACGTGGCTCGACAACAAGCCCTACGATCCGAAGACCGGCGCGGGCGCCATCGGCGTCGAGTTGGCCGGCACGGCCGTGAGCTCGCCCTGTCCCGCCGGCCAGAACATCAGCCTCGTGGTCGCCAACGCCGGCTCTGCGTGGCTCACCGGCGCCAACAGCGAGCTCCAGTGGCAGGACCTCTACTATCGCGGCTACTTTGAGCTGTCGGTGGGCTACGACGCCGTCAACGCAAGCTTCTTTGGGTTGCCATCTGTCACGACACGTAACGGGTATGAGATCCCCCTTGCCAACTTCACTGTCAAGCATGGTGAGAACCGGCTTGATCGGGGGTTAGGGTCCTTTGCGGCTAAGCAGGTTGAGAGCGGGAACCTCAAGGGGGGAAAGACGGTTGGCACGAACGTGACGCATGATACTAGTACTGGGAAATGGTTTGTGTATAGCGGGAAATAGGTGGACGTTGGGGGCAGTACTAGGCAGTACTACTTGTAGCGTGTTAGAGTATATACATACTAATATTGATCAACCTTCCGCTCCCCTTGCACAGGGTATAATCGAAGCCTGGGGGCCCGCGAAGCAATGTCACACCTACGTGGGCGAATCCGGCGTCGCAAACTGTATCACGGCCCATCTGCACACCCCGCTCGTTAGCCCCTCTTGATCACTTCCTGTGAGGTTAGGGCTTCTCTCTTTGTATGCTAGTTCCAGCTAGCCACATCTGGCTGTGCTTCCTCTCTTCTACGCACCACACCACCATATGCATCACTTCTGCTTGGGAGCAATGCAGCGACGATGCAGCCTCCGGAGTCGCGCATTAGGAAGCTCCTACGGACAGAATCCGCGGGGGTACAGGACTAATCAGGTTACCTGGTCGCACCCTCCTCCAACACCGAGGTGGATGCCAAGCCTTCCCTTGAGCCCTCGCCAGAGGCCTTTTTTTTCCCGCAGCAGAACATGGTATCAAAGCGTAAGGTGGAGCCAAGGTGGTCTGCGAGGTGCCCCCTTCTTCGAGATTTCTGGCTCGAAGCCGTTGAGAGGCTGCCCGAGGAGACGCAGGGGTAGCTGGGACTGAATGCCTTAACATACTACATCCCGAACCCCTCGACGAAGAGGAGGATGCCATTGAGCGCTTGAACCTCGGCGGTGCCGATGATGAACTAGGCTGCGAACCACACTGCATCCTTGACCCGAAAGACCCACTCCAGTTTTATTCTCCCGAGCATTGGATAAAGTCATACTCAGACCCAGGAAGGCTCCGTAGTCGATCCCACGTTGGCTCGCCATCTTTAAGGCTTTCTTGGCTCGCCATGCGAAAGGATTTCGCATTTCAGAGCCTGGTATCACCGGAACTGTGCCCCTGACCATTTTCACCACGGAGAGCACCACGGGCCACACCATCTTGGCCATGCGCCGCTTCGGGCTCTACTCCGTTCTTTCGACCGGCGGATTGCCCCAAGCCATTAATGTTCACGTATCGCCCTACAATGACATTGCTTGCGTTATTCACTAGCCTGTTACCGATACCACAAGACACGCTTCCCGAGATAGACAGGTTGGCTTATCGAGATTAATTCCATCAGCCACTTATACTTGAAGTTGACCAGTCCTCATCCCGGTACGGGTGCGCTAAGTAGGCATGGCGCTTAAGAACACCCGACCCGGCTTGACCCAATAGCTACATCATCGTACCAGAGAGTATTCGCATCCCCGCCGTACGACTCCCAACCAAAGTACACGGCCGAGGGCCTCGGTTTAATAGAGCTCCGCGTCCACTGCGCCGCGTTGGGGTTGCTGGTGCCGGCACCGACGGTCAGGCCCGTAACGGCGTTGCCGTTCAGCCAGGTCGCGATAGAGCCATCGGCGCCGATCTTGTACTCGAAACATTGCCAGCTGCCGGTGGGCAGCGCCTGCGAGGTGGCAATGCCCTGCGGCGAGAGGTCAGGTAGCGTAGCGTCGTCCGACTCGCGGTTGTACATGAGGATCTTGCTCTGCCCGCCGATACGTAGGTGCTTCTTGCTGCCCTGCGCCGGGTCCGGCATTGTGATGAAGGTGACGTGGGAGTCGGTCAGGGCCCTGGACGCTTTGCTATGGGGAGGAGGAGCGTTAGACATTGTAGGCTGGGTGTTCCAGATGGGTACTCGAATACTCGAGACACACGCACATGTAAGCCCTGACATAGAGATCGCCACTGCTGGGGACCTTGGTGGTGCCGAAGAAGATGTGTCCGCAGTAGCCGCCCGCACCGTCAACCCGGATCGAGTTCTTGCCGCTATGCGCCGTCGAGCTGTCGAGGCTCACTTTTCCGCCCTGGCTGCAGTCGGGGGCGTAAGTTGGCCATGCCGACTGGTCCCAGCCGCTCTCGAAGTCGCTCGAGACCTGGGCGGAGGAGAAGGGAAGGAGGGCGAGGGCGAGGGCCAGAAGTGCGGTTTGCCGGAACATAGTTGCGATTGTGCTGCAGACATAGGAGCAGGAACCGCACCACCAAAAGCCGAAGGCCAGAGTGACCGGACGTTCTCCTATATACCCAGATGCGCGGGTCAGATCCAGCGTTTCATCGCGGACATTACGGGCTTGTCGGGATCAGATCGTCTACCCCGTCTCTTGCCGCCCACCTTCCGTGGTACTCGATTCGGAAGTTCCGCGTATGGCAACTAATCAACAGCCGGTCGTGTCGGACCGTTCGCTGGGGTCGTTCAATTTATCCCGTTCAGCCGGCTGCGGCAGTTGCTGCGTCGATCACGGCGCATCCCATACTGCCACTGATACGTAAAAGTTCCATCCAAACCCCGGTTCCAATTGAGATGAAGTGTTCTGTGTGAGTGAAGAAGACTCCGCCGGTAGGGCGGGTCCGTTCGTTGACCACGCCGACTCATGGAATTCCACCGAGTCTTTGCAGGGCAGTCTGATCTGATCCTAATCCCATAAACGCAGTGTTTAAACAAGTTGCGGGCGAAGGGCTGGGTGAAGTGATGATTCTGGATAGCTGTCAACCGGTATAAATCAGGGTCTATAGAAAGACAACTGAGCATACAAGCGGAATTGGAAGAGATGCCGGGTAAGCACCAGGCGAGGAGAAAGGGAAGGTGTTGCCAAAAGTCCGTCTTTCCGCTACAATCCATAGGCCCGTATCATCATTCATAGCATGCCGGCAGGGTGGAAATATCGACCCGGTCCAAAAGACGCCATTACAACGCCGTATAGCTCCCAGATGCTCACAAACCCGAATTCTGTCCCCGATCCCGTGGATGACCTTACGCCAACGTCTCGTAGCCAGACCCACGCTGGTATGCAGACCGGTTCGAAAACAGGTAATAGATAGCCATGCCGATAACGGGGAAGAGGAAGACGACCAGACACCAGACGAGCTTCTGCAGGGGCGGACGGCTCGACTTCAACACCTCGACTAAGAAGGACATTAGCATAGGAACTAAGATGGAGGGCGGTGAAGGGTAGCGTACCGAAGACGATGATGTCCAGGATGAGCACCACAAGACCGAGGAGCCCGCCGCCAGTGCCATACTGCCAGCTGTTGTCCATGGATTCCGTCGAGACAGGTGCGGCCAGGCCAAGTGTGGCCAGGCAGAGCTGGAAGAGGATGGTCGCGAAGAGAGTCATTTTTCGACTTGATGATTTGATTTCCGAGGTGAAGATCGTGCCTGGGTGTCTGGGCTTCGAGTTCTGCGAAGAGCAAAGCGGGGTAAGCAAATGCTCTGTGTAGAAGGAGCAATCCGCACCTTTAAACGGAACCCAAATACTACGCACCTTGGTGCTGCCTGGGATGACGTCATCCCACCATGACGCAACCCAGTCATGTGCAACAACGCGTTGCTGTCCTCGCCCAGCAATCAAAATGGCCGGTGAGATTCGTTTCCCTTGCGCTTGCAGATAGCCAGGCTCGCCAGGTCGGGCGTGATTGACATTGCACAAGTAATATTAACAAGTGGTAAGATGTGGGTTGTGATGAGGTGCTCGCGCACTGTGACTTTAACCTGCAATTTGGTACAATACAATACATATCAACAAGATCCGCAAGCTTTGCGGCAGATGCACAGGGTCCCATACCCCCAGTATGTTCCACAAGCAAGTGCAAAAGATTTGTATCTACACCCATGGAATAGCGAAACGTGGCTCTGCATCCGTGAAAAAGAGCTGCTCGTCCCTACCGACGCCCAAACCATGGTACAGGCCAGGGGTTGCTGACGCGGCCACCTTCTCTCTTCTCACAACATGGATGATGCCGAAGTGTGGCACTGTCAGTCGGAGCCCGTTCGGTTCTTCAGCCACACCATATCCCATTTGCCCGACAGGCCCGTCCTCCCTCCAGATCAGATACTCGTGCAGCCGTTGCGCAGCATCGCTCTCGGCCCCGGCCAGCGTCCGGAGAAGCTGGGCGGCCGACCGGCTCAACGGGTCGGTTCCCCATGCGTCCGCGGCCTCAAAGCAGGCGGCCACGCAGGCCAGCATGTGCAGGTCGCCGGGTCGCTGGTGCTCGAGAACATTGCCGCGGCCTAGGCAGTGGTCGTCGAGGTGCGAGAGCAACAGCACCACTGCGGCCGTCACCGCCATGAAGTCGAAGCCCCGGGAGAAGAGCGGCACGTGTCCCAGCGTGCGGTACATGAGGAAGCGTGAGAGCACCTCGCGGCTCGCGTGCACGGCCGTCAGCCTGCTGTATGAGTAGCAGCCTTCGGTGGGCTCCTGCCTTCCTCCCGTCCATCCGAGTCGAGGTGATTTACGGTCATCTAGACTGCGCATGAGGTAGGGGAAATGCAGCAGGACCAGGAGGTTAAAGTGCTTGACCTGGATCAACAGCCGCGGCGTGATCTCCTTGACCTGCGCAGCCGTTGCGGGAGGAGTTGTCGAATCAGCCGCTGATACGGCCGGTAGGGCCCAGAGGCCGGCCGAAACCAACAGGACGGCTTGCTTCATCTCGTCATCAATCTGCAGAGTTTCTCTGTAAGCAGTGTCCGCTCCTTGCCCACCTAGCACACCGTCCCAGAATCCGGCGCGACGCAGTTGCTCGTTCCGCAGGGCGATTCGGCCCGTGACGATGGCATGCACCCGCTCGAGCCTCCTCAGCTGGGTCCCGGTATCCATAGTGCCCAGAGCGCCATCGTTGGTGACGGCAGGCGGCAGACCGAGGATCATCGACATGTACCGGTCGCTGTACACGAGACGGAACCACACCCCCTCCTCAGCCTTCGACATACCGCCACCCCAACGACTTCTGTCACAGTTCGCCCCGTCCCGAGGCCGTCCCAGACCCATCGCGCACGCGATGCGCAACGCGCGGCGAAATTCCTGCCATCCGCGGCGCCAGTCGCCCGCATTGACGTGGTACACGCCCTCGAGCATGAGCAGCTCGATGCCGTCGAGGCAGCAAAGCAGATTGTCGGTGCGGGAGGTAACGTGACGGGACGCTGCGTCGACAAAACAAGCGGCGGCGGCGCTATGTGCTGGCCCGTTGCCGTCATCATGACCCAGCTGCTGCAAGTAGATGGCGAGCTCGACCAGCTTGCGGGCCAGGACGAGCGGGTTCGCTGCTGTGGGCGAGGGGATCATGTCGAGGTGGGTTTCTTGACTACTACTGCCACTGCCACCTACATCCTCCATGATGAAGCCATGGGCTTTCTGGAATTGGCGCAGCGGTGAGCCGGCGAAATTTCCGCGCGCCACAATCAGAAAGACGGTCTCTTGCGGGGGGAAGAGGCTACGGAGCAGGCGAGTCAGGGCGTCCAGGCTGGCCGCGGTGCTGTTTGTGTTGGTTGCGATGGCGGTTTGAGATCCAGTTGCTGGCACTCTAGCAAGCGTGCGATCTGATGCTCTGTTAATGATTTCATGTGTGGCTTCCCTCACAGCGTGGACAACGCCGCCGGAACTGTCACGGCTGGCCAGTATCTCGGCAGCACCCGGTCGTCCACGGCGACCACCCACAAACGTCTCGGCCCTGGCTCTGACGGCGGCTGCACCAGGTTGCTGCAGCAGCTGGTCGACCAGGGCCTCGAGGTGCACGAGGCGCCGGCGCACTTGGCGGTACCGATCGCTGGTTCCGGCACCGTAGTCAAACGCCTGCTTGAGCTGGGGCATGCATTCGCGTCCCCGCCGTTGGCACGGGGTGCAGCTGCTGGAGGACTCGGGGTCATAGTCGCAGCGCACCTTGCGCCGCCGGCATTCATGGCAGCTTGACGTGCCCCTGCGCGCCTGCGCAGCTTGCGGCATGTCTCGGATGTGTTGAGCTCCTCAGGCATGTATTCAGCGCAAATCATGGGCGCTGCATTGTCGTCGTTACACAGCGATGCTGTTTGGAAGTTCCAAGGGTGGGGCGGGTGATGCATCATGCAGATGCGAGTCACGCTAATAAGATCGAGGTCTGACAGTATCCGTACTCGTGGCCCCCCCCCAACCCGCCCCGCTTTTCTTCGGGCCAGCCAACGAACCGCCGGGCAGGTTGGTGGTCACCATCCATGCGCCCACACCAGCCAAACGCCCACTTTTTCGCCATCTTCGACGACATCGTCGTCGTCAACTATCTACACTCTCTTCAATAGCCGTATCTTGCCCACTTCCTCTATAACCTCTGCAGGGCCCAGCCTGCCAGTCAACCTCCATTTTCTAGCCTCCTTGGCCGCATCTGCATACATACGTTTGATCTTGTTGTAAGCCCTCTGTTCAGCGGCTTGAACTACCCGCCTGGCCTTTGCAAGCTCGTCATCCTCCCTGACCTTGATCATCCGACGTGCTTGAGCAACTGTAAGGACCCCACCTGACTATAGTGGCCTGTACTTTTGAAGCCTTCGACGGTTGGCGATGTCCTCGGCCATCTTTGTCCTCTGAAGATTATGCTTGACTTAGACTAGTTCAGTAGCTATAATAAGCCAGCCTTTGATAAATCTTTGAAGGTTGTCAACGTCTCCCGCGATGTTAGCCAGCTTATCAGCTATCTTGTTCATCTGCTATAGTATAATAGGGGTGCCGAATGGAGAGCTGTTAAGAGCTAGGTCGGCTATTGGCAAGGGCGTTCGAACTACCTAGCACCCCTGAATAACCTATAGAACAATAGAGGGCTAGAATGGCCAGATCCCAGTCTTTTTAAATATAGCTTAAATGGTAGCTTTTTTAAAGGCTTATTTACCCGCTTTTTGGATAACGATAAGGAACTCGATCTTTATAATATTAAATAGACCGTCGCGGACTAGGATATTAAGCTCCTTTATATAGTAATGCTTTAATGGCTGGAAGATAATAATATCAAGCGGCTAGATTAGATATATAAGATTTGGCGGTAGGCCGAATAGGATAATATTATAATCCTTATAATACTTGACGAATTCCCAAGTAAAATATGAGCTATAACCGTCGAAGATCAAGAGCTAGTATTTCCTAACCATCCCTTATTATAAATGCTCTTTAAAATGCTATAGCCACTCGAGGCTTATTTTATCGTTCGAGTAACCGCTTGCCGATATAATAATCGCTATCTCGGGGTCTAATTCGGGTTATTGGTACTACTAGGATATATAGACCTGCCCGGCTAAGATAATAAAGGCCGGGATAACCCTTCCTCCGGCAGATATAGCCTTAATAGCTATAGCCGACTCCCAGTTCTCTACGATACCAAAGTAGTATACCTGTTTACGTTTAGTGATAATAAGTTAGTCCTTTCCTATCCTAATACGGAAGCCGGTCTTATCTATATTCTAGATGTCTTTAGGATCGATACCCTTATCTATAAGAATATTTAGAAGCTTGTCGAAGTAATCGGCAACGACGGCAGGCTATTTAGCCTTCTGGCGGTTGGCGTTAAGCTTCCTTTGCCACTGCTTAAGATAGCCATGGCGTTTGATGAACCGGGAGGTCTAGTTCTGCCTAACAACTGGTGGCTAGTCCTGCTCGGCCCGGCTAGCCTAAGAGCGTAAGATATGGTTTATAGCGTCGGTAATAAAAGCCGGCCGAACTACAAGGTTGATATTGTCAAGCCGGTCAATATACCGGCGTAACGTAACCTCTTCGGAAGCTGTTAGCTTGGTATTGGTAGGTAGGCGGCTAGTTTAGGGCCCAATGCCAGCAAGACGACGACGTAGACGATCTCGGGGGACACCGAATTCCCGGGCAACCGTGGCCACTTTAGCACCTGGGCTTACGGCAATATAGTTGAGAGCATCTTGGATACGATCCTCCATTTTCAATAGATCGCGGGATTCGAATGTGGGCTTCAAAAGTGGTGGTTTTAACGAAGATGGCGAAAAAGTGGGCGTTTGGCTGGTGTGGGCGCATGGATGGTGACCACCAACCTGCCCGGCGGTTCGTTGGCTGGCCCGAAGAAAAGCGGGGCGGGTGGGGGGGGGCCACGAGTAGTGGATACCGCTAGTCTGGTATAATACATTGTATGTACAATAACGCCTTCTGTATGTACCGAGTAACAAATGGTATTTTGTTGCCGGCTACGTAGGTCCTGTAGGTAAGGTACCGTAATTACGGATACTTGGGGTTCCGAGCGTTTTTCAACCGATGGCCCCCTCTAATCAGTGAAAAACTCATGCTCATATGACGCCAATCCCAAAAAAGACTTCAACAACTCGCCATCTTGGTCTGACATGTTCAGGGCAAAACAGACCGAACGGCAGATGGATTCTATCGTGGCTAGAAGCAACAACCAAACTTGCTCCGAACAATGAATGCAGGTATTGTACCTGAGAACACCACGCTACAGTGGATTTATCCTATCATCTTGCATGGAAGAAGTTGAAGAACTCTGACCTGGGATCGTTCACATCAATAACGTCGAGAGCCATAGTCCCGTCGCGCGGTGCTTGTACGTGGACGGTCACGGACTGCCTGATCTCCTCACGTCTATACGGAGGTATCAACTGCGGGAACCGCCTCAGCCTTTCTCCTGTCTTGAGTATGAGCCCTTTCAGTTTTGATCCCGGACGCCGCCACGCGAAGAAGGGTTCCGCAAAGGCCCATGCCAGCTTCAGATCCAGGGTCTGGAGGAGTACTAGCTGCACGTTGTCCGACCCCGACAAGTAAGACAACATCTCGTTCTCTAAGTTGATTTCCGACTTCGGAATGGAGCGCCAGCTGCTCAATGCTGGCAAATCCAAATGCTAGCGCCCGGATGATGTCTTGTGGCTATTGCAGAGGGTCAGACATAGTAGGAGACTAGGAGTGTGATTAAAGCGGAGGCAGTGGTAGTGAACTCACCCATCCGTTGCCATCTCGATAGATGTCGATTTCCAAGTCTTCCAGGCCCGGAAATTGCGTGTCGAGCTCGCGCAGGTCGTCAACGGTCATTGTCGGGTGGGCTGCCCCGCCTCTGTTGATCTCCATGGCGTGCAGACATAGCCGCTTGAGCCTAGGGTGATGGCATAGCGCGCGATTCGACACGAAATGCCCCCTTACTGTGAGCTGTTCCAGGGAGTCAAAGCACAAGAGGAAGTCTTCCAACTCGGGGCAGTGATCGCCGCCCTTCCGGGCCCACTTCTCTACCGTGAGACTCCGAAGGGCTGTGGCATGTCCGCCGAAGTAGTGCAATAGGCGGGTGGTCCGCTGGCGTCCCAGGCTGAGCGACGTTGGACTAGACCAGTTCATCTTGTCTCGCCAGCGTGCCCACTGCTTATGTAACATGGTATATCCACCCAGGGAAAGGATTCTAACGTCGATGGGAATGTCTCGTGTCCGCTCAGCTCGAATGAGTCACACTCCAAGCAATGAACCCTAACTATACAACCCCCGTAGTTGCCGTATAACGAGACGGAGAAAGACTTCAGATTGGGGCGGCAAAGAACAAGGTTTGCAGGTCGAGCATCCGTCGACTTGATTGGTCGCGGCCGAATCGTGGGTAAGGATTTACTCTCGCGCGGATAGTACTCACGCTCGGCATCGGGCTAGCGACAGTCCTTGACCCGTCTTCGTATAGAAGGTGAAGCTCAGGATAACTAGGGTGGTCGTTCAAGGCGCGGATCAAGGCGTCGACATCCGGGGCGAGCGACCATGAACAGAAGTGCCGGAGGCATGGCAGGGCCTTCACCAGCCTCGCAAGAGCGCGCACGATTTTGGGATCCAGGGCTGCGTCCTCCTCGGGGCAATGGCGCTTGTTAAAAGGACTGACCTCGACCTCACGCACAGCACGTGCTTGTCCTCCGTGGCGCTCTTTCGTTAATCGACGGATCAGGGTAAGGGATTCGCACCACGGCGACCAGCGGGGATTGGAGCGCTTTGTATTGTTGCCGTCGACGACCCGCTGCGCCGCACGCTTCTCCTACCATTCCTCGTGCGAGCATTTCTTGACCGTGATGGTATAGTACAAGGGGAAAACGGCGAGATGGTAAAGCCTCCTGGACACTAAACATACGCAAAACATGTCTCTAGGATGCAGATAACTGAGTATGACGAGCCAAACATCGTTATTCAAGCGTTCATCGCCGTTTTTAGTATGAGTAAAACCTGTCGAGGTTCCAGGCCTACTGCGCACGGAGGCTGCAAGGTCCATTCCGGGAATGTTGCGTGGGTGCGAAGGGGAAAGGTAAGGTAGCTAGGTAGGTAGAGGTAGGTATGGATCATGTATAGGTGCGGGGCAGAGGACTCATTTTATAGGTAACACTCTATGCGTAGGAGTGATCTGTGACTCGTGACCCATCGGGTCAGTGTCAGACTAGGCATCAAACTGTCTGCTTGGTCGAGTTGGAAGGAGCCACACCGACGGTGCGGGCAGGAGAATAAAACCAGAACCACTAGGATTCTGGGACTGGAAGCTCTTTAATAGATACGATAGAGTAACACGGCGGATAGACGTCGTCGAGCCGAAACTTGACCGAGGACACCACGGCCGAGGTGGAGGCGGCGCCCTGCGTGTTTGCGGCGGCCAGTTCCTCGGTGCCGATGTTGGAGCTGTCACTGTTGGCGTAGGTGAGCGAGACGGAGCAGGTGGAGCGCAGCTGGAAGCCACGCAGTGCGTGCTGCGCGACGAGTAGGTCTGCGTCCTGCATTCCTCAGGATGTAGGGTTAGAGTTTCATCGGTGACTGTGTAGGTGTTGCGGTGTGCCGGGAGGTCAGAGGCAGAGAAAAGAGGTCTGAATACTAGGTTGTAATGAAGAGGGTGATGTGCCCACCTAAGCCAGGGAACTGGCTTATAGGTGACAAGGCTTGAAAGCCATAGTGAACACAAAGACCACAAAGGTCTTTGGTAGTTCCAACAGTAGGTAAGTACGGATCTGTACTGCATAAGGTAGGTATGCACGGTAATCTGCAGGGTAGTGTAATCCGAATCCCACCACGAGACTTCGAAGATCTGTCCGGGGATCGCCAGAAGCCTCCACAACGCTAACCTTAATAAATGAACCTCAATCCTAGGAGTTAGTCGCGGGCGACTCTCGATGCTGTGTTGTACAATACAGTGAGTGGCATGGTGAATCGTTGCTGGTCCTTGTGCTATGTCCTTCTGGGCATCAGCATCTTCGGTCAAACGATAGAAACTTCGTCCCGATGAAGAGTCCGGCGAATATATTGTACTTACCAAGCTGGTGCAGCGCTGGCTGACTTCAATGGAATAATCAAGATCATCGATGCAGCTACCCGGGAGGCGCACAGCGGTAGAGTCCGGGTATATCTTGCCTTCAAGTTAGTTACATGGGGAAAGAGTCGCTCCGGTAACTCCCTTGTTGGCGTTGAGGTATTGTAGATGTACAATATACGGGTGCCCCGTTTTGTCAAGTGGCATCTCACACCCACGGCGCGTCAAAACCAATTCATTACACAGGAGTAGGGCGCGCTTATCTACAGTACTACTAGCCGAGGTTGAGATCCCGTGACAGTTGACCGTTGAGCTTTCGGTTTTCGCTCGCAAATTTCATCTGTAACTCACTATCAGAAAAGCTGCCGTACGGTATTTCAACCGGTGTTTTCCCCACCTCCGTATTGCGGCTTTGCATTGACACGTGTATTTCGCCTGCCAAGTTAGCCAAGCTTTCCAGCACCGGTGATGTCACTTGGCATCCCGCGCCTATGTGAGCTGCCAGGAGCATCTCAACAGCTTCCCAGTTACACATCCGTGTTGTCAATCGCTGTTTCGACTGCTGCCGATTGAGTGTAATCGGTGACGTCAAGCTACAAAGCTGAAACCATGACACAACTGCCGGCGGAAGTCACTTCAAAAAGGCTCATGATGGCCGCGCTTTTGAGCATTTGAATCTCCCCCGCTTCCACAAGCCCACATCCAAGCACTTTCTGCGCGGCCAGCTACCTTACTTATTATTTTCACCCACAGCACCGTAGTTGAGCTCCCTGCTCAACCGCCTCCGAAGATGGGCTTCTTCAACCGCCACCCACGCGACGCCCCCAACGCGGCCCCCGCTGCCAACGGAGCCCACGCGAACCATGCCAGGCGTGGCCTGGAGCCGTACTCGATGGCCACGCGTCCTTCGTTTGGGCAATGGCTCAAGGCGACATGGCTCGACATCTTGACCATGGCTGCGCTCGGCGCCGTCGGACTCGGCGTGTACAACGCAGACCCGGCCCCGACTCGCTCGTTTGCCGTGCAGTTCCAGGACGGCGAGGTCGTCTACCCGGAGTTTGCGTACCCGATGCGCAAGGAGATCATCCCCATCTGGCTGGCCGCCTTCCTCGCAGCCATGATCCCCATCGTCGTCATCCTCTTCATGCAGATCCGCGTCCGCAGCTTCTGGGATGTCAACAACGCCGTCATCGGTCTGCTGTATTCGCTCATCACCGCCGCCGTGTTCCAAGTCTTCATCAAGTGGCTGATTGGCGGCCTGCGTCCGCACTTCCTAGCTGTCTGCAAGCCCGACATCACGCGGGCGAGCAACGCCCCAGGGGTCGTCGGCGCCGGTCTGAACGCGCAGGGGTTCAAGGACATTTACTACACGAGGGAGATCTGCACCGGCGACCCGAACGAGATCAACGACTCCCTGGAGAGCATGCCCTCGGGACACGCGACAGCTGCCTTTGCCGGTTTCGTTTTCCTGTACCTCTACCTCAACGCCAAGCTCAAGGTGTTCTCCAACTACCACCCGGCCATGTGGAAGCTGGTCGCCGTGTATGCGCCCATTCTCGGCGCCTGCCTGATTGCCGGCGCGCTGACCATCGACGAGTTCCACAACTGGTACGACCTCGTCGCTGGCGCGCTCATCGGAACCGTCATGGCCTTCTCTTCGTACCGCATGGTCTATGCTGCCATCTGGGACTGGCGGTGGAACCACATCCCGCTGAATCGTCTGGCGCCGTTCCCTTACGGAGGGCCCGCAGATTTGGAGGGCGCGACCTTCACCAGGCGTGCTGGCTGGGGATACGGTGGCGGGCCAGCCGGAGCGCCCTCGGCGAAGAATGGGTATCCCGTTGGGTATCATAATGGCGTGGGAGGTGGACATCATGTGCCGCCTGCGCCGTCGGCGCACACGCGGGCTGATAATATGGTCTGATGGGAGTTGACATGAGTGATGGTGGGGCCATGTGAGCGGGGGAAGACTGAGGTGGCGGCTAGCAACTTATCGGGAAGCAATGCGAGGATTCGGAGTGCATGTGGTTTGTGGGTGGGCTTTGGCGCTTGGGGTTGGAACGCGGGGACTTACAGATACCGTATAACGTGAGCCTCAGTCGTGTCGACACGGCTTCTATTAGCTTAATCTGGTAATGACAATGTTCTTAAATCAGTTGTTTACAGGACTGTGATATGTGCTCTGGAGAAACTGAACCGCCAACGTCCCTAATTCTGTTGCCACGATGCCAGGAGGGAGGAGGTTAATCTAGGCAACAAGGGGTTAATTAGTTAGCGGTTTCAAGTCTCGAATGCAGACCCGCCATTAAGTAGAATATCGAAACATCTATAGTTTGCGGCAATCCCCTGCCCCGGTTTATTGCCGTTGGGCCGCCCACAGCTAGGTAGAAGTTCTGATGATACGTCAATCTCACCAGAAGGTCGCGCGCATCGGGTTTATGTTATGTTCTGGAAAGTTTGAGGACTCAGCTTGCAGCAGCTAAGGCCGGCGTCCGGCCTGACTAGTTATCCTGCGCCGCGCTGCAAGTCTTGGGTCTCAGAACGCATCGCCAAGTGAAGCAGTTTAAGTAGGTGGTAGGTGGAGAGGCTTCCTTCATTCGTGTTTCGATGGGCGTAACATAGTGGCGTCCGAGACGGCCAAAAGGATTATAAGAGAGCAGCGCGTCGAGTATAAAGCTCGCGTTCAGCTCTCTAGTTTCCTCTCTTCTCGATTATTATTATTACAGCAGCAGAGCAATAAACACCTCTCCGGGACAATTAACAAAAACGCAACAAGCCTTGTAAGGCCACTACTCACGCACATCACCGAACATGCCAATCACCGTCAAGGCCTGCCTTCATTGGTATGTATATGGTCGCTTCCCTTCACGTGTACCTGTCCGGACTGACAGCTCTGCGTCTAGCCAGGGCCAGGTCAAGGACGCGTTCAAGAGCAGTCGAATCCCCTATTACGAAAACGAGAATGGCGACACGCTAACGGTCTATTGCTCGAGCCCGAGCGACTGGCCCAAGACGTCCCTTATGGCTACCTGCTGGCGAGCGATTAGGTTTGACTATCACGATGCCGTACATAATGGGGACACCCTGAGTTGCGAGCGCAGATCTAAGGGGAAAAGCTCTGGGAATGGAACTCCCCTGCGCAAATGAGTGATTGGGAACCGTGTATAGAGAGACGATAAGGCTATTACGATCTAAATACCACTATCTCTTCTGGGGGCGCCGCTGCATCAGAATCCCTTGATCATCTCCAGGATAACATCGCAACGACCAAGTGTTCGAGTGGAACTTGTATTGTACAATACACACTGACTTCCGCCGATTACCTGCCACTCCCGTTTTCCGTCATGCGGGTTGAACTCTTAGACGACAGAACGACAAGAGGATGCATGACAGTGCACACGCCGCGCTATAATCGACATCCACAACTGCACGCGGCACCACAGGACATTCTTGCGGCCAGGGACGTTGAGATACAGCCGGTTTATAACAGGGTCGACAGCGCCGTACACCTAGTCGATCCGCGCACCGTTGGCGATCTGCGACTGAATGGTGTTGAAGACACCAATCTGCGGCCACTGGCTACCTGTCGTGGCCGTGCTAATGAACATGGCTTGGCGAGTGTGCACGGCATAGGCAGGATGGGATTCGCCAAGACGACACGCCTATGGTTGCATCAGCCCTCAGGCCATCGACCATATTGGCGTAGACGAACAGCGGAAAGGCGTTGTAGTCGGTGCCAACGGCACGGAAGGCCCCGACGTTCTACGTGATCAGCGTGGCCTAGGCTGTGCCGTCGCAGTCTGCGTTTAGGTGACCAAGATGGTTATAGTCTCGTCCACGACGACCGTCTCGGTCACAAGCGCCTAACTATGACGAAAGCGACATCGGTTTCGGTAGCCGAGACGGTAGCTATGACTACATCGACGACAGTCTCGGTGTTGGTGGGCGTCGACAGCACCGACGCGGTGTAAGTCTGGAAATTGTCAGCTACCGTACCCAATGTCCCCTGGCGGGGGCTGTCTGAAGAGATTAGCACGTACACTAGCAGCATCAACCGTTACGGTGGTGGACGGTGCTTCCGCAGTGACTACGGCGCGCGTCACACCAGCGCACCTGCACGCAGAGACGTACTTCTCCCAAGACGGGCACCTACGAAGATTTCCTACATTCGCTAGGGAAGATGCATGTCGGCGCCAGGGGATAACGGTGGTTGGCGTGACCAGCACGGTCTACGTGTCTGTTCGCATGGCCAGTGGCCACCACGGTCTACGTGACAAACTGCACCTGCGTCTCGGTCGAGGCAGTCAATGTAGAGCTGACAACGACCACGTCCATCTCGGTCGAGGCCGGCGTGGCTTCCGTCACCGTGACTATGTGCGTGGCCACATGCGCTTGGTAGGCTATGGCATTGCGCCCATCTCGCTGGAGGTCACACCATTCGGGGTCACTGTGACGATGAGGTGCGAGGAACAGTCCTTGATTCCCTGGTCGGCGTGCTTTACGATGGCCCGCCTGCCTTACTACCTTTTGTACATAAGCTTCCTGCTCGGCGTCTTGTACTTGCAGGACTCTTCCTTTTGCGAGTCCAATATTCTCGATAATATAGTTAGTCTTTCAGAGTCCTAAACCCTATACGGTGCTGTCAAATTGTGCAAGGAGCTTGAAGAGGTAGTTAGGTGGACTAGGATTAAGAATAGCAGACGCCTGGTATACGCCGCATTCTAGTGGAGAATAAATCTCGCGGCGTTTCTGCCTAAGTACCTATCTACCTAGTTAGATTAAGTGGAAAAAGTTACTGCCTTTGCCGCAGGTAGGATCATACATAGGCCAACCAATACAGCCATCGAAACCTACTAGCCGGGAACATTCTGAAACTAACCAATCTAGGTACCTAGCTCTTTCGATTGCCTTTCAAGCTCGAAGTGGCCTAGTATGCATGACAAGTCTAAGCTAAGTACCTACTACCTACCTGTGACGAAACTATAGGCAGTCCTACCTCTGAAAGAGTTCGCCGGTCGAAGGTACTGCTGGTCGGACTGTAGGTCTAGGTAAAGCCAAAAGGTTCATAATAATGCAAGTCGCAATATCTGCACAGTAGGTAAATGCTACTACTTACATTGCTCACTGGAGAACTCCTAGAGTCCTCTAGAACGAGCGACTATATACTATCTATCCTTGGATACTCTTATATACTCTATAGAGCTCCCTAGAGCTTGATGCTCTATTAACTCTATCGAGAGCTTTCATCTTTTTATGCTAATTAGCTTAGTTCCCTAAGATTTTATATGCTCCTTAGAGCTCCCTAGAGCTCCTTTTTATTAGTCTGTAGTCTGTAGTCTGTATTCTGTAGTATTAGCATTAGGGTTAGGGTTAGGGTTAGGGTTAGGGTTAGGTTAGGGTTAGGGTTAGGGTTAGGGTTAGGTTTGGGTTAGGGTTAGGGTTAGGGTAGGG